GGGCAAATTAAGGATGCTCTCCAGCTGCATCCTGGGAAAGGAGAGCGCAGGGGTTTAACCTCATATTTTTATCACCCTTTCATCTCTGCCAAACCTAATTTTTTAATTGGTTATAGGCCAGTTTGAAAGAGGCAGATCATGCTTTAAGAGGAGTAGTTTAGGGCCAGGGGTGGAGTCAGGGTACGAGGAAGGGTGCCCCAGTCCCAATGGGGATCCCTCATCTGACACACTATGATAAAAAGAAGTGCCAAAAATGACTTGTACCCATCACTAGATGTAAAAGCTAAGTTAAATATTCCCATTCAAAGTAATTACTCCAATGTGTTCGATATTAATGTCAATGCTTTTGCCATTTCATGTTTCACTGGTGTACTTAGCGGTATGAGATTAAATAAAGGGTTTAAACCGCTCAACTGCTAAGGTTTGCCTATTAAATTGAAACTACAAAGAGCACCGAATTAAGACTTTAATGCTCATGTAGGTGTGTTTAGCATGAGAAGATTATACCTAAATTCATAAAGTAATGGTTTAGGTATTGACTTCAATTAAATTAACCAGGACTTAATTATACCTCTGTGGCTTTTGGTGGTTGTTTGCCTTCAGGGCGGCTGTGGATGGTAATTATTGGCTTTTAGGAAATGGTCTTTTACTGTGTGCAAGTCGGTGATTCTCTTTTCATGACATTTAATACCAACCTGCAGGAGCTACAGCCACCATTGAGATGGCCTGCAGCCCTGAAAACCTTTTCCTCTTGTTATATTTATGTGTGGTTGTAATGTAAAGCAGTTTTTCAAGGACTGTTGAACAATACTGCTCATGATCGTCAACCTTCTTTTTCACTGCCGACTACTGATGTAGCCTCTGTTGGTGTGTTATGTTAATATATTAGCATCTGATATAACCTGTAAACCATAAAAAAAACATTATGATATATTTATAGACCAAAATGGAGAAAAATGTAGGACTACGAATGTCTGGCTTAATCAGTGAGATCCGTCATGGAGGTTGGTATACATGTAAAGTCAATGTCAAAATAGGATAAGATTTGAGTCATGAGGCGGTGCAAATCCAGCAGGTTATAGGCGCGAATGACGCAAATTGCGACATGTTCGATGAGCCACTTGCTTGATTCGCTCATTCGCCGAAAAAATGTGAATTTGCAAATCACGATGGAGATTCCCAGATGATCTGAAAAGATGGACAGGCTGAGGTTCATTCATCTGGGCCCATTAGATGTGGCTGGTGAATCAAGTGACTAACCTAACTGTTGTGACTATGCCGACTAGGACTGGGAAGACATGCTTTTCTTCCGATTCGATTCTTCTATGATTTTTTGGATGGCGATTCGATTTAAATTGCGACTCCACGATATTGACGATTTTCTCGATTTTTTGTCTGCATTTTTAACATCAGTGAAACAGTTGAATGATTATGATTGTCTACTGACTAATCCAGGAACCATTTTTATCCCAAAAAATACACATCACGTGTAAGTCAGTTTTTAAGATTTATTCTTAAATTTGGAAAAAAAAAAGGAAAAAGATTTTGAAACAAAAACAAAAAAATCGACTTAAAAATTGTAAAACAAAAAGTTGCAATACTTATATGAATTGATTTTTTCTTCCACTCCTAAAGGTCCTTACACACCTGGAGCGTTTTTTTGGTGCGATTATGTCAGATGATATTTTTTTTTAACCTGTATCCTGTCAATACAAGCGTTCGCATCAGCGTCGTTTTCCCGTCCTGCGATATTGCAGCATTTATTTTTTCGTATCATGGTCCAATTTTCTAAAGTTTTGCATACTGTGTGTCCACTTCTGAAAAAATCAGATTTCGTGTTGTTGATGTCAGATTCACCGATATATCCAACATGGCTGATCCGCTACTTGTTTACATGTCGGAGAACAGAGTGCTTTTTGATAAAAGACACAAATATTACAAAGATAATGACCTGAAGGACAACTTGTGGAGAGTCATAGCGGATTTCTCATATGACGATGGTTTGTGAGCTTTAACAGTTTGCTAAACGTCTTTGTTTTAACTTTCATCTGTGCTAAGTAACTTTAGCTCGTAAGCTAACCTGTTCAGATACAACATACCATATGTATTTTCACTGTCTCAAACTCAATTGCGTTGCTGTCACAGCACCATTAGGTCTCGGTTGTTACCTTACGTTTATGGATTATAGTTTCATGTGCTTATCTGGTACTGGCCCTGACTCAGTACATGCTATCATGACAGACAGACATCTCAACACTAGTGTCTAAGTCGCAAAATTGCATTGTGCTTGATGTGTATAGTCAGGCGCGTCAAAAATCGCCTCAGAATATTTTGTAGTTTTACGTCGTATATTTGCGTTGGTCCCGGTGTGAGGTGTTTTTGACACGCTTCTATTACAATCCAATGTCCAATCCAATGTTGTTGTTGAGTTATATTTTTGACATTTACTGATTAAAGGAAAAAGAAACAAGAAAAGACAGATACGTCCAACTTACCATGATGGTGATGTTTGTGATGAGGCTAATATTGGTGTCAGTAATTTACAATAAAAACTGTGCTCTTCCCGTTCCCCAGATCACTACTTCACCTGTATCCCTTTGCAGCATTTACCTTCCCATTCACCTGAAGTGCTCCTTGTGGTGATTGTGCGAGAAACAAAACCAAACCCAAAATATAATATAGATAAAATGGCTCATACACCAACTAATGAGATCTTAGCCACCTGTAAACCCTCCTATCCTCATTGCGTATTGCATGCCAAACAAACCCCACTAATTTTTGATATCTTAGAAATTTCGAAGCCCCGAACTCTATCAGAAATGGTTTCTTTCCAAAGCACAGCCAGCCTGTGAAGCCTCCACATCCTCATTTGAACCCCCTAAACCCCCGAAAGCCAAGAAAAAACCTCAGACCACCAAATGAGCTGATAGATTATTTAGCAGGAGACGCTGAGTGACGTTGAGACACACAGAGACACTTCTGACCCTATTTGAGAGTGGCGAACACGATGTGATGTTCTCTCTGCTTCTCCTTCAGTGAATTTTTTATTTTGTTTGTTGTGTCTTTATTATTAATGTATACATAACTGTGTATTTCTTTGAAGGAGGGGTTGAGTTGGACAGAAACTTTTCAAACTCTTAAATCTAGTGTCATGGAAAAATACTGAAATAAAAGTTTGGACAAAATCTCACATATTCTTATCTCAGGGGACAACAAGCTCTGACAGCTGAGATAACAAGCTGTGGTGGGAGAAAGAAAAAGGAAATTGTTGTTTTCAGAAGAGTTGTTTTTGACTTTGGTACACGCACACTATAAATGCAGATAAATCCTCTGAATGGACAACAGCTTTCCAGTACGACTTTAGTCATGTTGATACTGAAAATATTACAAAAGAAATTTGACGGTTTCCAAAAAGAACTCCAAAGTCTAAGTGTATCTCAAATGGGAGTCATCAGCTTTCTGGGACATGTTTAACATTTAGAACTCTGCTGGATCGCCGGCAATCCCATGTGACACCATTAATATTATTTACAGTTTCTCGGGAACTATATCGTGTATTTCTATAGGATTAAAAGTGTTCAAAAGCTTACCCTTTTAGCGATCTATTGAGGGTTTCCAGGCATTTCTACACCTCCTACAAGGTTTACAATCTAGCCACAAAAATAGATGTTTGATCAAAGACGTTTGATGGTAAATCTGCAGTGATATACCAGTGAAAACATGATTATTTATCATATTGTTGTGATGAAAAAAGATCACTATCGCTAAATGCTGCCAATGTCTTCCGGGTTTGACAAACTGTTTTGATAACATCTTTTTCTGTCACACTTTCTACCAATTACATGGTGTCATATTCTTCTTTTGTTCCCTTGATGGTAGTGTCCAATAAGAGGCAACCAAAGATCAACAAGAGACAAGAAAGTTCCCTGCTTGTCTGCAAAATAAGAAATAATGGTCCTCAATGCTTGGAAACAAGCAAAGAAGAGATTATGAGCATTATGATTTGGCCTTTTGTCTTATCCCAGACAGGAACTGCTTCAAGGAGTGGCATAAACAACTGGAAATAGTAAAAAATGCCAGGAAGAATTAGTGCAAATATGTAAATAGTTTCTGTTGTGCGTTTGTTCCAATCTCAATATTTCTTCTCCTGATAGCCAAGACTTGAGAGAATGATATACAGGTGAAGAAAGGCTTGGTCACTGTAGATTTATGTGTTTTTTGATCAAAGTACTGTTACATTCATTTTACATAATTTTTGCACCCATAAATTGACAGCTGAGGTTGTCCGGAAAAAAAAAAAATATATATGTGTATATATTTGCTGTGCTTGAAAGGATAGAGTGGAAAAAATAAAAAGGCGGTCTAAAAATTGCTAAATATAGCTGGTAGTTCTAAGGGTTAGTATGATTTGCCTGGCGTTGAACTTTAGAGGCCATTAAAGTTCATGCAATGATTTCCACTTTAGAGACTTGTCAGTTTTTAAAGAGACAGCAGCTATAAAGAGACTGATATAATGATATTTTGACACACGAGAGTGAAAAATGAGAGCCTTTTTTTGATCTGAAAATCGTGTTAAATTATGTAGGTATCGAGTCTGAAAAAAATGCACAATACCCCATGAATGTTGACAGGTAGAGGGAGGAATGTGTCCCTGGTTTCCCCTCGATATAATGCAAAGTCGATCCTTATTTAGAAATCCTGAATTTGGCACACTTAATTGGTGAATGTTTTTGCTGAATTTACACTTAAGGTCTGAGCACTATGTTCTGAATTAGAAATGAGGTCCTGGGACTTTTATCCCTCCAAGCAACAGAATCTGTATCTCTTCCAGGACACCATTTCTGTGAAGGCAAGAGGGGACAGCAATGCACAACAAGCAATTATGTGAGGTGAAAGGCGTGAATGGACCTCCAGGGCCTTCAAAAGTGTGGTTAAAACATTCATCAAGCTCTCAGAGCAGCCGAAAAAGCCCTAGAGTGATGCAATTTCTTCTTCTCTAGCCCCAGTCTTGCAGAGCCCGCTTGTACGGGCTTTGGATTCCAAATGGCATTTCCCAGCAAGGATAGGCACAGTCCCCCCCGAGGAGATTATGGCCAGCTGGAGGCTAGAAGGCCCGGTCATAGATGGAACTGTTTCACAGAACCTCAGACTGATACACCAATCCAGGTTAGCCCTCAAACAGATCTCGGATTCAGCACCACAGATGGCCAGCGACTGCACGGACCAAAAACTTGTCATGTAGTTTGCATGCTGCTTGCTCCCTGGAGCTTTGATACAGAGCATTTATGGAAAGCATCGGCAGCATGGGCAAAAGCTGGGCCCTGTGCAAGCTGACTGAGCTTTAGGCAATGGCAAGTGGGGATTGAAGTGGGATGACAGTGGAGGGCATGGCCCCCATCTCCCAACTAAATCTCTTAAGCTATTTGGAATTCTTAAGGAAGAACTCACCACGGATATTACTGAAAATGATACTCCGTCATGCTACCAACATGTTGTGAGTTATGTTTTTCTTGAACAAAACCTTGCTCTCTCTTTGCCCTACTCTTCGCTTCACAGCTTTTGTCATCCTTGAGACATATCCATCAAAAAAAAACAAACAGAAGTGTGTGAAGTTGGAAAACAACTGCAAACCTATAAAATACCATGGCTTGCCTCAGGTAATGCATCAAGCAACAGGTCAAGGCAGATCAATAGTCCTTTGACATCTCATGTGATAACTCCAGCTTACTAAATACAGCTTGTCAAGTCATTCGATGGCAAGAATGACATGCTGTGATTTCTGAAGAGAAAAGGGTGCAAGATTGTCTTCAAACTGGGCCCGACACTATTTCCCTGTGCTTCTTTTCCTGGGAGATGCTGCTGCTGCTGCTGGTTGAAATCAACCCCCTGAAGTTTAAGGTTATGACACTGAGGAGCTAAATTAGGTATTAGCGGTAAATCCTCAGATACCAGCGCTCCCTCAGGCAGAAGAAAAGTCCAACAGCCAGAGTAATTTAAACTTTTAGGGTCAATGAGGTGCCAGCTTACTTTAATTATTTTGGGATAGTCGTGTCTTTGCTTTTATCCACCTAAATTACCTGCTGCCATGACGACCATTCAACTTTCCTTTCTTTCCTAAGTTCTGTGATCAACCTCATCCTCTGTCTTTGTAATATCCTTTCTTTCTCTGTGAATGCTATCCCTTACCTGCCCACTCTCATGTAGCATTTCCATTCATATATTAAACTTTGAGCTAACCCAAGGCACAAGATTTTTATTTGTTTGTTTGAGTCAATCCAGTCTGAAAGTGTAATGGCTCTAGAGGTCAACTTTAAAAAAAAGCCAAAATGTAAAATATTTCATCAAAACGTCATATTTCAAAAACCATGAGAGCGCCTCAAAAATTTATGAGTATTTAATGCTTCATAAGAAGTTATCAAAAATAAGTATTTCATCAAATACAGAAGAAGTTCCAGAAATTTGCGAAAAAATATAAATATATTTCTCTAAACGCATAAACTTTTTTATGAGACTGAAAGTTCTCTCATTAAAACACAAAAAAACTTAAAAAATGCAAAATTATTTTAAGAGAAGCAAAAACCATCACTTAAAGCAAAGCCACCCTCACACACCGAAAAATAAAAATAAAAAAAAATTATAAAAGAAATTGTAAAATGTTTTTTGGAATTTGTGAATATTTTTCTTTTGTTGTTTTGGGAAAATATAAATTATTCTTCTAGATTTTCCATTCTAAAAAAAAAAAAAAATTGGGGGGATTTTTTTGCATGCAATGAAATGTTTTTGCTGTTTAAGAGATTTTTGTGTTTAAATAAGACATTTTTTGATTCAGTTTTTGAACAAAATTCAATTTTTGATTTTTTTTTTAATTTTGGAAACATTTTTGTAATTTGTGAATATATTTTAATTATTTTAAAAAATAAATTGGGGGGATTTTTTGCATGCAATGAAATGTTTTTTGCTGTTTGAGAGATTTTTGTGTTTAAATAAGTAATTTAGTTTGGAAGTTTTTGATTCAGTTTTTGAACAAAATTCAATTTTATGTATTTTTCTTTAATTTAGGAAACATTGTTGGAATTGGTGATATGTTTGCTTCTTGGAATAATCTGTATTGTGTAAATTTTGAGTTTAGTGAAACTTTTTGTTTATGTTTTTTTGTTAGTATATTTCATTTCAGAATAGATTTATTGTTGTTTTTCAATGTCTCTCTGTTAAGCTAATTGCTTTCAGGGGCCACCATACAAAGTAGCCCATAGTCAGTTTAGACATATGTGTCTAAAATGACTGCAGATCATTGCGGGGAACAGTAGTTTCATGCCTCTAGGACCTGTAGGAAACAAAGCAACCTCACCAGAACTTCAAAAAGGTGAAAATGAATAACCAGAGACACTGGACTAGACCACACTTATATCACTGAGAAATTAAAACTCAACAAAGTTAACTCAAAGGGATCTCTGAACACACTACACATTAATATAGGCCTGTGTTTTCCTTTTAAGAATGATAAAAGACCATAGCAATTTCTATTTAATTTACTCATTAGATCCCAGTAGACAGTACACCTTCAGGAAGCTCATCAAAAAACACAATTTCTTACACCAAACTCTCCAAAGCAACAAATAAATCTGTCTAAAACTGACCGGCAAATGCACCTGTTTCCTTCATTCAGTGCCAGGCTTGGTGGATTAGTCTCAAAGCCTGAGTCACCCAATTTGCCTGGGGATAATTGTGTGTGCGGAGTTCTTTTTGAGGACTTGTTTGTGCCTCAATTTGATGTGAATAAATCTCTTTGAACGCAGTAAAACTTTGTGTACCCTTAGCTCAAATGAAGCTCAGTATAATGAATAAATTGTCCCTGCAGTGCCGTGTAAGTTCGCTAGACCCTGTCTGGCCTTGATTGGTGAACAAATGACCACATCTTCGAATACATTTCTATCTTCGTTCGGAAGTTGGGTTTCATTTAAACAAATGTGCGTTCATGGAGTTCTGTTGGGTTTATAGGACGTTTATTTTGGCAGCTCATCAAAAAAACAAATGAAAAAGTAAACTGGGGATCGACAAGGCCGAGACTGTGCATACTAAACTAGATCCAGTCCAATATTTCTGCAGGGTGTACAAAAAAATCCAACACAGCCTCTTTTAGAAATCACTGACTCACATTCAAAATATCTTGGGACTTCGCTGATAAAAGGCAAAGAAACAGAATTAATTTAAGAACAGGGAACAAAAAACTAATTGAAGGAGTAACACAAATCAGCTGCTACCACTGCTTATACTCTGCCGTTAAAGCGAATTGCTTGTCGATTCGGTTTGATACAATCTGACAGTAATTTCAACAAACTGTGATTTTTTTTTAATTTAAAATTGAAATTAGTCAAACTATTAAAAGTTGGCTCCGTCCCAGAGCTTCGGAAAGAACACCATCTTCTGCCTCCTTTTTTGATGAGTTCGTCTTTCTTTAATTCCTCTCTCGGCTGTGTTGCTATTCATAGCGTGTGTGTCTCTGATCAACTAAGCATGCCTCTCAAGATAACTACATTAATTACACCGCTGTTTGCATGAGTGTTATTGCGGCGCATCACACCCGAGACTTTAAATTGAATGGAAGTAAAGATGGAGACTCTTGAATCATTATGCGAGACATCAGATAAGCTTGGATCAGATTCAAAGATTGCAGGATGGTTACTTTTCCCGTCGTCATCTCCGGTTGGAATAGCCAACATCTAGATATAACATCACCAAAATGCTGTTTTTCTTTGTTGTTCAAAAAAGGAGTTGAAAGGAAAAGAGTTGAAGGATTTTGAGAGCATGTAAAAGGAGGAGGGCTCGCTCTGAACTGTACACAGACTCAGCTTTTGGGGAAACAGCCTCAGCCAAAAGTGCTGACTAATGCACCACTTGTAGGTCCCTGCAGACACACACACACACATACACACACTCTCTCCGGTGCAAGCACACAAACATTTGAGTCAGCGCTGCCCCGCAGCCTGCATCAAAAAGCCCTTCAAGTGATAAGCTTTGGCGAGAAGAACGAGGATTCCAATGCTAATCTCCTAAACATGATTTTACATACTGCTTTGCACAACATGCCTCCGGATTAAAGACATTCTATTAAAGAGAAGGGGCTTAACATATGGAAGGGGAAGAAAAGCCAGCTGTACTTGGTTGGGTTTAGCTGTCTGAGTTATAGTTCAATAGTTGCCTTTTTTAAGTACTGGCTGTGGGATGATCCTTCAGAGTAGTAACACATTGGAGAAGGGGGGAAAAGTGGAGCAGGAGATTTGCAAAGTTTACAACGCAAGGAGCTCAAGCTATCACAATACTAAAGGGCTTTTTAGGTATGTAGGAAAAGTGATCATAGACTCATACTACCTGACATGTTTGACGAGTTATTATTGTATTTTTTAGGGCAGATGCCGAAACCGATTATTAGGGGGGGAAAAAATCAGATTACCGATTAATCGGCCGATGTTTTTAAATTTTATTCAGTTATAAAAAAGATATATATATACTGTATATCTGTAGATATCTACAGTATATACTGTAGATATACTCTAGGCTCCTGCTCTTTACACCGACAGGAAGACCGACTGATCAAACTTGGACCAGAAAAGCATTTTCAACTTAACTGAACTAATATTACACATTTCTCGTCCGGAGACGTGCAGCTGCCTCAGTAAGAGAAGCAGCTTGATCACGTAATGTGTTCTGTTGTTTATTCTACCGTTGTATTCTACCAGTGTAGCAAGGCTAATAGCAGGTGGCTAACTCTAACTTTAGCTTGCATATTACATGGTGCTTCACTGTTCACTCGGCGTGACCGAGACCAGCACAGCGGGGAACATCGTGAAGTGGGTTGAACTGAAACTTGTTGACTTATTGTGTATTTCACAAACTGGTTTATTTACCGTTGAGGCGGACCACTCTCCTCCTTTGGCATTCCTGAGCTGCCTTCTTCAGATGCCTCACTCTGCTGTGCTGTGAGGTAGTTAGTGGATGAAGATTGTCATGAGGTCGTTGCGCCATCTACAGGATAAGTCGGAGAACTCTTCAAATGGTGGAACATTTTCGAAATGAACTGAATCTTATTCTCCGCATTTTATTTCTGAAAATATCTGCGAGTTTTGGCCGAATACCGATTAGTCACAAACGGGCTAAAATCGGCCGATTTAATCGGCTCGCATTAGCGGATTGCAATGCTTGTAAAAAAGCTAATTATGATATAAGCTTTCATCATGTCTCAAAAGACAATCGTGTCCGAGAGCTGAATGGCTCCTATGTTACCTGCTACTTCTACTACACCGGCAACGTTAGGCTGCAGGCTAACTCGTGGAGAAGTGTGCAGAGCAGCGCTGTCTCCACCTACGACTCAGAGGTGAATTGCTAATGAGCTACTAGAGCTCTGCAGCAGAAAAGCTATTGAAAACGACACAGGTAACATGATTTTTGCTAAAAACAGTTAGAGGACCGTTGAGAACACTTTAAGTCACATATGTCAGAGTCAAGGCCCGCGGGCCACATCTGGCCCGCGAGAAGGTTTTTTACGGCCCCTGGGATGATCTTGATTTATTATTAGAACCGGCCCGCAGACCGCAGCAAGCCGGCAGCCCGCAGATCTTTTACACGCACCAATACTACATTTCCCACAATGCAACGGTGACGCACCGAGCAGTAGGCTCATCCAGGCTGCTCAAACGTTGTCTATGTTTGGCAGCACATACCTGTGTGAACAACTGTTTTCTTTGATGAACCTGAACAAAACATCACACAGAAGTCGACTTACTGCTGAACACCTTCACTCAATTCTGAGGATTTCCTCAGCTCAGAGCCTTACCCCGAACATTGATGAACTTGTGGAAATGATGGGACACCACCAAGTATCACCCTCAACCTCAAACAAGTGAACATTACTGTGCAATCACATATTTAGAGTTTTTACTCATTTCAAGTTTAAAAGTTAAAGTTTAATATTTGTTTTCACTGCATGTTACTTCTCCTTGAAGAAAGTGTTGTTTTTGATTAATAGATTTTTGCACTTTATTTTATTGTATTTCAATCCAATTATATTTTAAAAATATTTCAGTTGAGTGGATGATAGAAAATTGCTATTATTATTTTTTTCTTTGAAGTAAATTTAGCCCACTTTTGCTAAAATAGAAAATATAGGCTACTGATGGTGCCTTGAATAATACCGGTTTCTTTCATTTAATGTTCATGTTATGGGGATTTTTATATAAAGGAAATTTGTCTTTTGTGTCTGTTGAAAATTAAAGATTACTGACAGAGCCATAAGAAAATATTGCTTTATTTAGCTGATCATATTGGAATATATTTGTTAGGTTTTCAGTAGGTTCAATTAGGTTCACTAGACTATATGCGTCATTTAAAAAATTTTCAATGAACATTCGATCAGTCCGGCCCTCGGCTTGTAGCTAAATTTTTTATTTGGCCCTCCGTCCATTTGACTTTGACACCCCTGCTTTAAGTAGTAAAAAGAAAAAACAATCGGAGTGGGACTTTATGAAGGGACTATCAGTGCAGTGGTGTGCACTCCACCTGCTTTTGCTCTCTATACCTACAGTTTTTTCCTACATACACAAACGCTGGTGCATCGGTCGTTAAACTTGATCGGGAACTGCCCTGAGAAGTCGAATGAAAAAATATGTATAAGCACAGACTATGACTGTGACTCTGCAGCCCTGGCTTTATTCTTGTCTTTCTCTGTTGATGCTAAAATCAGATAAACCGATAGCTCATCCTGACAGTCTAACTCTTAGCAGAGTTCATACGCAGAAAAATCAGTGCTCAAGAGAGCTTTGTGCTTATTATCTTCCCCTCACAGGTCAGCCTGTGCTGATCCATTTTCCTTCTGATGCAACCAAATGTTAAATGGCCTGCAATCAATATCCATTAGAGGAAGGCCATGTGCATTGGATTGTTTTCCCTATTCTTCACTGGGCCTAATTTAAACTCAAATATCTTTAAACAGATGGAGGATGTGTCTGGGCATGCCTGCATGCAGCATATGGCGCATGGGTGATAAAAAATAAAAAAATTAAAATAACTTGCTATGAGCATATTAATACTTAACAGGCCTTGTTGATACTAATGTTTCTACTCAGTGCTCAAATACAAAGGCTGGGTTGCAAATAGCAGATGTAAGAAAATAACTGTAATGTATAATTTTAGGAATCCCAGCTGAGGGTTGTGTTTTGTGTTTAAATTTTTATTCCAAGTCACAGCTCTCGTGTAGCAAAATTATGTACAGAAATAAAGTCAAAGTTTTAAGTGTTTAATTTTAATGCTAATTCGGAATTTAAATTCCCCCAAGTGCCGCCTTAAAGAGGAAATGTAGTGTTTGCTTTTTAGAATTGCATTAGAGTAAAATAATGGAGTCACAAAAACACGGTCCAAAAGCTGGGATAACAATACATATGGGAAATTATAGTCGTCTGTAATCTATTTTATGCATTTGGAGGACTTGAATGAGTTTAAACAAAATTTAATCCACCGTGGAGTGGAAATACTGAGCACCAAAAGATGGAGCAGGTTAGTTAAAGACATAACAGTTTAACAGCAGCTTCACTGCAGAGTATGACACAGGAAATCGACTCGCACCTACTGCAGCCAATGATATGTGACAGTATGCAATAAATGCGCCGGTGCTCTTATAGGACAGGATGAAGTGCACCTGCTCCCGCTCTGAGGTGCACTCACATCTCTCCTGGGGAGGCTTTCGTGTGAGGGTGTAATATACTCTTGGCTGTTAGACCTCGCTGTGTAAAGCTGCAGTTGGTCAGCGTGAAAGATGGTCAACTGCCTAGCGCGGGAACAAATACACAGAAATAGAGTCGTCAGAGTAACATATGCTTGATGAACCATTTAAAGCTCCTATAAGGAGTTTTTTGACACTTATGTAAGAGACTGAAATTCAAATTGATGCATTTTTATGACATCTCAAAGCAAACCAGACCATCAGTAACATGATTGATTATGTTAATAGTATAATTTTTTAGTGCCTGAATATAGTGTAAGGGAGGAGGTGTCAAGAAATGGAAAAAAGCAGACATGTTTTTATTTGACAGAACAAGTTAGCACAATGAGATTTTTTGAGTCTCAAGTGTGTCAAGGGCAAGATAAACCAAACGGACACACACCAAAAGTTCCCCATGGCAGCTTTAAAGCTTTTCATGATTGAAAAATTCATCAAAACAACACATCATAACATCTAGGGATGGGAATCCAGAACCGATTCCAAATGGTTAAACCCATTGACATCGTCTACATTCTATCTCAACAATTCCCTGAACGATTCCTTTCTTCTGGGTGCCTTAAAAACCGGTCTCGCAGAGAGCCAGTCTACGCGAACGAGAACAGAGACTTTAAGGAAAAAACCATGGTGGACTGTGCAAAGAGTAGGCAGAAACGAACCAAAATTTCAGAATAATGTACCTCAGTGTAAAAATTACAAACAAATTGAGAATGTAGCAGTCTATGGGGCATAATATCATTAAAATAAATTGCCGTATAGGCTCAAAAACTCTATTGTCACAGTTAAAATCACTAATTTAATCCAAGTCTTACCAAAGCTAATAATATACTATGTTAATTTAATGACTGGGCATACTAATCTGTATATAAGAATGCCATATGCATTGACTAAATCAATAAAAATCATGGATAAATGAAGTTTCGACAAAGTTAACTCTCTTTTATAAATAAACAGAACAGAACTTCGAGCTGTTTGGTTGCTGACAGACCAGCCCTTGTTGCTCAGCTTTAGCCAAATGATCTGGCTTTCTAAAAAAAGGGTGAAATTCCCATTGCAAGAGGCTAAACCCTAGCCAGAAATGTGTTGCCTATGGATAATAAGCTTACTCACTAATTAGCAAGTACATTCTGTCGCTGTGATGTCAGCATGTGTGTTGTATTTCTAAAGCTGATTTGCCAACTCGAGTTCGTCTCATCTGCTTCACGTCAGCTTAATAGCGATACCAGAGGCACGGTTTGTTAGCCCACAACTTTAGCAAACAAGAGCAGCATCTGTTCTTGCATATTTAATCATTTAAATGTATGTTGTTGAAGTTTAGAGTCCCAGTTCTTTATTTTATATTATTTTTGGCCTAATATACAGAGAACTCAGTTCTGAAGGAATTTTCCGGAAAAGACTGCAGCCAGTGCCGGGGTTGATGTGCTGTTGATATAATTAGGCAATTATCAGCATATCTGTTGGACAGCAGAGCTCAGGAGCTGGAAGCTTGGCCACAACAACTCAACTGCTGTGAAAAAAATCTGTTCTTTTTGTTTGGTTGTTGTGAGAGTTTGTTGTTTTTTTTTATTCGCTTTTCTGCTAAATCACTGCAGAGCACAGCAGGAGCTCGCGTCGGTCAGTCAGACTTTTAAAAAACAAGTCAAGGAAGTCATTATAATAAAAAAAAGCACTTAAAATCAAATGTATAATAACTCTCCTTCGTATGACGGAGTATTAGGGCCAGAAAAAAAAATAAGACTTTGAGATTAAAGTCATTACTAACGAGAATAAAGTCGTAATAAAATCACAATTTATGAGAATAAAGTCGTAAAGTCTTACTCTTATAAGTAGTGATTTTATTACGACTTTATTCTCATAAATAATGATTTTATTACGATTTTATTCTCGTAATGATATTATTATGACTTATTTTGAAATTGGTTTTATTACGACTTTTGTTTTGAAAATGATTTTATTACGACTTATTTCTTGTAAGTAATTAATTACGACTTTACTCTTATAAGTAGTGATTTTATTACGACTTTATTCTCATAAATAATGATTTATGACGTAATGATAGTAATGATATTATTACGACTTATTTTGAAATTGGTTTTATTACGACTTTTGTTTTGAAAATGATTTTATTACGACTTATTTCTCGTAAGTAATTAATTACGACTTTATTCTTGTAAGTAATGATTTTATTACAACTTTATTCTCGTAAATAAGGATTTTATTACGACTTATTTTGAAAATGGTTTTATTACGACTTTTGTTTTGAAAATGATTTTATTACGACTTATTTCTCGTAAGTAATTAATTACGACTTTATTCTTGTAAGTAATGATTTTATTACAACTTTATTCTCGTAAATAAGGATTTTATTACGATTTGATTTTTGTAAGTAATGATTTTATCACGACTTAGTTCTGGTTAGTGATGACTTTAATCTAAAAGTCTTCATTATTATTTTTTCTCAATGTGGTCCTAATACTCTGTCGCACCCTCAAATTAAAGTTAAAAGTCATTGAAAAAAAAACAATGCTGGGATGGCTGTTTCCGTGTCTCTTGAGTGTGTGCTCTCAAGAAGAACAAGTCTACAGAAAAATGGACACTGTGGGCCTGGAAAAGGATTTTATTTCTGTCCAGTTCCCTGATCCGCTTCAGTCTGAGCTACCTCATTGAAAAAACAAGAGTTAAATCTCCTAATTACATCTTTACTTGACACGAGCGCTGCATCAGTTTCTTGTAGGTTACAGGTCGCTTTTAATCCACAGCTAGACTAAAAACGCAACAGTTTTGATTTTTGACTCTTGAAAGTTTCTGTCCAGGTGCATTGATACTTTTACAAAATAATATTTTAGTCGTTGTAACACCACAAGGACGAAAAACAATAAAGCGTGAATGTTCATAGGATCGAAAAAGTGAAAGAGCCGAAGCTTTAACTCTCGCTGTTACCTCGGAATTAAAAGGTGTTGGAGGCCGAACATCAATACCGTTAACAAAATAGTTCTTTTAAATTAAAGAAACCAGTCCCAAACAGTTCTCCGCCAAGGTAAAGGTGGCTTGAAAGACATCATTGAAACAGGATTGATTCATATTCATAGAGCGAGAGGGTGCAGTCAGATATTAAACGGCGCAGAGAAGCATCAGGTCTGCTCTTTTGAGAAGAATGATCCGTATGAAAGCAAACCTGCCTTAGTCATACTCAATGAACAGTTTTGACTCCGCTGTGAACATTATGCCCTTGGGTGGTGCTCCACTTGCTTCTCGTGATGAGTCACCCTGCACGCCTGTTTCCAAACTGCCCTGCTTCTGCTCTTTCGTTCGACAAAGTCTACCCTTTGAAAAGAGCGGAGGGAAAAGACGATGAAGGCCCTCCCGTTTAAGATTTACTGAACTTAGCGTGCTCGCTTTTGAATAAGTGTCGAGCCGTGGGACTTCCAGGTGAGGAGGCGAGCAGGTTCATTCAGTGGGAGAGAAGGTTTGGCTTGGATTAGACGTCACCCTTCGCCAGCCGCACAAATACCCGCCAACTATTAATTAATACAGCCTTCTAAATCCTTTCAGTCCATTTGATTGGCAGCAGTCCAGGCCCATTTTCCACACAGAAACTAGTAAGAAACAAATATTGCCAAGGCTTTAGCTGTAATTGGCCCACCGTAAAGAAGGGGTGCAGGATATCCGTTATGAATTACACCACTCGCCTCTCACCGATGGTAAGGAATGCTTAAAGCTAAACTTGCTTAATTAGAGTTTTGCAGCAACCTCTTTTCTTGGAAACTGTGTGTTGCCTCTCTTCGAAGAGCAAAGTCATTATTTTTGCTTTGACCTGTTTACGGAAGCACACATGTTTTCGTGAAAGTTGAAATCGCTTCAATTAACTTTATCAAACTGAATTCTGCCCTTGCACCTGCTGCATTTGAGCTTGTTGTGTCTTTTTCGTGTAACCTTAACTAGTTTAGTCTAAAAACCAAGGAGACAATGATGTTCCAAATTGGCTTTGTTTTGAACCTTTCAGGAACTGTTGCAATGAAGAGCGGCATAAAGGTGGAGTTCTCCATTCAGACGTAACGCTAAAGCAGCTTTTATCGTTGAGTAGCTCATGCTTTTGAACACGAGGTTCTAATAGGTGAATGAAGTACAAGAAAACATCAACAAACCTTCATCTTTTGAATGGTTGCGCTTCAATTGCGACTACCCTGACTCCAGGTCAGAGTAAATGCAGTAGAGGAACATTTTCCACTTGCAAACAAACAACCCACTTTGTAAGATGATGTGATTTTTGTATGGCATAAGCATTTGTACCTAACAATACCTGTGAAGAAAGAAAATATGCAGGCTTATCATGTAACCACTGCAAGGGAGAAACAAGTAGGACATTTCTACACAGAGCTTAGCCAAGCCAAACTCCGGACACTTTTAGACCAAATCTGTTGTCATCTGTTTTGACATTAAATGCCTTAAAGCTCCAATGAGGAGATTTTCACTCACGACAAAATGGACAAACTTTACAGCAATGCCTCTTTACGACCTACAAAAGCCAATAAGACTTGGGTGACCACACGTCGTCTTTGACCTGGACATGTCCTGTTTTTTGGGGGGTGTCTGGGTTTGTCCGGGGAAGTTTATAAAATTCTTTAAATGTCTGCGATTTTGTACATAAGTTTTGATTTTGTGTCACGTGGACTTGCTGAGTTAGAAGCGCGTAAAAGACACATTTAATCTGACCCAAAAACCTCTCAAAATTAACTTTGTGTGACCCCGTCCCCACATAGTCGTGTCCTTCTTTTTGGAAAGTCAGAATATGGTCACCCTAAACAAGACTATTACCAGTAAGATCGGCAACTTCTAGAATTAAATATCTATCTCATGTCTGTAACAGCTGCATGGGTGTAGGAGGAACATTTTACTGATTTGGCAAAAAGGCATAATGCTTTGAAGGTCAATAAGGCTTACAACTGTAGAGAATATCATATATAAACTTTGTCCACAGGGGGCGCCAAAATCAACACAAGAGCTTTAATAGAGTTTTTGCAAGGTTACTCAAAGTTTCCGTGTGGAACCTGTAGTTTCTGTCAATTTTGGCACCACCTTTTGATAAAGCAGTCATATTTAAATAGTGATTTTTGACAGTTAAATGTACAATTTTGTGGGATTTAAAAAAAATAGGGTTTTGTCAACTGCTTGGCTGATTTTTAACCCCTTGCTTCTGCTTCGGGGTTAAAAGAATAGAGTATAAAAATCTTCAATCTCTGAATGATAGTCTTGTTTAATCTTAAATATCATGTAAAAGCATCAGTGTGAATGTCAGTTTAAAGGAAACCTTCAGCACACAATGTTCCCTCTCACCATCACTTAGTTTGGCTTCCTCAGATTAAGTTCAGCTTTATGACTACTAAATCTGGAATCAAATCAACAAGAACAAAGTGAAGGACCAGAGTCAAGCCTCCTCTCTTGCCAAATCATCAAGAACTGGCCTCCATATTGAAGGACACCTGCAAACTTTGGCCAACCTTTGTGCCCAATGCCAGAGTGCGGACGACTCGCCAGCAGGCTGCCGCTTCATACATCCCAAAACCTGTGCCAGGTTGTTTTTAGAGGCTTCTGCTTTCGTATGTCCACTTTTTAAAGTTAAGTAAAAGTAAGCGCAAAACTGCGTATGAACATATTCAAGCTGAGTTGTTGTATTGAGGATCTGTGACTTTAAATTTCCACTTTTTATAAGTATCATTTCAATGAAATCACCAGCTAAAACAATCACTTAATTTAAAATGTTTTAATATGATTCTCTGGTGTTCTCCTACCCACTGGCAAACCTGAGAACCTTCATTCAAAATAATTAAACACAGAATCACAGCTTAAGTATTCGCCAATCAAAATGATTGATTTAATAGCCGTCTCGCTGTTTTGACAAGCATTATGATTCTGACTGGTAAAATGCCACGCAGCGAGGATTCTGATTTCTATATTAAGGTTTGTGGGAAGGCTGCGAGGAGAAGATACGAGTTCACAGGCGGTCCTGACAGAGATGAGATTAGGAACAGCACCCTAAACGTGTCATTTATGTAAGTATGGGTGGTTACGTGTCAATCAGCATGAATGGAGCTGGGGATATAGGCGACCAATTCAGGGAAACGGTCTCTAATAAAGGCGAAACTGCAAATTGGACTCCTTCTTGTTAACAAGCTTGGATAGTATAAATTTAACCTTTTGTAGAACATATTTCATCTAGAGGTTTTGCTGCATATTACAGGTCAAAGAGTGGTCAAATCATCATCAGATACCTCAGCCTTGTGGTACATTCATTGCTGTTGCTATTTCTCCTCAGGGTGGACGGGCTCTGATGGAAAAGCTCAGGACTAGTGTTCAGGAAGCAGGGACTTTAAGGTAGATGCCCTGAAGGGAGGGAAAGGGGTCAGAGCTGTTCTGAAAGGAGGTCTAAAGGTCGAGGGTACGAAAGAAAGTGTAGATCTGGCTCCCTATAGGAAACAGGAGTTGCTGTTGGCCTGCTCATTAAGAAACTGGGGTCAGCATAGGAGCTGACCTTGGTCTGAACATCTGTTAGCCCAGAGACCAATCTTGGGACAGGAATTGCAGGAAGCCTACTTAAAGGGATATTCCAGCATAAAATTAAGTCGGGGTGAAACACACCGCAACACCAAGTTGGACACCCCCTCGAGAGATGAATGTTGCCAACCGCTTGCTTCTCTAGTTATACCAACTTTAGTAACGACCGCAGGTAGCAATACAAAGAGCCACGTGCTCAACCAAAAAGCCACTCTATAGCTACAAATAATGCTCAGAACAGCACCTAACTTTATCAACAGTAAATATAGGGTCCCAGCCACAGCACTAGCCACCAAACATCTTTTAAGCTTTGCCTGATTTCTTTATCAGAGAGACTAAACACAACTCACCTGCTCTCTTCCAGCAGCCGCTTGTTTGGAGCAAGACCTTGGGCCAGTCCATTACAGACTACAGTGGGGTGACACAGCTCAAGGAAGAACATTTATGATCATTTCTCCATGAAAATAACTACCACGTCTGCGGTGCAAAATGATTAATATGGTGATTATTACTTCAAGGAAATGATAAAGTAATGATCATAAGTGTTCTTCCTTGAGCTGCGTCACCCCATAGCAGTCGCTGATGGACTCGTCTGAGGTCTCTCTACAAACAAGCTAAAAAGATGTTTGGTGGCTAGTGCTATGGCTGGGATCCTATATGTACTGTTGTTGACGTTAGCATTATTTGTGGCTATAAAGTGGCGTTTTGGTTGAGCACGTGGTTCTTGAGACCGCTTTGTATTGCTATCGTGCGGTGGTTACTAAAGTTGGTATAACTAGAGACGCAAGCAATCTGCAACATTCATCTCTCGATGGGGTGTCTAACTTGGTGTTGCGGTGTGTTTCACCCTAACTTAATTTCATGACGGAATATCCCTTTAAAGCAGGACGAAGGGGTAGATAGCACAAATTAGCATCCATGTCTTCACTGCAAATGAAACAGGTCCTAGTCAATTGGACAGCAACAAAGCTCAACAACAATTTGTGCTTTTAGGCAAAAGTTGTCAACTGCACTTAAATTACTTTTTGTCCAGGCGATTGAAAAATATTTTGAGTTTCTGCTTCCTGTTAGGCTACGAGCATAAAGTACCAGCAAACACTGCATTCCCAGAAGTCTCTGGGATATGATAACAGCTTTTGTGTTCACTTGTAGAAGTCACCTTGGAATCACAAACGCAGACAATTTGATTTGCAAAATGAAATACCCAAGGCCTCAGACAAACAATTTCATTTATCATTTCTCCTCCACATTTAAAAAGGTACTTTTCTAACTGGAGCAAACACATTAATAACTGTATTTTTCAAATCGTCTTTAGGGTTTCCTTCAGCAGTTTTTCCCCTGCTGTGAGCTAATCTGGGGGTGCAGAGTGATGTTATGTCCCACCATATGTGTTTGTTATTTTTTTCTCTCATTAAATCTGGGCTGGGAGTCGAAGCCTGCAGTATCTCATGTTTTATTTATGCCAAAGATGTGTCTGCTCTGCTCGTCTTCAGCTCAGGCTTTTTGATCTTCTTTCATTAGAGGATGTTCAATATTTATCAGTGCAGTTTCCTATTATTCTGCCCATGGATAGGTCCAACTCTTTTAGCGCCTCAGAGTCAGGCAGCTATCAGGGTTTTCTCATTGCACACATTTGTTGAGGAAATGATACTTATGCCCTTAAAACACTCTTTTTCTCCAAAGGAGGGCTTCAGAGATCTCAGGCATTTGACCCGACGTCTGTTGTATGTTCTGACAGGGTTCATTTTACAGCTAAAGGACAATATAAAACACATTGCCAATTCAATCCCTCTTTATTTCAATCCCACCTCCAAACTCGATGTAGATTACTGAAACCAGTCCCAGGTCACCCTTAAGGAGTATAAAACCCAATAATACTCAGATTAATGTAGATTTAATAGCTTTTTATGAATCATTTTAGTGGTCATTTTACTGACTACTCCAGATGTGAGAAACCCAACTGGGTGCCCTTAACCTTCCCCTGCCTTTGGATGAAAACAGTCCATCTAAAATGACAGGCAGTAAATGGAGAATGAAGCAATCTCTGGCAAATTAACAGCTTACAATAAGAAAGAAATGTTGTTTTTCAGCTTGTAAGAACCCCCCAAAAAATCAAGCAAACAGAAAAAGTTTTTTTTTTTATTGGCAATTGGTAACAAAACATTTAAAAGATTCAATGTGAAAGGGTTTATATGAATGGCTTCTCAATGTGTTAAAAAGAGAAAGGAGATTAAAAAAACAAACATCAAATGGATGTTATTGTAGTTGACTAACAATTTGTTTTTGCTCTTGCTACTCTTGCGAATCAGTAATCAGTTACAAAATGTATTGATAATTTTATTGGTTGTCCCCTAACATAACACATAAATGAAGAACTGACTGATTAATTAGACAGATTTGTCACATTTTAACATAATCGGCTATGTATTGGCTTTTTCCCAACATGAATTAACAACACTTAAATTCCAAAACAATCATAGATGACTGTTTTAATATTGTATATTTATTTATATTTATGATTGATATAAATATTTATTTATACTTAGAACTGACAGTAATATCAACCAAATTTAGCAGTTTATAACTAAATTACAAAATCTGTGTCCTTCTGTATGTTCCTTTAAAATTCATCTATAACATATTACTGGCTAAGATTATCATGGATTTAGGATTTTCAAACATATGGAATAATGAATCTGTACATGACTTTTTATTTCAAATTTTAACCACAATATTTGTCCTCATATTATTTTTGCTCGAACAAATTAAAAAGACTAAATAAAAAAATTTAAAAAACGAAAAAAAAAAAAGTGTCATTTCGGTGTTATATATCAGCTATTGGCCCATCTTCTCTCTCGCAATCAGTGTCAGCATAGGCTGAAAACTGACGGCCTCACGAAGCAAGTACATTTTACAGTTCAATGGTATGTTGTACTGTTATATTTTGGAAATAACAACACATTAATTTTAGGTTAATCCCACTTTTTCCAGAGGTATCTTGAAGAAAAAGTCTTTTGTTTAGGTTAATAATGAATGTTAGATTTTATACACATCATTTTTATGCTGTAGTTGGCAGATAATACATCCAAAGTTGTCTTCTCCGACCCCACATCAGGACCTCGGCTCTGTCTCCCCTGTTTTTTTGAGCCGCTGTGAGGCTGCCTCTCATTGGTGCAAGCTGTTGCTAGTCAGGCTGCCATGTTAGCAATCAGACCAAGCTTGCCAGCTCGACAGTGGGGGCATGCCCGGCTGAGGTCAAGCCTTTTAGCGAGTCGCTGTGGGGCGAATGTAAAATTGTGACCCCGTGGTGGGATGTGAGTAGAGCGCTTTGTTCACCGCTTTTTATGTCACTGGGACAGAGTGACCATTTCTAAGGGCTGAAAATACAGCTTGCGGTTTTGTTCTGCTGCAAATTGGCAGAAGTATAAAAGAAAAGCAAGGCAAGTATAAATCACAGCAGTTGTTTTTGGACGTAACTTTGGCTCTGCGCACTTATTGTTTGTGCAGTGGTGTGAGTGTATCTTGTGAAATAGGTCACAGCAGCACAAAATGAACACTTGAGAGCAAGATTTACCCTTTTTTTTTCTCTCAAAGAACCCAGCTGTGAACAATAATTTTGCTCTACAAGCTTAAAAGACCCCATAAATACAGGACTGGATAGAGGTTTAAGGAAGGTGAACACTTTCAATCTTGGAGAAAAAGCTGTGTTTGTAAAGAATTTTAAATTCAAGGGTCCACTGTTCCTGGTCCATTGTAGTTTATGTAATCATAGTAAACTTTGTATACTAAACTGTATAAAATGTGGGTGTAGTCACTAGGGCATGACCGATATGGATTTTTTGGGGCCAATAATGATAACGTATTAGGTGGGGGAAAAATCCGATTACCGATTTTTTTTTAATTTTTATGAAGTTATAAATATATATATATATATATTAAGGCTGTCAAAGTTAACGCGTTATTGTCGCGTTAACTCGAGTGACTTTTATCGCCACTAATTTTTTTGACGCACGATTAACGCAAGCCTTAGCCTGGCTTGACCAAACTATACACACACTGCGTGGATATTCTTGCCGTTGTAAAAGGGTAGAGGAACAGTTGGTGAGCTATGTGAGCCTCGGGGCACTCCGTAGTTTCGCGAATCAGGAAGTAGAGCAATGACCGATACCGCAGCAGACATAAACAAATTCACGTGAGCAGTAACTAGGATATAATGGATAAGAACACTATTTTGAACGGAAAGTTCAGCTACAAAGCCTTGCCAGATGGCTCTCTTGACAGGACAAAAGTCATTTGTGTTTCCTGTCGAGCTGAATTTAGTTACCACCGGAGTACGTCTAGTCTCAAATACCACTTGTCGGACAAGTACACAGCTGATGCAGTGAGCCCCCCCCCGCGCATACGGATCGCATCAAATGACTGGACATATGAATTACCTTGTAGGACCACCATTACCATGAAAATCCACGATCTGTCCTCATGTTGATTCTTATGTTGATAAAAGTATAACAATTTGAAAAAGATCGATTTAGAATGGATCAAAAATATGCGATCAATTTGCGATTAATCATGATTAATTATGATCACAATTCGATTAATCGCGATTAAATATTTTAATCGATTCACAGCCCTAATATATATATATACAGTATGTGTATATATATATATATATATATATATATATATATATATATACTGTTCATATCTGCAGTATACTATATACTGTAGATATACTGTAGGCTACTGCTCTTCACACCAACAGGAAGACCGACTGATCAAACTCGGACCAGAAAAGCGTTTTCAACTACCCCTGCCGCTGCCGCCGCCGATCGGTGCCTCCGCGTCTTAACTTGCGTTACACATTTCCGGTCCTGTCTCATCTGGATGCATGCAGCTGCCTCAGTAAGAGAAGTAGCTCGATCACGTAATGTGCACTGCTGTTTATTCTACTGTTACTGGCACGGCTAACAGTGTAGCAAGGCTAATAGCAGATGGCTAACTCTAACTTTAGCTTGCATATTACATGGTGCTTCATCGTTAACTCAGCGTGACCGAGACCAGCACAGCGGGGAACATCGTGAAGTGGGTTGAACTGAAACCTGTTGACTTATTGTGTATTTCACAAACTGGTTTATTTACCGTTGAGGCGGACCACTCTCCTCCGTGCGTCCCTGAGCTGTCTGCTTCAGATCCGTCACTCTGCTGTGAGGTAGTTAGTGGATGACGATTGTCATGAGGTCGCTGCGCCATCTACAGGATAAGTCGGGGAACTTTTCAAATGGCGGAACATTTTCGAAGTGAAACCGAATCTTATTCTCCGCATTTTATTTCTGAAAATATCGACGAAAATCTGCAAGTTTTGGCCGATTACCAATTAGTCTCAAATGGGCCGATTTAATCGGCTTGCCGATAAATTGGTCGGGCCCTAATAAGTACTATCATTTGAAATCAAGTTTTGGTCTAGTTGTCACGTGACATGGAGGTGTTAAAGGAAAACAGAAACAGATGTTTTGAGAACATCAACCGGTAATTTATTGACGGTCCCTTATTCAACACCTGACGTTGACAGCTAGGGTTAGGAGTATCGAGTAGATTTAACTGCGCTGCTGTTGCTGTTCCCAACTGTTCCCAGTCGGTCGGGCCCTAGTGTAGTCACTGTGGACCTTTCAGGCCTATCTGTGCTTCAGTCGTATAGTCAATCATCACCCAATTCAAAGGTCGAGGTTTAATCCCAGGTCTTGCTTTCCACATGTGGAGGCGTCCTTGGGCGCGACACTTGACCCCACCCGGCCCTACTGGCTGCGCCACGGGATTTGTGAATGGGATTAATCAAAACTAATGTGCTTTGTGCCTTTGATTAAAGCTCATTTGAATGCACAGTGTTGGTTAAACTTTAAATTTGCAAAGTAAACTGCACTTTGACTCTAGCGTACATTTGAGCCTGTCCCATTTTATATTTCTGCTGTCTTCTCAAAGATTGTTCCCACCACAGTGCAGCTAATGCTTTTCAACTCTCGGTTTCAAACAAGGTCAGCCAAATTTTACTCCTCATAAAAGTACATTCAGTTTGGCATGGAGTCTGGAACAAGTTGTCAGGAACAAACTTTTTCACTACCCAGCTATGAATTAAATATTGTTATTTTGACAATGAGATAGTCTGTTGAATTTTATTTGCCATGGCCATGAGATACAAGAACAGACAAGGCTGTAAGCTATTTCATGAGGATATTATGAGAGTTAAAACGGGTTTGTTGCCATTCACCGTGCATGGTTCAACTCCACAATGCTTCCTAAAAGTGGTCTAAAACTCAAGAGTTATATCTTATCATTCCCTTGAAATTCTACATTATTAATGAAACATCTTACCATTGTGTAAATAGAGACATTCTCCTGCCACACAAGCAAATGATACGATTATCTACAAACTATTTTTGCCACAGACAGAAAGGAAGTCAGACCACACGGTGAAAACTTTCATGCTTACATAATCTCAAATTGTGGCTTTTTTTTTCTGAGTGAAAATGAGTCCTCCAGAGGCTCCTGTCAGATTCCAAAGGCTTACAATAACAACTTGACAAGGTACTGTAGCGTAGGTGGCTGCAACAAAGGGCCTGGAAGTACGCAGTAATGCATTTTATATTTCTCTGCTTCATATAGGAGTGCAGAGGCCAGACTTGGAAAAAAAAATCACCTCTGAGAGATGCCTAAAGGGCTTATACATGAATGTGGAGAAGACCGCAGATCATACCGTTAAATAAGTCATCAGTGGGATTTATGATCACTCTCACTTTTCCTCTCTGTGACACTCTGCACCAGGTGAGGAGGAGATCTGCAGCAAATCGAAAAGGCATTCCTGATAAAAAGTCATGCCAGAGGTTTTAAATCTCTGTCCTGTCTGATGTTGAAAGGGAGTGGTAGCAGAACAAAGGCAGCTAAGACAGAAAAATAGATCCAACTCTTAGCGGTGGGTCTCTGATGTCTTGAAAGAGCCCCCCCTCGGATGTTCTCGCGGTTTCTCCATTCCTTTTGCGACTAAACAGATTTGTTGATTACCCCCAGAGAGGGAGCAGCTATGCTCATCTCAGCTTATTGCAAAAGTCAGCTAGAATATTTTCATGAAGCTAGCCCCTAGTTTTGTGGTGGAAAAGATCTTATATCATGTATTTGAAGGCTATCAAATTGGCTTTAACCTTCAGTTGTGTACACTCCGATGGCGGTAAAATGGGTCCAAGCCGTCGCCACTATCTTCTACCACGACAAGATGTGTTTGAAACAACAAAAATGCGCATTTAAGTGAAGAAAACGCCAAAACTAGGCAAGAGGGAATAATCTAAAGGAAGATAAATCAATTTTTTGAGACTATAAAGTTTTTAAATTGATTCTTGAAACAGAACATTTGATCTTATTATCCTATTTTATCTCTTTTCTGAATCACTTAAAAAGTCCTGTACTTTTTGCATTCATATTCAAAGGATTGATAGTGCTAGATGATTGATTTACAAGTCCTTCTTTTCGATTAGGACATTAACGGTTCAGCTGATTGAATTGTAAAAAATGAGTACTTTTAAAGACATATCAGTCATATTCGATTTTACTGACTAATCTCCCCCTGCTAAGATTTGATGAGGCTGTAAAATCCTTTTTATTGTCTTAAATCTGAGAATTTAAAGCCGCTGGAATGAAACCTTTCGTTGATCAGAACAGCTTGTTTTTAATTAGCGGCTCTCATCCGATGCAAATTACGTCGTCAAATAGGATTTCCTGAACTAAGACCTTTTTCTATCTTTATCCACTCACAAATACACACTTTTACATTAAAAACAAAACAAAGATGTTTTCACTGTTGATTCTCGCCCATTTTGCAAGTCAAAGCCAGGTCAGTTAGTGTCTAATGAAACAGCAATTACATACACCAAATTGAGTCTCAATACTAGAAATTCAATTTAAGGATTAAAAGGCCATGAAAACTGAACGCCTCCAGATAATTAAACCATTTTTCCACCATCCAGTGACATCCAATTGATGTGATTGGATTGAAAGACTAACTACATGCATGCAAAAGCCCACTATATTCCCTCCAACGTTATGTAATTTGCAGGGTTTTTATTGGACTTTATTGGGTGCTTTTCAGTGCTTCTTATAGCGTGTGCGCTCTCAGATATGTGTATTATTAGTCATTGGAAAATTGCCTGAGAATAAGTTGATCCCGAGACTTATTGCACAATAATCCCCGTGATTAAATCAAGAGCTGGAGATGAGGCACTAGGCTTGAGAAGACGCTGTAAAAGAACCCTGCAAACTCGAGTGATGTGAAAGACATAATGTTAACTTATTATGCAAGCTTACATTTCTGCTTCTCTTACACCGGGGATTCAACCAGCATTAGAGTCTTGTTTCATAAGTGTGCTCATTCCAGCTCATTGCATCCTTCTAGGATGCTACCCCCCTCCTGTTTCTTTTCAGCTGGATGTATTGACTTTCTTTTAGTCAGTACAAAAGCGGTCCCAAACATTTTTAGTGAACCCTATTTAGGCCAGTAAAGACGCTACAAATTTCCCTCATCATTAGCATAGTACGAGTTCACTGCTGGCAATAATGGATAATGGTTCCACTGAGAGTCAGTCATCCATCAGTTTCCAAGTTCTCAGGCTGTTTTCACATCCATGGCCTGTTTGTTTTGTTACGATTGTGCTTTTTTTTTAAAGTTGTTTTGAGCAAACATTGCAATATTACACACTTGCAAGACTCTCCTTGGGCCAATATTTTATACCCGTATTTCCCCTTCATGTGTGGAGAAAATTGATGCCATGCCACTCACTTGGAAGCGAATCAAGTCCCCCATTTTAATGCAGACTGGTCTTTTTTCCAATTGCTTTATTTTACCAATTATCAGTCATAATCGAAATCGCCAAAAAGCTGAGTTACTGCATCTGTCGCCACTCATTTAGTACAACTAGAGAGATGAGTCAAGCAGCTCTGTGATCCAGCACTTGGTTTGATCGCTTCTTGACTGCAAACAGTGTAAGTTGGTGTCATGTGGACCGGATTCAACATCTCGAATTTTCTTGCCATGAAGATAAGGATATTCTTAGAACAACTCAAGCCCTCCAACTTACACGTGAGCGTGTGCCTGAATTCCCAGCAATAAGCCCACATGTCACTCATGATATCCAGGATGTCATGCTCATGTCAACCACGGCACGTACAGTCCGCTTTCTATTCATAGCTCTAATGCAGTCCAGTCAGTGATACTAATGGCCTATGAATTCTGCAGAGCGTCATCCATGACTCCCAAAAGGACCACAGGACTGTTTTACACATCTTGCCAAGGGTTTTTATGTGGTTTACTAACAGTACAGTTTTAAAATGCATGTATGAGTTCAGGGTCAAACTGCATTCAGAGGAATTCTGAGCACCATTTGGTTCATGTTCCTCGTTACCAGATCAAAAACATTCCGTCTTAAGCTGCTGACTTTAACGAGCAGCAGGTGAGGTCGACGAGACACAGGTGAAGCTCGTTAGTAATCAACAAAGGAGGGTGAGCTAGCCTTGACACACAGGGACTGACTACTACAAAATACAACAGGAAACAGATCTATAAAAACAAGCAGGAAAAAAGCACAAAAACAAAAGGAATGTAAGAATAATTTACACAGGGAAACATGGACAACAGGAAAATACAACTAAATTACAAAATGAGGAAATAACTGAATTAATAAAAACTTAAGACCCACTCTGCCAAGTTAACCTCATATATCAGGAGGTGTTATTTTTTTAAAACACATTAAAACATCTACAAAGTCATTTACTGGTGTTTTTCCAACTTTAATGTAAACGGGATTTTTTTGTTTCAACTTTTAAAATGTTGTCTTTCCAATATTTGCCATTAAGTATAGGTTTTGAGTAATTTGGTCGTCGTTATCCCCACTCTCTTGCCGCTCCAGGAGCTACGCTGTTACATTCACGTTTCGTTACCCGCGCTACTCACTATATAGACCGCATATAAGCTTAAACTTTACCCTTCACATTAGTGGAAGAGGGTCCGACAGGATTTGATGCGCACCTTAAAGACTCAAAACAAGTGGAAAATAACCGTGTATTGTTGTGCTCACACAGCACGAGTAGAAATTATAAGTGCCGCATTGATAATAATGCTACTGATACTATTAATGCTACTCGCTATATAGACCATGTATGAGCTTGATGGTTACCTTTCACGTTGATAGAGAGGGTCCGACAGAATTTGATGCGCTCCTTGATGACTCACAACAAGTCGGAAATAACGTTGTGTGTTATTGTGCTCACACAGTGCGAGTAGAATCATTCAGCGGTGCGCCACTGCTGAATGAATGTAGGGGAAACACTGCTGATACATATGAGTCCGAGGTAGAACTATGTGAGATTTGATTGCTCTCCCTGAACTCCGCACCGCCACGATCAATTGCATGTCGGGGAAACCCTGCATCAATTCTGTTTTTATCATCACTTGCCGCTTTTAGCTTTTAGCTCAAGTTAGCCAATCTGCCATCCTCTTCAATCTTAGATGTAAGCTCATCTGAGGGTTTCACAAGCTTTCTGAGCGCCCTTAACACTCTAACTACCAAGGCAGCCATTTTGACTGCTTTCAAAATTTACAATGTCATAACTAAACTGTCATAACACATTTATACCTATTTACCGGTCACACCCTGACTTTTCCTAAATGTGTGTATATTTGACTGCATTCTTTTTATAAAGGGTGTTATAATTCACTGTTTGCTTCATTTTCCCAAGACTAAGATTTTATAAGAGAATAAGACTCAAAAACGACAACTAGAAGAAAAATGACAAGTATGGAGGCTTTAGCCTTGCTTTCGAGCCTTGATGAGGAAGAGTCCGATGGATGAGCAAGTTCAGGGAATGATGTGTCTTGTTATTTTGAGGAAGGTTCTTAAAAATCTCAGTCATTATGATTTTCATTTTGTGTACTGATTTGTTTTTATCTATTCCACTAATTGATTAATAGTTTTAATTGTTCATTATCCAAATTATGTGCAAATAAAGACTGAACAGTCAAAATGACTCCCGTGGTCGTTCTAGTAGTTGCAGAATTTTGGTAGACCGAGCTTTGATGTTAATAATTCATTGAGATTATATGTAAAAATTTGTACATATATTGTGTAGCAACATCTTTCTCTACTTTCGCTCCCATTTGGTCACCCTGTGCTTGAAAAATCCATAGTGGCAAAGCCAAAAACTGTCTCCTAAAGTCAGGTTTTTGCATCATGTGAGAGAGACAACAGAGCGAGTAATTATTTGTACAATTAAAGCATCAAATTAGTAAATAGATTCAAAAGGATAAAGTTCATCCCTTCAGCAGCGGTCCACTGACGTGTAAAAGCTTTTTTCACGGAGCAGTGGTTCTGTTTTGTCGGATCACGGTGACACAGCACCTTTGTTCTTTTGCTTTGAATTTTCCACCCATCTCAATGTGGACACAGCTGTACTTTTTGATAGACTATTGCAAGGGTCACAAATCAGGAGCACATCCTGACATTCAATGTCTTGCTTAGAGACTCCTTTGCTGTATAAATCCTTGCCGAAACAGAAGCTTGAATCAGCTCCAGCGTACATCAGGAGGAATTCAACCCAGACACTTGCATTCGTCCCCACAGCTTTCGATCAATCAGACTTTAAAATGAAGGAAGGAGTTCAGGGAGAGCAATCAAATCTCCTGCAGAAAGTGCTTCGGATGGGCCCGGATCCTGTGAAGTGACAGTTCTAACCGCTGTGCCACCACCTGCTGTAAAAGAGTCAAATAACTTCGAAATCATTTTGGCTTCAGACCATCCTTTTATTTTCCACTGACACAGCAGATAGGCAATCAAACAGTCATTGGGTACATTGTGTTTTTTGAAGGGGTCTCCCTCCCCGTGCAGAAAGCTCACTGCACATTTTAAAGCACTTTAAAGAATAGACGAACTGCCCGACCTCCACCTCCACAATTAGTTTTGCCTGATGCAGCTCTCCCTTTTATCGATCCAGACGCTGTAGCGCAGGCGGAGGGGGAGTGGATGAATGACTTTGCCTTGCTTACTCGCTCTAATCTCTGTAACTATGTTTGGCCCCGTGCTCTCCTACAACTACACTAAAAACTGTCGATACACATAAGCTATACATATCCCCATTTATATCACATTACCCGTGGAAATGAGTGTAACTTTTAGACTTCAGACCTTAGCTGGTACTGAGTGTCAGTGGGCTGCTCTTGTGTGTTTAACACGAATCCCACGCTTTCCACACCCTGGACCACAGAACACTTAAACATCCACTATCAGCTTTTCCCAATCTGTTTAAACGGTGATTCTCCCATCGTTGTAAAACAACACAGTAAAATCTCAGCACAATATGTGTTGACTGATGGAGTTTTTTTTTTTTACTTCCCAGCTCCCGTAAAGCACTAATGCTCTTGTTGTAATATGGCCAAGCGAACAGTGCATTAATTGAGTCATTTTGAGTGAGCTTTCTTGGCGGCAACGGCTCAGAGACAGCGATTCATAGATACTATAAAGAAAACGTTAACTGCTTACATTGAAATGGGAGGATGTTTACTTTGGGAGACTTTGAGGCGAGGGATAAAGCAAATATATCATATTTTCTATCTATTACATGATAGGACGATTTTGTAAATTACAGACAAGCACAACCAAGCCAACTACAACAAACAAGTAATACAAGGGTGGAGCAGCGCATAACGTAACAAACTAACCTGGTACACCATCACCCATTTCTAAAAAAGTTGAATTTATGTTTTATTATCAGCCTTGTGACTACCGTATTTTTCGCACTATACGGCGCACCATCAATGAACGCGTCTATTCACGTCTGTTTTCATACACAAGGTGCACCAAAATATAAGGTGCACCGGACTATAAAGCGCATTAAGCCAAACAAAGTGTTCCGACAAGTCATCAGGCTGTTCGTAGCTTACCGAAGTCGTAACAAAACATTTTGACAGATTTTTGAGCGCTGTGTACCACATAAAATCAGTTCGAGGTCAGTAAGCACAACCAGAATTCCTACATAAGGCGTACCTGATTACAAGGCGCACTGAGGATTTTTGAGAAAATGAAAGGATTTTAAGTGCGCCTTATAGTGCGGAAAATACGGTAAATGTTCTTAAGAGAAAATGTTGCTATGTTAAATAATCGTCATGCTTTTATTTTGAAATTTCTTCTCGCTTAGGTTTCAGGAAAGCTGTTATAAAATCAAAATGTGTTGATTTTCTGCATGATATCAATATTTATTTTTTTATTCATTTTATTTTAAGACATTTATGGTCGATACCGGTGTAATGCAACAGCCTCACACATGCATTCTTTTGTATGCGTGTAGAAAATGCAGCGAAAAGCCAAAAAGTTTTTTAAGTACCTGCTTTAAACATCACAGTTTTACTCTCCATGTTTTATATCAGACAAAAATAAACATTTTAGCTATAATTTTTTGCATCCGTTAAAACTTTGTGACATCTGATAAGCAATTGAGAGTTGGTAAACTTTTTTTTTTTTTTTTTTTGAGACCCCATATTTTGTTTGCCATAATTGCTGTGCACCAGAACTCTTTATCCTGACACCTAAATACGTCCTCGATGTGTGTAGCTTCATGATAAGTGGATTTACGAAATGTGGCAGATGTAACTGTAATGGATAGAAACTTTTCCATTAATAAAAGCACTTTTGAAGGCTCTTTCAGCAGTAAAAACATCCGTAAACACTATAAATCTCCAAGGCAACGTTGCTCTTATCTTTTCTAATATTTAAGAAAACAGGCAAGAAGACTAAAAGCACAAATTTATATTTTTAAACTTTGACTTGATTTATTTCATGTCTTTCATTTTGGGGTCTTGCATTAGTCTGCCTTTAAGTTTGGGTCAGAATATCTAATCAAAGCATCTCCTCATCCCCAGTCTGAAAGCATTAAATTAGCCAGTTGCATTCGATGGATGAATGAAACATCAGTCGTTGTTTGATTGAATGGCATGGTTAGATTTAGGCCGCTGATTGGGAAAGTACCGGGATGATGACAAAAGCTCTCCAGAGCACGACTCACCTATGATGAGAAGGCCTCTTCAGACGAGCTGAGAGGATTATGGCTTCTCTTTATGGGCTCATTCGGTGCATGTGAAAGCCAGGACATGAAGCAGAGATATGAAGTGCACTTCAGATTTGGATTTCACATAATTAACTTTGCATGTTGGACCATAATAGATGACATTAAACTTACATTTTAGATTTGAATATGTTGCATTGGATTAGACTAAACTACAAAATTCAAACGGTAGGCATTAAAGATACTCTGAAGAGTTTTTTGTTTTTTATTAAATACACAAAAATTAATAATGATGCCTTTGATAACCAAAAGCAAACAAGACCATCATCAATAAGATTAATTATTTGTGTGGGTCATTTTTAGTGCATGGAACCAGCGTAAAGGTCCTTACACACCAGGAATGACGCAAATATATGACACAACATTACGAAATATTCAGAGGCGGATTTTGACCAACTGACTATACACATGAAGCGCAATGCGATTTTGCGACTTTCCAGGGGGAAACAAGACGCATCCCGGATGGAAGCGAGAAGACTGACACAACAGCAGACTGACTGTTTTTCAGTTCTGATTAGACACTAGTGTTGAGATGACTGTCTGTCATGATAGCATGTACTGAGTCGGGGCCAGTACCAGATAAACACATTAAACTATAATCCATAAACGTAAGGTAACAACAGAGACCTAATGGTGCTGTGACAGCAACGCTGTGATTGAGTTTGAGACAGTGAAAATACATATGGTATGTTGTATCTGAACAGGTTAGCTTACGCGCTAAAGTTACTTAGCACAGATGAAAGTTAAAACAAAGACGTTAGCAAACTGTTAAAGCACACAAACCATCGTCATATGAGAAATCCGACACTATGACTCTCCACAAGTTGTCCTTCAGGTCGTTATCCTTGTAATATTTGTGTCTTTTATCAAAAAAAACTCTCCGACACATAAACAATCAGCCGGTCGGCCATGTTGGATATACCAGTGAATCAGACATCGCAACAACACGCAATCTGATTAGTCAGAAGCGGACACACGGTATGCAAAACTCAAGAAAATTAGACCGTAATGCGAAAAAATAAATGCCGCAGTATCGCAGGACGGTAAAACGTCGCTGTTGTGGACGCTTGTGTTGACAGGATAAAGGTTTGAAAAAAATAATTGACGTCCGAAATAATCGCATGAAAAAAACACTCCCGGTATGTAAGGACCTTGAGGGTGTAGGTGTTAGATATGCAGCTTAAGAACCAGTTCCATTTTTACAATTCTGGTGTGAAATATATATTTATCAAATGATTGTTTTAGCCATCAAGAGTTAGCAAGATGAGATAGTTTTAGGTAGATTGTAGACTGTGGATTGTTTTGTCCACAGGAGGCGCCACAATTGACACAAACTTAAAACTACTTAAAAGCTTTAAAGATTCTGGGCTAAGAGTGTAACTGGAGCATAGTCTTAAATCTTACGCTAATGCCCACAACTGTGAAGAAAAAAATTACTCACTTCATACCCGTGATGTGGTTGGGTGCAAAGGTGCCATGTTGCTATCTTAAGGTGCACTACTTTCTGGCCGTTCATAGGCCATGTTTGTGAGGTAGTTCGATGGCCTTGGAAGGTGAATAACCAATGAAAACCAAGTCATGTATCTTGGTATTTAAGTCCAAGACAGTATCATATATCATATTGTATCATGTCATATATTATCCTTCCCTATTGTATCATAACGTAGTGTGATATAAGGTATCACACCTCTGTTTTGTTGAGTAGTTTTCACATGACTTTAACCCACATCAATTCAAGACATCTTTACATAAATGGACAATCAATTGGTGAGAGACAGGAGCACAACAGCACAGTTATGTTGGTTCTGGCCTCTGATGCGTTTTTAACTGCACCTTTCAGAGACTTGCTCACAGGCCAAAGCCACAGTGTTGGGAGTCAAACCTTGATGCGAATCAAATTGCATCCCCGTCTACAGAAACATAAAAATGAGCAACTTAACCGCTAATTCTTTTTTGATGTGCAGTCAATTCACAGGGAGGAAACTCTGCAGTTTAAGGTAATTATTGTAACTCATTATAACCAGCGGCATCAAGTGTCGGTCTTATAGGTCAAGTGGGTACAATCTGGCGCCTGAGTGTTCGTGGAAGTTAATAACTACATTTGCAACAGCAGCGTGGGGAGGTCTTGGGTGCACAAGTGGAAGCGGTTTTCATTGGCAGCTCAAATTGATCCCCTTCATTTGAAACTCTGACTGAAGTCTCCCAGTTTCCTCTTAAAATTTACGTTTGCAATGGTACAAATACAAATTTGATTACTCTCGAGACTGCTGCCGCTCATTCGAAGCGCCGACGAGGCAATGGTAGAAATGAAAGCCGCTTTGATTGTCAGTCAGGGAGATTCCTCAATTAAGACACGCAACAGGTGGGAAAACCAAAATTGATGTGACACACTTTCATTGTTGCTTCCCCAGCTTGGCTGTCAGTTTGTATCGCTGTCAGGTGTGGGTGACAGCCCACCAACTAATCTGAAGAGTCATTCAGACGGCAGTCATTGGAGCTGGATGTCTTCATTGGTGTAGTTTTTGCGAGTGCTTCCTTTGAGTTACTATCGTGGTTACTAATGAGGGACCAATGGTACCGGCCTCCCTGTAATCAGTGCTCATTGGACCAGGTTGAACCCAGCAGTTCAAATGTTGTGCAGTTCGTTTGCTTGCATGGTTGGTTAGATGTGTAATTGTATTGAAAGTGGTGTCTAGTCAAAAGGGACGGTCAAAAATCACGTTGTTTTAGCTCTGCGTGACACAGAGATAGCAAGCAGAGGTCAATAAACAAGGTTTTGAGAAATCATTGATGAATGAGCCAATGAGGATTCGCTTTGGTGTTTTTAGTTGTTTTAGCAGATTTGTGTTTAAGCAGATCACGAAACCATCATATAAATTAGAGTTATTGTATTCCACACTAATGAGGCTTTTTCAATCTCATAAGATACAATCCTTGTCTGTGATTACAGTCGAACATAAATGGTGAAAGAACTGTTCTGGCCAGGATTGCACTCCCTGTGGCCCTGTTATGGTGGACTTCTACCCGGTCCGTGTTCAGCCTTGATCCTGTGCAGCTTCATACCTCTTAATTCATCAACACCCACTTCGTTTTCAGAGTGCAGCGCGGCAGAGCACCATCAGACAGCTGGGGTCACAAGACCAAGGATTTCCTGCTTTACATTCAGAATCGGTGGTTTTCTATCTCCATGATGAGCTCTGGAAACCTCTGACCCGTTGACTCCACGCCTGGCCCTGCTCATTAGGATGGTTTGTCGGTGTAGTTAAGCGAAACATGATCTGGCCTCTACACAGTGCGTTTATTGTTTGTTTTTTACAGAGAAAAAAAAAAAAATTCAAACAGTCTGTCAGTGTCTGACTTCTTCTAACTCTTGATCTGCCCTTTGTTGATTGATGCATCTTGGCAAAACCCGTCTGTATCTACAGTGCAAAGATTAGGATTGCTGATGCTGGAGTGAAGTGAAACACAATGCAGCACAGCCACACATTGATAAAAATGTCTATGATTTTAAATAAAATTAAATTTTATATGAAAACTTCAAGATGATTTCTTTCAATTCCTGCTGATATAACTCATTATCCAGCCTCTCTCAAGGTCCCTCCTTAGACCAGTGTAGCTCAGCCAACATTTTCCACTTAAATGCCCAGACAAAGCAGATGCAATAGACCGAGTCTGTATGGCCTATAAAAGCCTTTATTTTCATTTAGCCTCCACAAATTACCTATAATTTTCTCCAGCAAAGTGGCGTGAATTTGAAACCGGTTCGATTCTGTTAGATATTTGGAAATAAACTATGAAAGCCTACAGAAAAGTATAAGTAGATTGCAAAGGGTTCAGTTTCATCAAGTCCACAAATTACCTATGAAAGGCTCCAGATTTCATTTAAAGTCTGAAAAGACGTGTGGTGTTTTTTTAAAGGATTTAGGTTTATGAAGTAGCCACAAAATACCTAAAAACCTCCTGATTAATTCTGTGAATTCGTCAAAGGTGGGTGTTCATTTGGTATCCACAATAAACTATAAAATGCACCAGAAAAGCGGTGTGAAACGATTCATTACACTTCCCAAATTTACCATTTAAGCTTTCAGAGAAGTGGTAGGAGCAGGTTTGGTTTCATTTAGTGTCCACAAAATACCCATTAAAGTCTCAGGGAAAGTGGCGTTAATTTGAGAAGCTTTTTTGGCACGACTAGAAACCATGACTTCACAGTGGGAGGCAGCCTTAAATTCCTTATTCTGGTAAATAAATGGTTTAATTTTATTTAAAAGATGATGCTGGTCTTCAGTGAGAATAATTCAAGTCTGTAAGAAATTTCCAATTAGTGTAAAGTCAGTGTGCTGTTGTCGGAAGAGAATTTATAGCACTAAAAGTCCTTACACACCAGGCGCGAATTTGCCAGGCGAATTATTCGCCTTTATTTGCCTTTTTTTAAAACAGCATAGGGTCAATGCAAGCTTCCACACCGGCGGCGATTTTTCCGTGGGGCGAAAAGTGTCTTATTTTTTCGCTCTTGTGTCGAATTTTTCGGGGATTTGCAGGCGAATATCTGGACCTGCTAGACCTCTGGCCAATCAGAAGTCATGTTGTTGATGACGTCACAGACCCATGCGGCTGCAGTTCACACGACACACACCACCACTGGCACCAAGAGCATCTATGGGAAAGAGGCTGGTAATTTATACGCATATTCGCTTCGCGCCCGGTGTGTATAGGCAAAGCGATTTTTCGGACCGGCGAATATTTTCGCATCTTCGTCTCGCTTTTTCGCTTTGTTCCGCAAATTCGCTGGTGTGTAAGGACCTTTAGTCGGTAAGTTTACATCACACTCGAGAAAACCAAATCATTGCCTTTCTCCGATTAAGACCGGACAACTGAAGTGCATGTAAACACCTTAGTTCGACTTTGATCAGAGTTTGAGAACTTCAAATGGGGTCGGTGAACTCCGATTAAGACACCCAGATTACGCGATTGGAATTCGATTTTCTCTACCATGTAACCAGCATAGTCGGAGTATGATTGGACAATGCGCATGCACGTGCACCACGCCCCTATAACCCCAGAACAAAAACACCAGAGAAGAGGAGTAGTGTGCACCTCATCTGCAGAAAAAGTAGCGCATACGTTATGTTACGACAAAAACAACGCTGTATGATGCTTCATCTTCTTGCTCAAAAATGCCCAGCAGCAGTTGTAGACACTTTGACGTCTGGCACAGACCTGCTGTTGTTGTTGAAAGGTATATGGGGTCAACCAGAAACAGCACCACTGAAAAGACCCACATCGCTCCCTAGTTTTCAGGAGAAGGACACGTTCACGTCAATAATTCGATTTTCTCAGCAGCATGTACACACGGACAAGGAGAGAAGTCAGATTCGGCGAAAAAAAACAACAAATTTTTAGCTTTGTCCGATTAAGCTGTGCATGTAAACACCCTGACTGACATCTAGGGTATCCTGGTTAATGCGCAAGCATTCGCACTTCTCAGGAGCTCCAGCTTGGTTGACAGATTACAGCCATTATGTTCATCTGGATACCACGACTCTTGATGAATTCACTTTAAAAAGTTTTTTAAACTCTAATGACATTGATTTTCTGCCGGAGCTGCCCATATTGACAGTTAATACATCACAGAACTGTGTTCAGCCAGTCAAAAGAAAAAAAGAAAAAAAAAACTTCAGAGCACTTCGCCAATCCTGGAAACAAGCCAGTGTTCCCCAGCTGTGTCGAGACCTCTACTAAGTGCAGGGAGAGAAAAAAAAAAAAGACTGCAGAAGAGAAAAGAGAAAGAGGGTACAAGGAGGATCGGAGGTGAAGTGTAAAATCATTATAATTATGCTTTGATATTAAATTACCATGTATAATTGAAATAGAGTTAGCGCCACAATCTTCTCCCCTAATAGCAGCTATACTGCACGGTTCTGTTCCATAACTTGCAAGTTATTACCTGTCCTGCATGGAATTAGAAGTCACACTATCATTATAAAACCCATTTACCCATCACTTTCTATATTAGATCCAGGCTGCACACACACACACACTATGGTTTTAATTACAACCCAGTGCTTAATTCTTCCTCTGTGTACTCTTATGGGTAGCCAATAATTTCGTTAGAGAAGGATATAACTTACAGTGATGCCGCTTGGACATGCCTGAAAACGACTCAACTTTATTAATTGCTTATAATTGACACAAACAATAACGCTGCATTATAACAATGGAGGACGGTAAGGCAGATAATAAGATTCCAGATCTGAGAGTGTTATTAAGTGATGTGCTAAAACACATTACTTAATTAAACTTGCACTGCACTCTGGGAAGTTTTTCTATTCCCTCAAGTTGTTTCATGTGCTCAGCTGCAACTCAGTGCAAGCTTGGTGTTGTTGATGAACAGCAGCCGCAACGGAGGAAAAGTCTATCTCTAGGTTAGAGGCATGACTCCGCATAAAAATGGCATCCTAGAGAGGGAAATAGTGTTCCTTGGGAAAGAATTGCACTGACTCTGTAGTGCGAATCATCAAATGAGATCACAAATAATTATGAGGTTTGTTGTCAGTGAACTCAGTATGTTGCTTAAACTAAAGGTCCTAACACACCGGGAACGACACGAAATTACGAAATATTCGGAGGCGAATTTTGAAGCACATTAAACTATAATACATAAATGTAAGGTAACAACCGAGACCTAATGGTGCTGTGACAGCAACGTGATTGAGTTTGAGACAGTGAAAAATACATATGGTATGTTGTATCTGAACAGGTTAGCTTACGAGCTAAAGTTACTTAGCACAGATGAAAGTTAAAACAAAGACGTTTAGCAAACTGTTAAAGCACACAAACCATCGTCATATGAGAAATCCGACGCTATGACTCTCCACAAGTTGTCCTTCAGGTCGTTATCTTTGTAATATTTGTTGGATATACCGTGAATCTGATGTCGCAACAACACGAAATCTGATTGGTCAGAAGTGGACTCATAGTATGCACAACTTTAGAAAATTGATACGAAAAAAGAAAAAGCCGCAATATCGAAGGACGGGAAACATCGCTGATGAGACCGTTTATTGTGTATTGACAGGATACGGGTTCGAAAAAAAATATTGACATCCAAAATAATCGCACGAAAAAAGGACCTTAAGAATGCAGGTTAAAAGTAAAGCATGCATAGATAAAACCACAACGACATGATCATCACTTAACCCCGCCCCTTGCGTCTGATTGGCCCAATTCATCCTTACCCCTCTTGTAAAGCTCCCCTGAAGTTTTTCTGAGCTGCTTCGCCTTATTTTCTGACCTTGTCTTTGTCTCCTCTCCGACTTAATTTTCTTTCTTGTTCCTCACTTTTGTACCGAATCTATTTGTGGCGAGTGAAAAACGATTTGTTTGACAAAACCATGACTGCTCCTGCTGTACTCAGAGCTTTGCTTTCTGTACCACACGGTGCAAACACAAGGTTATACACAGCTGGGTAAAAGTCACTTCTTTTGACAGATTTGCTCTTATTGCTGTTATAAATGTTCAATCCCAGTCCCCCTATTTTGAGATAAACTGCTGCCATGAAAACTGGGATTATCATAAACATCATAATTACACACACTTTAATTATAACATCCATACAGTGCTGCGCACTTGTCCAGAGTCATTTATAGAAGCTGCCTGACCAGCTGCAAACTACATTATAGGCTCTGTGGTGCACTTTACAGTCATAAGCACAAATTTAACAGCGTGCAAGCATTTTCCTTTTTGGGTGAAAATATTCCCTCCAGATTGTCTGTAATTTAAAGCCACTGTCCGGCTCCATAAATTCAGGCAATTTATTATCCAAGATTTTTAAGAGTAAAGGAGAACTTGTTAATGCAAGCACTCTGTTCTCACACAGTCATCATTATCATTTAAACATATAACTCTATTCATCACAAAGAAATACTTAAAAACTGTGTGTTAACCTGAAGGGTGTCACTGAAGACAATCCAAAAGTACTATTTGGTACTGGTGGCTCCTCTAGGACCTGAGTCCATTTTAAATGTACTTGGATAAAGTGGAAAACTCTTTGAAAGAGTGGAGAGATACACAGTTCATAATCCAGTATTCAATATTGTTCTAGGGATCAAAAAGTCTCAATGGCATGGATGGTGCAAATGTTCCCATCGAGACAGAGCCTGTATTTGTTTGGAAATCCAGGAGACCTGCTTCTTTTTAGTTAAGACAGTGAGATGTGGTTCCATTTTTGCCCGGTAAAGGGTTCATGCTCACCACTTAGGGGTCTCTTATCTTGTATTTTTCATCTTGTCATGCACTAAGAGTTTTGCGATTAGATTAGATTAGATTAGATTATTCAACTTTATTGTCATTAACCACAGTACAAGTACATGAACAACGAAATGCAGTTTATTATCTAATAAGAAGTGCAAGGAAGTAAAGTGCAAGGTATGTACATATGTGCAGTGCAGGTATGACATATGTGTATATATATATATATATATATATATATATGTATACACATATATGATTGAGAAGCACTGTGGTTCTATGTGAGGAAAAGGCATTGCCACTGCATTTGGTGGACACAGGCCCTAAAGCTTAGATTAAAATGTTATGTAAGAACAAAACAACATGCCACTTGAAAATTGGATTTTATTTATTTATTTGTCATATTTCAAAGCTATGGTTCTGCCTGATTCTTTCTTGGGAAAAGATGCATTTCTTGCATGTGTTCTGATACTTATGACAATGTGATGCTGAAACGACAAATGATTAAGTATCTCCTTGTTAGTGAAACCTAGCTACAGAAGTTCAATTCATCTAAACGCTCCACAGCGCTCATTTAAACAACTAACAACAGGTTGGAATAGCTACTAGCTACGACTTTATTCTCGTAATAAAATCATTACGAGAATAAAGTCGTAGCTAGTAGCTATTCCAACCTGTTGTTAGAACTTTATTCTTGTAAATAATGATTCATTACAACTTAATTTTCGTAAGAAATGATTTTATTACGACTTTATTCTCGTAATTATTTTATTATGACTTTATTCTCGTAAGTAATGGTTTTATTTCAACTATTTTCGTAAGAAATGATTTTATTACGACTTTATTCTTGTAAGTTATTATTTTATTACAACTTTATTCTAGTAATTAATGATTTTATTATGACTTTATTTCCATAAAAATTGATTTTATTACAACTTTATTCTCGTAAATAATTATTTATTACGACTTTATTTCCATAAGAACTGAGTTTATTACGACTTTATTCTTGTAATTATTTTGTTATGACTTTATTCTCGTAAGTAATTCTGAGGTCTAAAATTTTCTCTTTTCTTAATGTGGCTCTAATGCTCCGTTGTACAAAGCCAAGACAATATTTTACAAATAAAAAGTCTTTTTTTTTTTTTTTTTTAATCCTATAGGACTTTTTATAGCTTGACTTTTAAAGACTTAAATCATGATTATATATGTACCATCCTCTTAAGGATGGTATTCAGTAGTTACACAGTACACTCTGAATTTGCTATAGTTAATTAATTTTCAAAAAAAAATATACATATATGTTGAGTTATCAGAATAAACACTGATTTGCTTCCAGGCTATCAGTGCATTGGTACATGTATCATTTACAGGACCATCAGTGTCACTGACTGAAATGCAATAAGACTATAAATAGACGGCAAACTGTATGTACCGTGGTTGACATGAGCAGACATCCCTAGTTACTATGAGTGACATGCAGGCTGATTGTTGGGAATACAGTCACATGTTCATGTACTCTACTGGGTGGACTTGATTCATTCTTAAAATATCCTCTCCATGGCATGAAGCTCTTCGAGGTGAACATTTTTCCACACACAGTTTGAATCACTGTGACCATGATTTAGATTGAGTGTTGAAGTAGCTCTATAGGTGAAGAATATGCTGTTTTCATTTCTTACTTTGTACTGTGTGGACTTTGTATGAAGAACTTTAAATAACTTCCTGTTTCATTGGCGGAAAGCACAGTCTGACAATCTACCATATACTCAGTGTGAGCAATAACACTTTATGAGATCTGAAGGCTCTTCTTGTGGCATGTGTTTAACATATAAAAAGACATATCACAGAGATGCACATAGGATTTCATCATGGTGGTATGAGGGTTTTTTTTATAGGTCTATGCCTAGAGATTATCATGCATGTAGGTGAAATATTGAGGATATCTCACCAGACCTGATGCATGTGTGAATTTCGTTGAGTTTGGAGGCATGTTAAGGACCTGAATTTGGGATGATAATTCCTTGCATTCCTATAGGGTCTCTTTTTTTTTTGCTTTACATTTGCTCAAATTGCCTCAATTGATATTGAGTTACTGTGTTAAGATTCCTTTCCTCTGCTTCAGGCGGTGACACTGATGCCGTGCACTGTGAGTTAATAACTATATATGATCCCATGTTATTGAATTGATTTCTGTTGGACAGCATAAATAATAAAGATGAAATCAATATTTGACACTCTATATATCCCATATATACATTGCGTATCCATTATTTCCCAGGGTCCCACCAGAGGGATCACGAACTTCAGTCAAGCGCAGCCTCACTTGACAGACGAGTTCGTAAGCTGGGGTGTCAATCATGCCTCCAGGTGATGCCTTTTGCAGGAAAAATAACAAATTAGCATCTGTCAGAGGTTGTCAAGCAGAGGGCCACGACATTAGGTCAAACAGCTGCCGGGGATTTGATTAAAGCTGCTGCCAAGTTGACACGGAATAAAAACTCTGAAAATAGACTGCTCCTTAATTAGAAATGCATTAGCAGCAGATCACTTCTAACCAGAATGGTGACAAAACAATTTGTACACCACTGATGGAATTATTATTTTTTTATTCCGTTTCAGCTACAGTATTTATTACAATTGCTTGAAATCTGAATAACAAAAGCAGAACTCTCTCATTCTCTCTCAGCTTTCAAAGTGCACATAATTACCGGTTTTGCAATGCGACTTGCAGAGACGTCCTTGTGCTGCTTGGAATAATAACCGAGACCAATTTCAGGGATAAAGTTTCTCAGAGAATGTGGAGCATTCTTTATAAAGATAGAGACGATAACAGCCTGATTTATGAGCCGGTATGATCCCATAAGTGAAACTTAGAAGTCACACACAACAGAGAAGACTCCAGAAGTGACAGACAGGTATAGTAGTTGCATGCAAGAGCACATCCTTGTCACCATCCCCTCATATTTTCTATCAAATCCATATTTACCCCTTCAGATGGGGAGCAGACGCCATGACTTATCAGGGTCCTGGCTGAAGGCGATGTTTATGGTGAATGATGTCAGGGGCCCATGCTTGGCTGGTCACTCCGAGCGCCTCCTCTTTTCGGTTCTTCTCTGTGTCTGTGATCTGGGGTCATTATTGGAACTGTCAGCGTGCAATTTCAAACAGAAAAATTGCAGTTGTTGGCAGACAAGCAAATGGAGTGTCCTGCCACTAAGTCGAGGGATCAATATGATTTTTTGTGCATGCAGCGGCGAGTGTAGTGACTAAATGAACACTGCTTGATTTGCAGTGTATTTATTTTATTTTATGAAGCCTTCAAGTGATTTGTGGCCCACAGTTAGTCATATTCAATTTTCTGCCGTGCTTGAACTTTCTCAGGTTGTTTCCCAAGACCTTGAACTGCGATTTCAGCCTGACCATCTTCCAAACATTGCAAGGGCATGCATCCTTGGACATAATTTGACATTTAAATTTGTACCACTAGTTCCCAGAGGTGTTTAAAAGTTTATGTACTTGCCTGCCAAACAATCTGTGCTTATGGTAATGAAAAACAGCTAATGCCAAGCATATAGTATGGGCTTAGTACACTGAGTGCTGGGAACATGATGGTGTTTTAAAAAATGTATAAAAATAGGCACAACTGGTGCCAAAATTGCCCTGAGTGGACACAGGCCTTCAAAATTGCTGTACTTGGACACAGGCCCTGAAAACTGCCCTCAGTGTACGCAGGCCCTAAAAGTTGCCCTTAGTTCACACAGGCCCTTAATGTTGCCATCTGTGGACATGGGCCCTTAAAGTTGCTGTCAGTGTACACAGGCCCAAAAAATTTCCGTCAGTGCACACAGACCCTAAAAGTTGCCCTCGGTGTACACAGGCCCTTATAGTTGCCATCAGAAGACATAGGCCCTAAATGTTGCCATCAGTGGACACAGGCCCAAAAAGATGCCCTTAGTGCACACAGGCCCTAAAAGTTGCCATCAGAGGACACAGGCCCTAAAAGTTGCCCTCAATGCACACAGGTCCTAAAAGTTTCTATCAGTGCACATAGGCCCTAAAAAAAGTTGCCCTCAGAGGACACAGGCCCTTAAAGTTGCCATCAGTAGACACAGGCCCTAAAAGTTGCCCCAAGTGCACACAGGCCCTAAAAGTTTCCCCCAGTGCAAACAGGCACTAGCATTGCCTTCAGTGCACACAGGCCCTAAAAGTTGCCATCAGTGGACTCAGGCTCTAATGAGAATCATACGGGTACAGTGGCATTGAGCTAGTGGTGCTGTTTGCAATCAACAAAGGTAATTGTTTCCATGACTATCAATACAGAGGAAAATTTAAAAAAGTTTCTGTGTAGCTTCGAAATGAGAGAAGTTCTTACCTTAACTCTATGGAAATTAACCAGTGGGATGAAAGAGTTGGTGCAGTGATACAAAAACCACAAATGATTGGACAGGATATGGGAAAATAAAATATGAAAGATGCACAAATGAAAATTAACCACCTCACTGAGCCGCTGTTTTAAAACGAAGCTCTCAAAGAACACTGACTAAGACTCCCAAACGAAAACACAATGGCAGCCGGGGATGTCTTAAAAGAGATACACAAAAGCCTGGGGCAGAAGAGGTCCAGCACTAACTGACTGTACCCGGAGAGAAACGTGTAATGGTGAGGAAATCATGCAGACAGGTTCCCCAAATACCAATTAAGAGCAAAGACAGAATGAACTACTCATTAGTGATGTGTCGGTCATGAACGAACAGATCAAAAGAACTAGTTCTTTTTGGTGAACGAAATGAACGAGGTCACCCCCCCTAAATGATCCGTTCAGTCCGTTCAGTTCTTTTGATTGGCTGAAGAGTCAGTTCACCGTTCCTTAGGGTGGGACTATCTCCGTGCTTGCCTGTCTTATCCTATCATCGTGCCTCGCTCTGTGGGTGGGTGGGGCTTAGAGAAGCAGCAGCAGTACTGAGCTGACTGTAATGTGCTGTAATGTGCTAGCCTAGCTATATAGCTTGGTTTAGCTGGGTCAACATGCCGGTTTTTCGGTGTAAAAATTGACCCCGTTACCTGGAAACTTGCGCATGAGATTGTCCCAAGTCGCACAGCTGTTGAATACATATTCTTAGATCTCTCTGTGTTTTGAATGTCAGCAAAGACGTATCTGTTGGAAATACTTGATGTTATTGTCACAAAGGGAGCTAAGAGGCTCTCGTTCGTTCAGAGTCTGAACAGATCTCCCCCTGCATAAACCCGGTCAGCCGTGTCGAGTCAGTCCGTTCGCTCACATTCGTTCAGACGCTGAACGAACGTGAACATGAGCGAACGGACTGACTAACGACCAATTGACCGAAATGACTGAAATTAACGAATCTTTTTACTGAACGAACCGGAATGGTCCGGTTCACTGAAATGAATGGTTTTGCCCACCACTACTACTCATACAGCAGTTACCAGGAAACGTAATGTGATTCAAATTAGACTCATTCAAGGTAATCTTATGCTCTGTCAGAGAAAGACTTCATTTAAAATTACACTTTTGATTCATTTCATACATATAATAACACGAATATTGAAGCCTTCCAGTGAGTGGTGCCATATTGTGCTGTAGCAAGCAGCAGCTGTGACGAGAGTGAATGTGATCAATACCAGCATCCAAAGAGATTTAAAGGATAGTTACATCAAGGTCTTCTTTTTGTTGTAGTTTATACTGCAGTGTTCAGATGCTGAGGAGGAACATATCACACTGAGGCATGACCTTTAAAGGTTTGGTAAAGCACTTTAAAGCACTCATTTTCAAAGGACTCTTTGGTGAAAGACAGGAAAAAGGTAGCATTAATGTTTTCTAAAACTTATCCAAAAAAGAAACTCAGACATTTCTAGCAAGGATAACCAGATCCAGTTATTAAAAGATAGGACCTAAAAACCATCATTGATGTTGCTGATTGGCTTGTTTGGATTCGGATCATCTTAAACGACATAAATGTGACTTTTAATTAGGGCCCCACCGATTTATCGGTGAGCTGAATAAATCAGCCAATTTTAGCCCAATTGAGACTAATCAGTAATCAGCTAAAACTCGATGATTTTCACCGATATTTTCAGAAATAAAATGTGGAAAATAAGATTTGGTTGCACTTCGAAAATGTTCCGCCATTTGAACAGTTGCCCGACTTATCCTGTAGATGGCGCAGCGACCTCATGACAATCTTCATCCACTAACTACCTCACAGCACAGCAGAGTGACGGATCTGAAGCAGGCAGCTCAGGGACGCACGGAGGAGAGTGGTCCACCTCAACGGTAAATAAACTAGCTTGTGAAATACACAATAAGTCAACAAGTTTCAGTTCAACTCACTTCACGATGTTCCCCGCTGTGCTGGTCTTGGTCACGCCGAGTTAACGGTGAAGCACCATGTAATATGCAAGCTAACGTTAGAGTTAGCCACCTGCTATTAGCCTTGCTACACTGTTAGCCGCGCTAGTAACGGTAGAATAAACAACAGTACACATTACATGATTGAGCTACTTCTCTTACTGAGGCAGCTGAATGTCTCCAGATGAGACCAGACCGGAAATGAGTAACGTGAGTTAAGACGCGGAGGCACCGCATCAGAGGCATCGGGTAGTTGACGCTTTTCTGGTCCGAGTTTGATCAGTCGGTCTTCTTGTCGGCGTGAAGAGCAGTAGCCTACAGTATATCTACAGTATAAAGTAAACTGTAGATATCTACAGTATATATATATATATAATTTTTTTTTTTTTTAATAACTTCAAAAAAAATTGAAAAGATCCGCTGATTAATCGGTAATCCGAATTTTTTCCCCCTAATAATTGGTATCGGCATCGGCCCCAAAAAATCCATATCGGTCAGGCCTTTATCAATATGACTTTCAATCAAAGTTTGGCACTCTTTTTGGGAAACCATGGACCCCAGACTCGCTTTTTTAACCACACTGATCGTCAGCATTTTCGGGGTTACCTCAGTCTACATTACCACTGGACTTATGGGAGCTGTTCTCTGTTTGTAATACATTGCTATACGGTCCTGTGGTACTTTTCCTATCTGCTTCCCTCTGTAAACCACTTATAAAGATAAATAATGAGGACAAAATCTAGGAATCCAGCCAGACTGATCCTCTAAGATAAATTGAATCAGATATTCAGACGCTTTATCAGAGCCACTAAGGAGATAACACAAATCTGCGCAAAGCAGAGCTGCAGAGGAACAATAAATAAAGACACGGGGCTTGCTTTCTTATCAGCCCCTTCACTTTCAGGTTACATTTCAAGTCTACAAATGACACAATGTGCATGTGGTATGCTAATAAATACGTGCATTGCTCTGCAGTGATTCATAACAGCAGACTTTTTGGACCCTTTGTGGTGAATTAACAAAAAAGTGCATTAGCAGGCATTCATTATGCAAAGCAATGGCTCAGAAATAATGTGCAAAATTACTAGGACTGTGCAATCCATTATTGTCATTTATTTCCACACTGGGTGAACAAAAAGGGAGAAGAATGGGAGAGATATAAGATGGAACAAGCCGGGCCTGTTTTTAGCAGGCACATGGAAAGACACTCACTCGCACACATACGCACACCTTTAAGCTGTCTTTCCATGAATGTCTTTTAAGCCGCATGTCACATCATGTCACTTTTATGCAAAAGAAGTGCCTCACTGTTGTGTGATCTGATGTGCTGAGTGTGTACGCACACGCACTCGCTGTACGCAAGTGCGCGTACGTGCTCGCCTTCAGTTGATTCAGCGTTCACATTTGTTCGCTGTCATTTATTAGCAGAACCAGACTGCTGCCTCAACCTCCTGGAGGCAATGAGAGCTATTTAAAGAAATCAGAGCCACACCAAGTCTCTAAATGAAGACAGGGGCGAATGAGGGCGAGACGAGGGGAGGAGGGGGGAGAAAAAAAAAGGGGGAACAGAAAGAAGTGTTGAAGGAGCGAAAATGACAAGGCGGGCGAGGGGGGAGAAAAGGAGAGGAAATTACAGAAGTCTGGAGAGAACGGGGAGAGAGGAGATGAGGAAGGGGCGTGAGGGTGAGCCGCAGAGTGCTGTCAAGACAAAAAAGGTGCAAAGGGTCATGGAAGGGAGAGATGGAAATTTGAAAGGATGGGAGGCGAGCTAGCAGAGTGAGCAAGCATGGTTTGAAGGAGAGGAGGAAGTAAACAAGTCTTACTTTGAACTTAAGGCAGAGACATGCGAAGGAGAATGATGGAGAGAGGAGAGAGAATGGAGAGCAGAGGAATAAAGAAGAAAGATACAGACAATGAATATTGATGCACATGTTTTGTGCACAGAAATAAAGATTGGTGGTGAGTGGCTGATGAGTGGCAGCCAAGAAAGGTAGACAAAAAGGGAAAAACATGTAGAAACAAGAGAGGAATGTTAAAAGCATCAACCAAATCGAAGAAAACAGACATGAAGCAACCACAAACCTCAACATATGGATTTGATTGGATTACAGGACTGACATGACTTTAAGTGCTGTTGTTATAGTCCGTTATTGTTAAGGATGCTAACAGGAAAGGACGCCAATTTTTTTAATGTAACTGCGACTTTTGTACCAGTTGGAAAAGAAAGAAGAAGAAAGTATGGCATACAGTAGTTGGTTGTCTCAGGAAACCATTGATGTCATTGGATGGCCCAGTGATTGGCTCAGCCACAATCCCCTGGCCAAAAACCATAGCTGTATGTCTTCCCCAATCTCTCCTCCCCATATTTCATGTCTTTTCAGCTGTCCTTTCTAATAAGGTTGAAAATATCAGAGAAAAAATAACTTTAAAAATGTAGGGGCTCCTTTACAGTACTCGGCTCGTATTTCACCGACTTCTGGGGTAATTAAATCAAATGGTCTGCTGAAGCCTGAACCCCAAGTGGACTGTCTGGAAGTCAGCAGAAAGTCAACATGAGACCTCGGGAAGACCTGATGAATTGTGGGTTTTGACAGCCCTCAGCACTCACAGACTTAACAGTGAATGTGTCTCCAGAGTGTCACAGTTTGCCAGAGTTTGAAGTATGCACATTCAGTTCATCCTCAGAGTTACTCATGAGCAAAGTTTAAACTCCTAGGAAAGAATCTGGACCACTGACATTAGCGAAGGGAATCATATACGCATATAAATCTTGGTAATCTTAAATCTCGTACTAAAAGGACTTAATTGTCAAAATCTTAGTGTTTTTCTAAATGTGATCATGATGTAAGTTAGAGGATATTACTGTAAATCTAAGAGACCAAAGCAGTTTTACAGCTCATTTCAAAGTAAAATATATGTATATTGATCTCATAAATCTTAAAAATCTTAAAACTTGTACTTAAAGGGCTTTATTGACAAAATCTTTGTTTTTTCTAATTGTGACCGTGCTGTAATAAACGAGATATTACTGTAAATCTAAGAGACCAAAGCAGTTTTACAGCTCATTTCAAAGTAAAATATATGTATATTGATCTCATAAATCTTAAAAATCTTAAAACTTGTACTTAAAAGGCTTTATTGACAAAATCTTTGTTTTTTCTAAATGTGAGTCTGTGATGATTTATACGGTATATTACTGTAAATCTAAGAGACCAAAGCAGTTTTACAGCTCATTTCAAAGTAAATTTTATATTAATAAATCTTATTAATCTTAAATCTTGTACTAAAATGACTTTATTGTCAAAATCTTAATGTTTTTTCTAAATGTGACAGTGAAGTAATTTACGGGATTTTACTGTATATCTAAGAGACCGAAGCAGTGTTACAGCTCATTTCAAAGCAAATTTTTTATATATAAATATATATCTTGTAAATCTTATAAATCTTAAATATTGTACTAAAAGGACTTTATTGTCAAAATTTGAATGTGTTTCTAAAAGTAACTGTTATGTAATATACAAGATATTACTGTAAATCTAAGAGACCCAAGCTGTTTTACAGCTCATTTCAAAGTAAAATACATACATATATATTAATCATTTAAATCTTATAAATCCTTAATCTTGTACTAAAAGGACATAATTGTCAAAATCTTAAGGTTTTTTTTTTTTCCCTAAATGTGACCATGATGATTTACGGGATGTTACTGTAAATCAAAGAGACCAAAGCAGTTTTAACTAATTTCAAAGTCAAATATATATATAAATATATAAATACATATAAATATTAATCTTACAATTCCTTTATTTTGTACAAAAAAGACTTTATTGTCAAAATCAATTTTTTTTTAAAATGTGAGCGTGATGATTTATACGGTATATTACTGTAAATCTAAGAGACCAAAACAGTTTTACAGCTCATTCCAAAGTAACCACGCAGGTTTGAACATCTGTACTTATGAAGAGCTCATTCACACAATAACGCCCAAAGGAACATGGGTGAAGGTACTGAATCTAATGATAGTTCATTTAACGCTTAAAGGCATATTCCGGCATTTTATGCTAAAGCACTGATGTGATGCTAATGAATGTGCTGCAGATACTATGGGTGCTATGGAGAGGAAAAAAGGGGGTAATTAGTACGGTAAAGGTTTATTCAGTTTCACGCGTCAAGCACTTTTAGGGGAAAGTGCTTGACACCCCATAATAAGTGTAGAGAGTCTCATTGCATCAATTGGTCATGAGATATTTCAGTCTGTTACCAAGCAATAGACCAATATATTTTACTCTTGCGGTATGCTACTAGCATGGGTACAAACAGAAATGTCAACTTATGTTCCCTCTGATTTTTTATGTGTTTAATGAAAAAAACTCGCCTCACAGAGGTTCAAAGCGTTCAAGCTTGTTAGAGATAGTACCTTTGAAGCGTAACCCAAAGCACAATACAAAAATTTGGCTTGTTTTTGCTCTGTGGCAACACCCCCCTGTTTGTTTGCTGTTGTCGGAAACTGCTGTTTCACAGCTAATGCGGCCTTTGTCAGCAACAAACAAAACCCCCAGCAAGAGAAAAATTGGGTCCTCTTTTTTTTTTTCTGTTTGAACTACAGCAGCAATTAAGCCATGTCTGCTTCTTATTAAAGAGAATTCAAATGATGGTTTGCCTCACTGCCCTCAGATATAATATGATTCCTCTGGCTCCATATTACCAGCAGGATGAGAAATTACCCCCAGTGTCTGCAATCTAAAGAAAAGTTTGAGGAAAGTATTAAGTTTTTTGAATTATCACGGGAGGGGGGGATTGAATTTAAGCTGCAATTTAATTTTTTTTTAAACATTTGAGATAATGTAAATAATTCCTGTTCAGCCTGTGATTTCTTCTGCTTTAATTCATTGTAAATTAATACTGCTACAAGTCAAAAAGAGGAACTAAACTGCTCGAACTCAACTCTTTGGAGAACTGGTGATTAAATCTCCTCCTTTTGATTACTCTGTACTCAAAGTTAAAGGAAAATACTGAACCTTTGAACTTAGATACTTTGCCGCTCGATCCAGTTATTTGTATAGATATGTACAATGAAAGCTGAGCAAAAGTTCAGGGCTGGTGCTGAAATTACAGTTTATTCAGTGTACTTGCTGTCGTATTAAGAATCTTGTTTAAAAAATCTATAACTAGACTGCCATTCAAGCAGTCTTAAAACCAAGACATGAAGGTTCAAGAAAAAGTGTTTTTGCACATGTCAGCCTCAGAAAATATCAGCCTGTGAGAACATAGGGGACTCGGCATGCTCTTAAGTCATGAATGGAGGAGAAATCGCAAAAGAGTAATTGAGGTAAAGTGAAAGTATTAAGGTCCTTACACATCTGGAACGATGCAAATATATGACGCGAAATCATGAAATCGCAAATTTTGACGTGCCTGACTGTACACATCAAGCTCAATGCGATTTTTCGACTTTCCGGGGGGAAAAAGACGCATCCCGGGTGGAAGTGAGAAGACTGACACAACAGCAGACTGACTGTTTTTCAGTTCTAATTAGACACTAGTGTTGAGATGTCTGTCTGTCATGATAGCATGGACTGAGTCGGGGCCAGTACCAGATAAGCACATTAAACTATAATCCATAAACGTAAGGTAACAACCAAGACCTAATGGTGCTGTGACAGCAACACGATTGAGTTTGAGACAGTGAAAATACATATGGTATGTTGTATCTGAACAGGTTAGCTTACGAGCTAAAGTTACTTAGCACAGATGAAAGTTAAAACAAAGACGTTTAGCAAACTGTTAAAGCACACAAACCATCGTCATATGAGAAATCCAACGCTATGACTCTCTACAAGTTGTCCTTCAGGTCGTTATCTTTGTAATATTTGTGTCTTTTATCAAAAAGTACTCTCTTCTCCGACACGTAAACAATCAGCTTGTCGGCCATGTTGGATATACCGGTTAATTAGATGTCGCAACAACACGAAATCTGATTGGTCAGAAGTGGACATAGTATGTGAAACTTAAGAAAATTCGACTGTGATATGAAAAAATAAATGCCGCAATTTCGCAGGACGGGAAAATGTCACTGATGTGAACGCTTGTATTGACAGGATACGGGATCAAAAAAAAGTATTGACGTCCGAGTCACATGAAAAAACACTCCCGGTATGTAAGAAACTTCAGGGTAATTTATTTGGGGGAGTAATTTTCTAACAATAATATAGTCAAACATTTTATAATAATTTAACAATAACTTCATTCTCATTAAAAAAGAATAGGTAAATTGTTTTACTAAACATATTTTTGGTAAGAAAATAGCTGAAGATAAAATCAGTAATTCTGTATTGTGAGCCAATACTCTGTTGAAGACACTGACTGTCACATCAGAGACAATTAGTCTGCCGTGTGACCCTGTTATTAAGTTCATACACCCTATAATGATCAGCGGGGTTACCAGAGGATGTGGGTATGCTGCTTGATAGCTTGATATTAACGCTGATATTAACATTTGCAGAACAACATGCAGATTTAGGCCTAAATCCAGGATCTGTTTTTAATGTTAATATATTTTTTTAGAAAAGCTTAACCCCCAGAATCACTCTTGTATATGTGTGGCAAACAGCCTGTTCAGTTTAGAACATTTTACACGTTTATTGTACATGTGTATTAGTTTTAACTTACAGTAGATCACACACTACCTTTACTTTTCCTATAAAGAATCAATAGTGACGCTTGTCATTCAAGAACTGATAGTTTAAGGTTTGATTTTGGGTAAAACTCACAAAGAAAGAGTAAAAGAGAAAACAAACGGCTTATGTGAGTTGTTGCTGTCAGGTCGCAAACACGCTCCCATCTGAAGCCGGCTTTAATGAGGGGGTGGTGAAAAAGAGGAGGGAATGGGAGCCTATGATGGGCTATTTTCAGACCAAATGGACCGTGCACAAGCTTTTGTTGACATTTAAGGAGGAAAATTAACCTTAATTTTCCCATTACTCCATCATCTTTAAAGTGGGAATCACAGTTACTGATCCATGGCCTTGAAAGGACACTATATGATCCAGATCTGGTGTCAAATTGAATTGCATGTCGATGGAAACTCATCCTAAAAATTACTAAGATTTCCAAAACACAGGTGTGATACGATATTTACTGTATATTCACAAAAATATGAAGAGAATCGCAGTAGCTGCGCACTCTGTGAGAAAAATAGATGGGAAATAACAGTTAAAAGCTACTAAAATGAAATATCTGATACAATAAAAGCCTCGCTCAACAGAGATATTGTGAAAATTGCAATAAAGCGAATTTATAAAAGGAGGAGAATGGTTATACCGGTGCTGGTTGATTGTGTAAAAAAATTGCTAAAGCAGACTCAATAAGAACTGCTCTTAAAAAATCATCGTATTGGTCAATAAAGTGAGGAAAGAAAGTGGAATTGAAATTGACTGTCTCTCATACTCATAATCAGAACCAGAATGATCTACTACAATTTATAAGCAACCTGTGATCCGGTGTTATCCCAGCCGTAGTTACAGTTCAGGCTGTAGCAGACGACAGTCGATATAATGAAAAGAAATTAACTTAATCTGCCTCTATTGTGTTACCAACAATCCAATGCAAGTATGTCAAATCAACAGGAGCTGAAGCGGGGAGAGAAGTGGAGCAGGAACACAGGAAGTAACCGGAGAGTTAAGAGATGGAGCACAAACAAACTCAAACAGGGGAATATACAAGTTGATACTGAGAGTCGAGGAGATCAATATAACAAAAGGTGAGTCAGGGGCTGACTCAGTCGAGAGAATATACTGTTGAATTAAAAAGAAAGTCAGGAAAGAGCTGCAAAATAGAACAAAAAAATACATTGACTGATATATTGACTGATATTAAAAGCTTTTTTGTATATACACCACAAAAAAAGATGCTTTATTAACGGAATCCTGCCTACCCCACCTTTAACTTTAACTTTTTATTTGTATCCATTGCCAATCAGTTATTTATCTGTGACCTTTATGAAACCAGTGGTATTATTTCGAGGCTTTAACAGATTACAATAATCAAGCAATCTTGGCATCAAATCAACATAATCAGCTTTATTAGATTATACATAACACCATGTAATCATGTTGGACCCAACAGTCATTTAAAGTACAAAAGGAGAAGCAGAGAAAGTGTCGCAAAAGGTTCACAAACAAACTGAGGCCGGTAGAGTATTAAAATTAAGACTCCAAGCAAAGGAAATCAATAAACCGAGGGAGGGTCAGGGGATTAGTGAAGGGCCACTGACACAGTCTCTGGGAGGAAACCCTTGAACAATTAGGGAAATGAGGGTGAAATTGCAAAAAGGAACAAAGAAGTAGCTCAAACTGGAGTCTTGCTAAAATTAAGTTCCCCTGACAGAGAGTTCTGCTTTCACAGGACCACTCATGAGTGGAGTTTGCATAATTTTAGCCAGGAGTTGCCACTTACCCTGACATGAGAATAAACTGTATGCACTTCTTATACACACAAAACTGCTAACCTCCCTCTGGGAGTTGTTTTGGTAATAAAAAATAATGACTTAAAGCTCATCTGGGAACTTTTTTAACACTTAAAAAAGAAACAGAAATTTATGTTAATGCCTTTTGATGACACACAGAGGCAAACATGACCATCGGGAACAAACTTTATGCATTTTAAACTGGAATTTTCAACACCTAAAACCAGTGAGAGGGGATAGGTGTAAGTGAAGCTTCTAAATAGATAGTCGTGTTTTAACATTTCTAATATTAATTATTCACAAAAAGTGATGAATTTGACCGGCAAAAATTAGTAGGATTAAGTTTTGGTAACACTTTACAATAACCATAATTTATAAATGGTAAATAGATAGTTTATTAATGTTTAATCATCATTTAAAATCAGCATATAGACCAATTATAAATGGCAAATAAATATGTTATTCATCTAAGTTAATATTTTCTTGATCATTAACAAGCATTAAAATTATGATTAATAATTTTCACTAATTGTTAATGCAATATTGATTAAAGGTTTATATAGGGTTTAAATATTAGTTGTAAAACATCTAGATTAACACGTGTGTCAGTAGCACTTTATAAATGGTGAATATTTGGTTTTTAAACCATCTACAAACATTACTTAGATGGTTATTTTAAAGTTGCAACTGATCTTTGTAATACTTTGTAAATGATTAACAAGTGGTTTATGAACCACCATTAAACTTTACTTAGATGGTTATTGTAAAGTTAGGGTTAGGGTTAGGTTTAGGTTTTTAAAATTGTAAAATTTACAATTTATTAATGGTCTATGTCCTATTTATAAATGATGATTAAACATGAATAAACTATCTGCTTACCATTTATAAATGGTCTATTTACCATTTATAAGTCAGGGTTATTGTAAAGTGTTACCTAAGTTTTTGTTAAATGATACTCCTGTAGCCAACAGGGGGCGCCAAAACTAACATAAACCAAAATGTCCTTATTGGAGCTTTAAGAATGGTTGATCTGTATGTCGCATAGAAAGGTAGTAAAAGTAGACATTTCAGCTTGATTTAGGAACAGTTTCACAAATCCCACCAGGAGCTTTAAACTGGTCTTGATTTTAATTTTTTGTAAAAATTCAATCACCTTAAAAAATGTTTAATGTTATAAAAAAACACACGTTTTTATAAGTGTCTTATGAGGAATCTGTGTCAGGGTCTTTATCTGTTATCTATCGCCCTTAGAGAGATGAACCACAATACCCAATTTTGACGAACTGCCAGGGAAGATCTCAGTGTGTGAGTCTCTTTACTAACACACCAACACATTCTGCAAAATAGAGACTTTGGCCCCAATCAGAGTCCCCTAGTTTTGTGAGCGCTGTCCCAATTCTGACAAAATGAGGTGGATATTTAATTTCTCTTTTGAATTGGTCAGTCCAGAGTGCGTATCAAATACAGCTGCGCCCGAAGCAGATAGGGCAACAACTTCTTTATTCAGACCGTAAATGAATTTCAGGCCCATGTGGCCCCAGCGTGCAGCAGTCGACACTGAATGCGAAGGCCTCTTTTCAGCCGCTAATTGAAAGGCTCAAATGCTATTCTCAGTCATTTCACTGCACTTGAAGTCACACAAAGCCTTGTTATAACATAATTAATACACATTGGAGGCATCATTAGGAGTTTAATTTCATCCATCTGCCTGCTGGTGATTGCATAGAGCAGCCCTTGGAATAATGAACATTTTGGGTGAATGAGATACATAATACTTTGATAATATTGTCCCCCCATTTTCACTTATTAGCATATCGCACAATGCCGTAAAACACATTGCGAGATAAAGCCCAAGTGAAGTTTGGAGTCCTCCTCAAAATGATATCAAGTGCTAAAGGGTGGGATACAAAGAGGACACACACAAACACAACCTTCAACAAACCGCCGATCCCCCCCGAAACAAGTGGCAGTAATAGGACAGGATACGAGGATTACTGGGACAATCTTGAAGGGTTTTTATTTTAAAACGGCACTCATGGGGCCGGCCAGCTGAGAGTTAGGCAGGGATTACAGGAGTCCACTGGATTTGTCCAAAAAGGATTACCCACTTAGGGGGTTACACTGACACTGTTGACAATTGTTTGGGATTCCTCCTCTGTTTGTTCTTCAGTGTTTTAAAGCTAAACCAGAATTACTGGCAATTTCCACTGCAACCGGAACAGTTACGAAAAGGCCGTATTCGCCAATTGTAACTGATCGTAACCATTCAAGTTAATGTGTCAATTTCTACTGGCTTCTTTCCGTTTCGCTGCAGATCGCTGGACTTCTCAGCTGATCGTAAGAGTTCTATTTTTTCCGAATGCCAGAGCACGCCGCATAAATTCAGCACAGATTAGGGTCCTTATGAAATATTCGGAGGCAAATTTTTACGCGATTGACTATCCACATCAAGCCCAATGCAAATTTGGGACTATCCGTGGGGGGAAAGACGCATCCCGGGGAAGACTTTTCCCGGGGAAAGTCCCGCCTCCTTCGCTTCTGATTGGCTAGAAAAGCTGGAAATGTCATCACATGCTCAAGCCAAACAGTCAGCACTTAAAGCCAATCAGAGGCGATAAGATAAGCACATGAAACTATGGTAACAACCGTTTGCTTACACTAGCACAGATGAAAGTTAAAACAAAGACGTTTAGCAAACTGTTAAAGCTCACAAACCATCGTCATATGAGAAATCCGACACTATGACTCTCCACAAGTTCTCCTTCAGGTCGTTATCTTTGTAATATTTGTGTCTTTTATCAAAAAGCACTCTGTTCTCCAACACGTAAACAATCAGCCGGTCGGCCATGTTGGATATACCTGTGAATCAGACGTCACAACAACACTATCTGATTGGTCAGAAGTGGACACACAGTATGTGAAACTTAAGAAAAATCTACCGTGATCTGAAAAAATGAATGCCGCAATATCGCAGGACGGGAAAACGTCGCTGATGTGAACGCTTGTATTGACAGGATACGGGTTCGAAGAAAAAATATTGACGTCCGAAATAATCGCACGACAAAAACACTCCTGGTGTGTAAAAACCTTAAGTCCATGCTGGGAAGGAAGTCGGGCACAGACTCAAAATAAAACATTCGGCTTCTTTTCAAAATAAAACACGGTGTGTATCAGGCGGATTGTGTTTCACACCATGCGAACGGGCGGAGACGAACAAGTGAAAGGTTTATTGACAGCATTTTATCCTGATAACACCATGGATGAGGAGATACTGATTTTACAAGTCTACAAGTAGATTTCCTCCTCTGGAAGGACACAATCTACTGCGTATATGGTTAGCCTATGTAGCTAAAGATGACTTGTAATTCCGCAATTGCATGTGAATTTGTGGGTTCTTGTGAGTTCTTGCGATTCCTGCTGTCCGTAATCCACCAAGAAATTCGCCTCACAAACGGATCTAGTTGGAATTGGCATACGGACACAATCTACTGCATATATGGTTGGCCTACGTTGCTAAAGACAAGTTAATATCGCGCGATTGCACATGAATTTGCGGGTACTTGTGAGTTCTCGCGATTCCTGCTGCCCGTAATCCGCCATGAAATTCGCCTCACAAGCGGATCTGGTTGGAATTGGCGTACGGTGAAAATCGCTGCCGTTCCAGATCAGTGCCGCTCTGGATGTGGTGGAAATCCCGGGTTAAATTCATATCGATGCCTTTACATGATAAACAGAAACAAACAGGAACATCAGCGACAAGATTGATGATTTTTTGTATGAAACTTTAAAACACGAGCAAAGAAAAACCGAAAAGTAAATTGCAGTTTGTCGGTTGTTATTTGCATGTTAGCAGTCACATATCCAAACACCTGTGCGCCTCCATTTCACTACAATCTGATCCCTAACAAGGCTTGCTATCATATGTTCATCCTGTACTTAAACTAAACCCTGCAGCCACTACCTGGCTCACATCCTGCTTCATCCCAGCTGCTGGTTCGTGGACACCTGGCTTTACCAGGTGTCTACCGTCCATACTGTGGAGAGGTCTCGTGGTGATTCCTTCCCCCTGCCCAGCTTTTCATTCATACACCCAATTCATGGATGTATGACAAGAACACACGCTGATGTTTTGGGGTTTTTGTCAAAGCAGCTACATGCAACCTTGACATCCCCCTAAGGCAACTCAGGCAATTAGATTGTATCCTGTATTAAATCTGCTTTTTTATGTTTTCAGTCTGTTCCCTCGAGCTTTGGTGCCCATTACTGCAGTTTTCAAATGTCAAACATTGCACTGACAAAAAGGATGACAAAGATTATTGGGAATTACTCTGGTTGACATACATACATCGTTTCCTGTTAGTTATTTGTGTACATGACGTCTTCTGAAACAGCATGAGAAAGGGAGCAATACCAAAATATTCCCATGTGTAGTGGGTTGTTCTGGTTGGAGATACTGAGCAGATATTCTACAAGAAACATGATTTTTATGTTGTATTTTTTTGCAATTTAATGTGTCAAACATGTCCAAAACCTAACCCCGGATTTCCTTGAATGGTCCATTACCGACTTTTTGCCTTTAATAGTTTAAAATCTGCACCAAAGACTAAGAATCACATCTGTCTACTTGATTTAAATTGGTAAAAGATAACATTCTGGCTCTCTGATAATGCCAAAGCTGCCAAATAATCCAAACGTCAAATCAAAAGATACTAAGTAATATAAAACAGAACTGAAAATCTGATTTAAAGAGGGCACATACGCAAAAACTAATGTGACCAAAGCATGATAACACTCCACTATCTCATGTTGGATCTAGTTTAAAATAGATTCCTGACTGAATCAGTGTAGAATTATTGATAAAACACACTTTCAAGTTCTTGGAAATTGTCCTTACATAACTGGATAAGAAGGCTTGGATCTTATCAAAGTCGAGATAGAGCTAAATATCAACCGAGCAGACTGTTTTTGTCAGTGTGCTTCGGGCAGAGACTCTCTCTCCGATGTGTTTTCGACTCTGGTGCATGTCTTGAATACCTAATTCTCCTTTCAGCCACAGAATGAAATTGTAAACTTAACAAGCACCAAGGGGCTAATTTAATTGTTTATCCCTTCGCAAGGACAACCCCAACTTGATGATATTATCCACTGAAGTACTTCACATTCCTTGTTTGATCTGTGTCAGAGTGAATAAATTGCCTGTAATTTTATTCCTATTGTCTTAGTGAAAGTCCTGGGCGTGCGCTAACACACACATGGCTAATCCCACGAGGGGAATTAGGGGGGAGTGAACATGCTAAAAACATGACGGGTGGGCATGCCAAGGACGGTGTTTAGCTGTGTTATTCTACATGGCGTGAAATCAATTAAAGTCGTTTTTGCAGGCATGGTTATTTATCACATCTGCAATTCAAATCCTGAAGATGAGCTTGACTTTAAATGAGGATATTCTTTCATCACTGAGCTAGCTCCATTGATTTTTAAAGCCAAACAATGGCAGTCAGTTTACTCACACTTAATTACCATGTTATTATTGAATTTTTATCATGTCTAAAATCGCTTAATTTTAAAATCTGAAACTTATTTTAAGTAGATATTATCTCATGAAATAATTGTTTGGCAAGCTTTTATTTTGAAAATTCTCAATCTTGTTTGCTTTATTTGTTGCGCTGTAAAACTGGGCTTTTATTTTGAAGTATAAACTGGTTAAGACAGATCATGACCGAACTGGAAACAGTTAAAAGAATGGTTCGATAGTTCATATTCCTCACATGAACAGGCACATGCTGAAATGTGACATTTACAACAAATCATGACGTTTCCGTTTTTTTTTTTTTTTAGAAAGCGCTGAGTCATCTCTTTGAGAGCTGCTTCGATCTTGTTCACAGGCAGTCTGCTGCTTGTCAACACCAGTAAACTGCAACAGCCCTACAGTCGACAATAAATTATAATGGTCACACTTGGGGGGCCTCATCTCCAGATAGTGTTAATAACAGCATGTGGAGCCATAGATCATGCATTCAAGCTCATATGACAAATCCTTATTATATCTTCATGAGCACAGAGGATGATTTTCAGGGTGGGAATCACGCTGAATTGGAGGACTATAACCTCTGCACATGTGGTGAATCACGTAAATTAAAATAACAATAGTTATATTAATAAATACCCTTCATAACTCAATTAAAATAATTATCTGCTCTGTGCAAATTTGCTTGATTTTCCCCAGCCCTTTGGTTCACTTTTGTCACATCATTAAATAATTCATCTCTCTTAATATGTATTCATATGATTAATGAAAAGCACATTAGCTGACAACAAACCATATCTACGTATAAGCATGTGACCACCTGCTATTAAAATGCCAACCTACAATAAAGGACAGAAGATCTGGTCGTCACACTCAGAACAACATTAACTGTAATTAAATCACAGCTATGCCAAAGCTTAATTAGAGTTGTGCACTCAAAGCGTGTCGGTGGGGACTAAAGCACCCTTTCAGCGACATGTTTGGCTGTGAAGTGAGTATTCAAGTGCTAAAAGACTCCCCACCATCTTAGGAGCCCTTAGACTCTAATAGCAGGGTGCGTGTCACTTATGATGAACCCACAGCTGCGCTCGCAATGATCAAGTTGTATATTTACCATATGGACAAGTGCTACATGTCATGCAGCGGATATGTATGCAAGAAAGGGGATGAAGAGAGTGATGCAATTGCGTGAGTACAAACTGCAATATTTATGGCTTTCTCTGTGGTCCCCTCTTGTTTGTTTTAATTGAGTCTAAAATATGAGACAGCATCATTATTATGCATGTGACTCTGATTTAAATAGCCTTAATTTGATTTAGAATTAAACTACAACATGCAAAGTGTGACATTTGAATTTATAATCTTGCCAGAACGCTGCACATGCTAATCTTGTAGCGAGGAGAATAAATGCACTTTTAGAGAAATTTGTTCTGGACAGTACACTGCACAATAATAGGACATAAATTACAAGCAGATATAACTGTTTTACAGGGTGGTTTTTTCCTCCCTGCTCTGCATAGTGAAGAAATATTTATGCATGCATTGCAGATACAAAGAAAGTTTTCCTTTTACTAATGAAACATCGTTGTAAAACATTAAAACCAGCTGACAGTGCCCACAGAAGCTCAGGCCTGAGTGGTATTTCATAGAAAAACCCAAGTGGGCATTCTGGACAGAAAATGTTCCAGTTTAAAGATACATGAACGTGGATATTCCTCATTTAGATTTCTCTTAAGAGTGTGGTTTTGCATGCAGAGGAGCTATATCCCAGTATTTGTGCTTATGCAGTATCTTTGGGTGTTGGTCAGATTTGCAACCAAGCCTTAAAGCAGAGGTGTCAAGTGAAGGAGCAAGACTGATGGCAAACCGTGCATTCCCAGGGGTGCTTGACCTTTCCCTAGAACCCACTGGGTACCAGGCAGTGTGCCATAGCTGATGTTTCTCTTCCATCTTGACCTATAAAAGCAGGCAAGTAGATTACAATTCCGCCACTTATTGGCCCGAACTCTTCGATTGTCTCTTGGCGTTGTCTTACTTAAATAATAGATCTCCCCTGAAAATGGCATTACTACACTAGTCACCCCAAAACCTGAACCTTACACTCAATCCATCCTAAAGAGGCTTGGTCTGAGAAATCTGCCAGCATTTATGAACCATGCAACAACAAACTGTGTTCAGAGACAGTTTTTGAGGCAATGCAGTGACTTCTACTACAGAGTCACGCCGCCTATTTTTAATGCAGGAACTAAAGATCTCTGCCAATTAGATTTTAATTTTTATATGTTATAATGTAGATGATAATTTGCATCCGATTACTGATTAATTCACTAATTTTTTTTTAGATTTTTTAAGAAGTTGTAAAAAATATATTTATATACTGTAGATATACTGTAGGCTACTGCACTTCACGCCGACAGGAAGACCGACTGATGAAACTCGGACCAGAAAAGCGCTTTCGACTACCCCGCCCCCACCTCCGCCGCCGATCGGTGCCCTTGCGTCTTAACTCACGATACTTATTTCCGGTCCGGTCTCATCTGGAGACATGCAGCTGCCTCAGTAAGAGAAGTAGCTCGATCACGTAATGTGTACTGTTGTTTATTCTACCGTTACTGGCACGGCTAACAGTGTAGCAAGGCTAATAGCAGATGGCTAACGTAAACTTTAGCTTGCATATTACATGGTGCTTCACCGTTAACTCGGCGTGACCGAGACCAGCACAGCGGGGAACATCGTGAAGTGGGTTGAACTGAAACTTGTTGACTTATTGTGTATTTCACAAACTGGTTTATTTACCGTTGAGGCTGACCACTCTCCTCTGTGTGTCCCTGAGCTGCCTGCTTCAGATCCGTCACTTCACTGTGCTGTGAGGTAGTTAGTGAATGAAGATTGTCATGAGGTCGCTGCGCCATCTACAGGATAAGTCGGGGAACTTTTCAAATGGCGGAACATTTTCAAAGTGAAACCGGATCTTAATCTATGCATTTTATTTCTGAAAATATTAGCGAAAATCTGCGAGTTTTGGCTGATTACTAATCAATCTCAAACGGGCTTAAATCGGCCGATTTGATTGGCTCGCAGATAAATCGGTCGGGCCCTATTAAGAACAATACGTTCACGTTTGCCTGAACTATGGATGAGTTCATAAATGATCACTCATTGAACGTGTTCGGGCACAACACTGCCCTGGACACATGCATAGTTAGGCTGAATGTGAACTGCAAATGGGAGAAAAAGGTTGAATTTAGATGCCTGACAACATGTTGCAATCCTTGTACCTTCAGGACAAAGTGTATGTTTTACTGTGCAGCTGATGGACAGAGGCAACCTTCACCACCTTTACACTAAATGTACTGTACAGATAGTGCTTCCCACCAGCTAGAAAAATCACTTCAATAATCCTCAGAGTGAACTGAAGGACATATAGCCTGCAGCTCTCGCAACCTACACAGTGCCGGGGGACGTTCTTGGACACGAGAGTTCTCATGATCGAATGATTTGATTCTGCCAGCCGTGTTCAAGCTCACTTTGGCCGATCTAACATTATTAGTGACTGCGGCTCGGGTGACCTTTTCATTACCAGTGAAAAGTGGTAGACGTTTGAAGGGATGGTGCTCACCAGCTGCAGTGTGAGGAGATAACACAAAGCCGTTGTTCAATTCATAGAGGCAATCCTAACAAAAATACAAAGACATATAAAACACGTGTCCACACATCGCCTTAAACCTCAAACTGAAGAGTCCTGATCCCTCGAATTGGTTGTTCACAAGGAAAACGCCAGTTGCATCATGTCCACAGTATTTTAGCTTTCATTATTCAAAGTCTAGGCAGCTCAGATTCAGTGTGATGACACAACCGGAGGGAGCATTAAAATCAATAAAAATCTCATTTAGATAAACTGACTGGTAAGCTTTCCCTTCCAGCTGCCATTGTGGTGTTGCTATCGCAGCTTACTGCATCTCAATGAATTTTTACGCTCAATACCTGATGACTGATGATGCGAAGAGTAGTTTCTTGTCCGGGGCTAACTGCTGGCAGGGCAAAGAGAGGAGAAGGTTTTCAAGCTTTTCAGCAGTGTGCACAAAAGAATGAGGCTATATTAGAGAGAGGGGAGAAGTTTATTTCCTTCTATTTCACGCTTTATAGTTTGTGAGTTTATTGTTTGTAAAATTGCCAAATCATTCCTCAACTTTAAATAAAAGGGTTGGACTAACTTTCAACACAAGACTGAGGTTCAGTGCCTGCATTAAACGAAGCACACTCTGTCATTTGAATGGGAAGTTAGGTTTTATTATGTATATTAGCAGCATAATATAAACTTAGTGTTAGTTCAGGCAGGCCACAAAGTCAAGCTTGGCCAAGTATATAACTTGATACCAATGCCAAGTTTTAATTTCAATAGTAATGTATGAATCATCACTGTTGCTTCTCTGTTTGGGGTCTTTGCTGCCCTCCGCGCTCCAATCAAAATCAAAAAGTTCAGATCAAGTATCTATGGTGGCCAAGAACCGCCACTGCTGCAAATAAAAAAATGAAAAAAAAAAAAAAGCAAAGAAAGAAACCACAATGGTAGTTACTGATGCATTAAAAAAAGAAAGAAAACGAAGCCCGCTGCAAATAAAAAACAAAAAATGGTACAGTTAAAAAAAACAACAAAAAAAAACAACTGAAGTTAATGACACACAAAAAAGTGGTGATGCAAAAAAAAAAGTTACTTGCTGCGAAAAAAAAGGATGCAAATAAAAAAAAGCCACGATGGAAGTTACTGATACAAAAAAAAAGAAAAAAAAGAAACCAAAGCCTGCTGCAAATAAAAAAAGTAACAGTATGGATGAAACAAAAAATAATAAAAAAAACCCAATGGAAGTCAATGACGCAAAAAAAGTGGTGATGAAAACAAAAAACAAAAAAAAAAGTTACTGCGAAAAAAAAAGGATGCAAATTTTAAAAAAGGCCACAACGAAAGTTACTGATTTTTTTTTCGCATCCTTAACTTCCATTGTGGCTTTTGTATCTGCACAGTTTCTGTTTTTATTTGCAGCAGGCTTCGGTTTCTTTCTTTTTCTTTTTTTTTTGCATCAGTAACTTCCTTCGTGACTTATTTGCACCACTGTAAGTATCAATGCAAGAGAGCTGCAAGAAAATGGCAACAAAAGTTTAAAAAAAAAGTGTGCTTACATGCTGATTTGGCCAAAACTACCCACAGAACTGTTGTTTTGTGGTGGCCGAAAGGTGGCCGAACTGATTTCAGCAGAGCTATGGGCACCCCTTGGATCCGCCCCTGGCTCTGAATCTCACTACTATACAGTTTTAAGAGCATTCATTTATTTTAAAAAACCTAAAGTATAACTCTCTTTAAGCAGATCACAGAGCTTCAGTCTGCCTCTGCTGTAAAAAATCCTGAGCTGATGATGGAGTGGCCTCGTGGCTGTGGTGTCTCAACTTCTCATGAAAGGGTGACAAGAACAGGGCTTTGGGAACATCTACATGACAGTCACAGTTAAGTCTGTTTGCACAGTGGGAGCCCACATCCTCAATAGCCAGGAGGGTCTAAATTTAATTTGTGACCCTTGAAAAAATTTTCAGAGCAGCCTGACCTGGACTGTGGTTATCATGTCATCACACCTGGCATCTCTCAGCTTTTGTTAGCGTCAAACAGCAGGGTTGCTGTCTGAGGTGGGAGCTCTTGGCGGAAGCGGGGAAATGGCAAGTTTAAGAATAGAAGTGTGGTAGGCTGTGAAAATTGCTGAAGGCTTAGTTCTTTTTTGCTCGACTCAAAGCCGTGTGTTTGAGGTTCTTTGATTTTATTTTTCATTTTACTCAAGAGAGGCTGACCTTAAGCGTTGACATGCAGTAAAAGCATTTCTAAGTATAGGAATTTAAAGCCAAGCTGCACATAAGATGCAGCTGGTAACAACTGGAAACACAATGTTCAATCTTCGTTATGTCAACTCTAAATTGGTATGAGTGAATTAAGTGACAAGCTTTAGTGCCATAATCTGTAAATTAATGTTTTGCACATGTGCTTGAGGACTCTGACAGTCTCATATTGACTCCTTTTGCCTATACTACATGTTTTCCAGCCTACAGTGCTGTTATTATGATTTCACTGTTGGATCCGTCCCCAGCCTTTTTTTCTTTTTTTGTTTTGTTTTTTCAGAAATTTTGAATTTGAAACCAGAACAGTGAGTTTTTAGACAAAATTTTAACTTGATTAGAATTGTGATATTTTTCTCAAAACTTAAGGATTGAATTCACAATTCTAAGTTCCAAAATTAATTTTTTTCACAGTATTTTGAGTCCAATTTTTTCTTTGGGAAAAAAAAAAAAATCTGAATTTGATCATATTTTGATTGACCAGAATTGCGTTGTGACTTTATCTACTGAAGAGTCTAAAGTCTAAATTCAGAGAGATAAGACCAAGAATTGAGACTTTCATCTCTCAAAACTAAAACTGTAAAAAAGTTGAAAAAATAAATAAATACATGACAAAAAAAAATTTGTTCTCTAGATATTTAACTACATTGTTTCTACTGAAATGAGTCAAAATACAAACTTTTCTTAAAATGTTTGTATTCAAATTCCAATTCTAATTTCCAAATTTGATTTTTGACTTTCTTCAAAGTATTTCGAGTTGAGGTTTTTTTTGGAAATAAAAAAAAACTCTGAATTTGATCATAGTTTGATTGACCAGAGAAAAGACCAAGAATTGAGACTTTTATCTTTCAAAAATAAAACTGTAAAAAAGTTTAAAGAAAAAAAAAAAAGAAATAACTGAAAAAAATAAAAAGTTGTTCTTAAGATTTTGAACTCCAGTTTTATATACTGAAATCAGTCAAATTACAAACTTTGCTCAAAATGTTTCATTCAAATTAGAATTCTGAGTAAAATGCAAAATTATTATTATTTTTTTATTTCACAAATGTTGAATTTTAAAACAGAATTGTGAGTTTTCAGACAATATCTTGACTTGTTTTTTGGGGGGAAAAAATTTGAATTGAATTCAATTTAATCATATTTTGATTAACCAGAATTGTGACTTTATTCACTGAAGAGTTTCAAGGCTGAATTCAGAGAGATAAGACCAAGAATTGTGACTTTTATCTCTCAAAAATAAAACAATGAAAACAGTTAAAAAAAGAATCTTCTTGATTTACTACTTTTATGCAGAAGCCCTGTTCCTCTTCTCTAACGAAAAGAAAATGTGTATGTCTTATACGCAGCTCCTCCTGAAGTGTGACATTAATTGTTTGGCTGTATATCCACTACATGTACATAACTTACTCCTTTCCTTAATGGAGAGTATTTCCTTTAACTGGTAGCCGTGTGGATTCCCCAGTTTAACCCGTAATTTGTTTTTTTAATCACTTGTAAACTGGATGTTTTGCTCGGATAACTAACACACCAGCCTTTTCCTTAAGCTGATAGTAATTCAGGCCATATTCCCCGTTCTCTTGTCAAGCTTGCTCGACTCGAGAATTTCACTGCTGTAAAGGAATGAAATAATTAGAGGCCTCCAGTCTCTGCAGAGGTCTCCTCTTCCTTCCCCCCCATAACCTCCAGTGACAGAACAATTTAGACTGAAACATTGAACACAGCCAAGACCAAATTATAGCAACAGCACAAGAAGCCGATAACCAATTTTCAACTTGTAACGCAGCAGCTTTTGTTCTCAAACTCATCAAATGGTAATTAAGCTTTTCCCCGTCGGGGTCCGTGGTGTAGAGTGAGTGGACTAGACAACAGGGCGCACGAGTGCACAGCAGTCTACACTACAGAAAAAGTTATTTACAAAGAGAAATTGCCTTTTAAAGAAGAAATTGATATTCAGAGTACTTTTTAAACCATACTATGTCTTTTCTTGCTGGGAAAAAGTCCTAAGTTTCCGTTGGAGAAAGCTCACTCGGCTGTAACATTAAGTTTCCAGAGTTTCTATTACTCCACCTCGGAGACAGTTCAAGTAAAAGGGATGTGATGTGATCCAGTGGCAGTCACTGTCAAGGAAGCACAAAGACCTTCAATCTTTAAAAATCAGGCACCGGCAGGGAGGAAGACTAGATAAATGAAAAAGAAGTAGAACAAAAGTGTGAGAGCACGGCAGTGAGTGGCTCCTCCTCTCAGTCCTTTTGACACCCCGACAGCTGATACTCAGACAGTAATGGGGGTTTGACACCGGGCTGATGGGCACCCAGCCTAGCACGACTTGAGGTGAAAGGCTGTCCCATCTTCCGGCAGTGGAGGTGGCAGCCGGCAGCCACCTCGCCTGCCATGGAGGAAATTCTCATTCCGGGAAACCACCGAGTGGAACCAGTCTATAACAGGAAACCTGGGATCTGATCCACTCTGTACAAGTTTGTACAAAAGAAAACTTGGACTGCATAAGCTGGGTAAAGAGACAGTCTTGATTTAATCAGTTTCACATTAGACACTTTTATAGGCAAAGACTGTTTCGTGCCAAAAGTTCCTTTACAGGAGCTTTTTTATTCTCTTTTTTATTTAACCAGGTTGAGATCGAGATCTCATTTACAAGAGTGACCTGGCCAAGAGGTCGGCAGCACACATCACAATGATAAATAATAACAAAGAAGAAAATGACCTCCAGAAACATAATTAAAAACACAAGCACTGTCCCATGGTCTCCCCGAGTCTGTCATGTAAGATTGAACGAAAGGCTTCCAGCGAAATTAAAGCTCCTGCCACACCGGGACCGTTTTCTTCTTGTGATTATTTCGAACGTCAATAATTTTTTTTCGAACCTGTATCCTGTCAATACAAGCGTTCACATCAGTGACGTTTTCCCATCCTGTGATATTGCAGCATTTATTTCGATTTTTCTGAAGTTTCACATACTGTGTGTCCACTTCTGACCAATCAGATTTCGTGTTGTTGTGACGTCAGATTCACAGGTATATCCAACATGGCTGACTGGCTGATTGTTAACGTGTCGGAGAACAGAGTGCTTTTTGATAAAAGACACAAATATTACAAAGATTACGACCTGAAGGACAACTTGTGGAGAATCATAGTGTCGGATTTCTCATATGATGATGGTTCGTGTGCTTTAACAGTTTGCTAAACGTCTTTGTTTTAACTTTCATCTGTGCTAAGTAACTTTAGCTTGTAAGCTAACCTGTTCAGATACAACATACCATATGTATTTTCACTGTCTCAAACTCAATGGCGTTGCTGTCACAGCACCATTAGGTCTTGGTTGTTACCTTACGTTTATGGATTATAGTTTAAGTACGTACTGAAGAGTACACTTTTTTGCCCAGTTCAGTTCTTATTTGCTGAACAATCAAATGGATAGTGTTGTTTGAGCGCAGGGTGTAATGTCTTTCAGTCCTTTGAAGAAGATCAAAGAAGGAGCTAAGCCAAGAAGAACCTTAGAAATTAGAGTCATCCAGTGAGTGTACCCGCGAGTACTCAGCAAAGGCCAGCCAGACTTGGCATAAAGTTCGCAGTGATGTGTTAGGTGACTACAACCGGTGAGGAATCTCAGCGCACAGTGATAGACAGTTGTTAAGGACTGCAGGCATTTGGCTGAAGCAGTCATATATAAAACATCACCATAATCCAACAGTGGAAGAAAGGTAGCAGATACAAGGTATTTTTGAGCACTGAGGGAGAAGCAGGTTTATTCATGTAGTCGAAACCAAGTTTTAATCTGAGTTTAGTGGCCAAACTAGCAATATGTGCAAGAAAACCCAGATATTTATACACAGATACAAGCTCAATGAGTACACCCTGCAAAGTTAGAACAGAGGGACTGTTCCCAGGTAACTCACCCTTGCTCGAAAATACCATGAGTTTGGTTTTATTTGGCGACCAATTTGAGTTTCCAGACAGATTATTAAATATCGGGATAAATCTTGGAAATTCATAAAACCAAACACAGAAGCTAAAATCTGTTTTCTTAAACATCACAGAGGTGAAAGGATCAGTCGTACAACTTAAACTTTGTACTGCTCCTTTATTAACATCAAAGCAGTCTGACGTTATCCTGAGAAAATCCGTCTAATCCTCCAGGATCAGACGTTTTCACAGCTTCATGATGAAAAGACCAGAAACTGATGATTATTGGTGTGACACACATTCTGGTCTTTACAGTAGACGGCGTCGGCCTCGCTGTTTCTCAAACCTCAGAGTGTGGCGTGGTTTGCTCTAACAGGCTCGCTGTTAAACTTTTGCTTTCAACTCGCTACTTTTTCCCCCGGGCATATCCTCTTTAGCCTTTACGTCTGAAACTTCGAACCTTCCTTTCATCTCTTTGTGTTCGGCCCAATACGCTGAGGCACAATTAGGCAGACGAGACCCTAATTTATACTCAGCGGTGACAAATGGTCAGTGAATCGTAAAACGATATAATTACCTTTCAAAAAACTACGCCGGACCTCATTTAACTGACATTAATTAGTCAGACTGTTTCGAGCTACAGTTGGAAACCTTTCCGACTGTGAATGGTCATACAAGTCCGACTCATAATTAAGCTCATACTCTTACAGATATTATCTTTAGGCTCGGTATGCTAATAAGAATTTGATCTGGGGGATTCTTCCCGCTTTCTCAATGTGTGCGAGGACCCCTGATGAATATTTCACCCTGTGCTGCCGCACTGATGAGCAGGCTAGTCAAGCACATTGATGTCCTTTCAGCGAGTGACTGACAGGTTCCCCATTGTTGAAATAAGCCAGCTGAGGAGACAAGAAAACTGCAGGGAAAAAAAACGTTGGAGGAGATACTTTTCTTGTAATATTTCTCTCTTTTTCTCTCTGGCAGTGACCTTCTCACTTTAATTGGCCTGCTGTTTGAATACGCCACAAAAAAAGAAAGGATTCATTTGTAACCTAAATGCTAACGGAGCTGTTTACGATCTAAACATGAACGGTAAATTTCTGTCTGAATGAAAACTCTATTAGCGGTTGTATGCGCACTGATACAGTCGGTCCCGAGTGATACTCTGTCAAAAACTTGTATTTGATGTTGTTGTATGCTTCGACTATCAGCAAGAGGCCTGCGTAATTGGCCACATTGTGTACTCCCTATATTTCACTGAGTATCTACAGGGTGCACACCAAAAAAGCAAACAGAAGCTATTTTGGGATTTCTCCTTCTACATCTTCCTTCTGAAGCTCAAATCCCTCCCTGAGATTGTAAAAATGGAGGAATTCTTGACTTATTATGCGGCGTTTGACATATTTTACAGTCTCCCAGCGCTGATGGGACTAATTCCTGTGTCTGCGATGATTACCCCCTCTGTTGGCATCCATTACGGGTGCATGACTCTCATCTCCAGCCAAGTCATCCTTTCCTTACACCCAGCCCCCCCATTACAGAGCGGCTGAAATCCATTCCCTTGCTCGCAGTTAAATCACACACTGCAGGCCTCCGAGTGCTTTCGCGCCCTCGCGGAGGCAAACCTCATCCATCAGCCTCACCCGCAGCTGTGAATAGCTGATTTTTTTTTTCTTTTTTTTTTTCCTTCTTCCATTTTTTGCTTGCTCTGTACACAAATGATGTGTGTAAATATTGCAGAGGGAGTTAATGAATTGATGGCGCAGGGTATCGGAATGGATGTGTCCTCTTGGTAAGTACGCTCTTAATGTAGAGGTCATTAAACTGTTCAACCAGCCCACTCCTAAATCTATCAGGGTGGGAATCAGTCAAATTAAAGCACTGAGCTGGCACTAAAATGCGTTTAAAAGAGTTAGTCGAATTTAGCAGTCAGACAAGACAAGGCTGAGGTGGTGTTAGCAAAAGTGGGGGTCAGCACTGGGGCACCTGAGGAAGGCAGCGACTGCAACACAAAAATACCAATCTGAGCACCAAACAGCTTAAAGTTGTGTACCACTTGTGTGTTGAATGACCGCACAATAGTAATACAGAGAGCCACGCGCTCAACCAAAACACCACTCTATAGACACAAATAATGCTCAGAACAGCACCTAACTTCATCAACAGGACATATAGGGTCCCAGCCACAGCACTAGCCACCAAAAATCTTTTTAGCTTTGCCTGATTTCTTTACCAAAGAGACTCACCTACTCTCTTCCAGCAGCCACTTGTTTGTAGGGGCGAGTCCATCGACTACAGTGGGGTTACGCAGCTCAAGGAAGAACATTTATGATCATTACTCCATGATAAAACATCTGCACCATCTTACTACAGATATCTATTGATCGGAGTATTGATTTTAGTCACTTTGCAAAAGAAATTAGGCAAAGTTAAAAAGATGTTTGGTAGCTAGTTCTATGGCAGGGGCCCTATATGTACTGTTGATGAAGTTAGGTGCTGTTCCGAAGATTATTTGTGGCTATAGAGTGGCGTTTTGGTTGAGCACATGGCTCTCCGTATTGCCTTCTGCGGTCGTTACTAAAGTTGGTATAAATAGAGAAGCAAGCGGTCAGCAACATTCTTCTCTCGAGGGGGTGTCTAAATCGACGTTATGGTGTGTTTGACCCTAACTTAATTTTGCGCTGGAGTATCCCTTAAACCAACCAGGAGATGTGACAGCAACACTTCTGTACATGTCCAGTGCCACAATCCTCATAAATACACGAGTGGTACACAACTTTAATCTGTTTGGTGCTCAGATTGGTGTTACGGTGTGTTTGACCTGAACTTAATTTTACACCAGAATATCCCTTTAGTTTTTTTTTGTTTTTTTTTGTCATCCCTCATATTTCTTATCTTGTATTTCCTGTTTTATTTTGATACTCAGCCTTGTCACTTCTTTCAGGTTCATTGACTTCCTCCTCCTTGTCACCTGCTCCCCTGATTACCCTGATTAGTCTCACCTGTGTCTCGTTAACTCTACTACCCTGGTGTATTTAAACCCAGCTTTGCCTCCCCTCTGTGCCAGTTCGTCTTGTCCTTAGCGTCAGAGTTCCAGCATTTATTCCTATTGTTTGCCTCAGTAGCTGCGTTTACATGGGCACAAATAATCGGAATAAAGGCCTGTTCGGAATAACCGATCATTATTCCGAAACGCGTCCATGTAAACACTTATTCCGATCGTGACTCTCTTACCTGACTTGATCTTCACTCTTTAACCTTTGGTTTATTTATTGAGGTCAGTACTAGAGGTTTCATTATTAACACTCTGGCATAAAACACAACCGCAGGAAACATGTCTTCTCCTCCGGTAACGTAACAAGGCGTACATACAGCGTAATCATGTCACATCTGCACGTACAGCGCAACCTTTGACAGAACAGTAGAATAAGTACACAAGGGCGCCATCTAGTGACAACATTTACTAGGGAAAAATCCTGATTTGGATGAAGTGAGACACTACTGTGTTTGTTGTACGTCATGATCGGATTATTTGATTTTGCACCCATATAAACAGTGGATTCAGATTATCTGATGCCTCAAATTTTTAATTGGATCAAGAAATTTTGCCCATGTAAACATGGCGATTGTGTTGACCTCATTTCAGTACTGCTTGACTTAGCCTCTTGCCTGTGCTTTTTTTGGATCCTGTGCACCGACTCTTTTTAACACCATGTCCAGGATTTCCAAAAATAATTTCCACATAGAGTCACAGAAATGTTGGGATTGTGTGGTGCTGTCCAAGGTGCTGATCCCGCAGACCTATTATGAAATTAGCAGACTTCCTTTTTCATTCCCTCAAGCTGCTGTATTGTTCTTCGACCCTGGTGGTGCTCTCTATTCAGAAACTACTTCTGCTGTTGTAATAAGAATAAATGCAGCCTGGTAATACTCTAAACGGTGTCATGAAGAGGTTTTGGCAGCGCTAAGAGTTATATAGTTAAATATTTGAAGAGGTGCATGTCAATGTGACCTTCTCTGGTGCTGTGGAGGAAATAAATGTGAGTCTCTTTTCTGGTTATTGCTGTAAAAGTGCTGCACAGACAGTATGTATCTTAAAAACAGTTAAACAAGGAGAAGATTAACGTTTTGTGACAAGCTTGGAAAACCCCAATTAGCTGGAGTTTGTTTCCACCGAGGCTGATCAATCATCTAACCCGCCTCCCCTCGCTGTCACTCAACTAGACACATTAATGAGAGTGACAGTGAAAAGAAAATATGTGTTTTCATGAATTTTCCTGCATTTGTATCTGCTGTATGCTGCATTTGCTGCAGAAGGTGTCCAAGGCCGTGCATCGAGGGATTCAATTGAGACAGAGAGACAACACACAATGGGTTATAAATCCATAGCACTTCTCAGGATTAAAAAAAGGGTCACCGGAATAGTTATGAGGGCCTGATCTGAGCCAGAAATTGTGAATCTTAATCCACCATGACTGAAAAGGCCGAAAACTACGTGATAAAGAGTGAAAATTATAGAACCAAAACAGTGCAAGCTGGTTTCGGCGGATAAAAGCGAAGCTCTGCTGGCATTTCTCGCTCCGCCATGATGCATCAACCTCTCCTTGGCTCTGTAATGGTGTCAAATGCGTCCTTTAGCTCTGTGTTGTCTTGGGGAAACACACTCGAGCCGATGAAGGAATCGACGGATCAATGAAGAACCGGTGGAAGAAGAAATATTCCAACTGAGGAGCCGTGGCAAGGCGACGGGAAAGAAAATCAAAAGACAATGTGCTCAACTGCTTGTTCATCAGTCTGAGATAATTGTTCTTCTGTTTTACGGGTTGCAAAACAGATTGATGATATAACAGCACTGACAAAAGATATATAGGGCGAATACACACTTTAAAAGGCCTCTTCAACGACTGCACAATAAATAAAATAAGCAAATCTTCAAGTGTGTCCATGGTAACAGCAGTGAAAGCAAACTATAAGTGTTTTTCTTTTTGATCCTTTTTAGAAAATTGTGGAAATTAGTTTAGGTTCTGGCGTTCCCATCCAGAGGGAGCACATTTACTTGTCAAATGGAAAAAGAAGGCGCTGTATAAACGTATAAAATCCTAGAATATAACTCCAGCTGTCACCTTCATTCAGAGTGTGTTGATTGTTAAGCCACCCATGAAGGGGATTTAAGATCCGGAACCCCTTTCTTCATCATTCACCATTCTCCTTATTGGTGTGGAATGGTTAATTTGATATTTCTTGACTTTTACGCATGCTGAAAATGAGTATTAATGTGTTTGTGTGCGTTATGGGAGTGTATGCACAAACTGCAGGTTTGCATCTTTACAGTATACCTCCACAAACACGAAAAGCCCATTATTGACCTTTGCTTTTCCATTTGATGCCCCCCATGCGGAAAGGCTTTGCCACGTCTGTAGGTCATGCATCAAGAGCTCGGTATTAAGGGGTGAATTGTCACAAGGAATGTCTCGCATCCCGTGGAGTCGTGTTTTTGAAGCCGCCTTTGATGTTTCCCCTCTTTGTAGCGCCGCCGCCACCGCCGATGTTTGTGCTCACAATTTCCGGTGATGCGGCCCACGACGGTGCAGAATACAAACAGGGATCAAATCACGGGGTTGAGTTGTGCCGTGGCGTCTTTGGATATATTTTCAAAGACGATAAAAAAAATGATTTAAAGCTCCTTTGATCTCTTGGAAAAACTCAGTTTCCTTGGGTTCAATAAATCAAAGTAATGAATAAAATATGGGGAACAGGGGAAATGTGAGCCCAAATGTTATCTTAGTACTGTAAGGTGTTTGTTTAAATATTAACAGCTTGAAAAAAAATACTAGTATTGGATAAAATAACTAGATTCCAACAACTTTTCAGAGAGCATAAGAAAACTGCGTTGATTACAAGATGGCCAGTTTCCGTACAAAAGGCTCGAGGCTGAAACTAGAAGGTGGTTTCCAGGCTTGTAGGTGGCATTACATCAAAAATGGACATGACTTTGTAGTGGAAAGCAGCGCATGAACACACTTTGCTGCTGTACCTGTGGTCTGACAAATAAGTAATTGATGTTATCTTTGAAATGATGGACACTCCACTCGACAGAGATCGCCCACTTTGTTTGTGCACAGCTCAAAAGCCATTATCTGTAATCTGATAGCAGTGTTTTCCCTACATTTATTCAGCAGCGGCGGAATTCTTTGCGCCGCAACTGCCGAAATTTCACATGACCATTAATATCAGTGCGCCGTTAATGATTTCTACTCGCACTGAGCCAGCACAACAACACACGTTATTTTAGACATGTTTTGAGTCGTCAATGAGCGCGTCAAATCCTGTCGCACCCTCTTCCCTTAAGGGGGGAGGTTAACAAGCTTATACACGCTCTTTATCGCGAGTAGCATCAATAGCATGCGTAGCATTAATATCAATGCGCCACTAATAATTTCTTCTCGCACTTTGTTAGCATAACAACAAACAACATTATTTTCGACATGTTTTGAGTCGTCAATGAGCGTGTTAAATCCTGTCGCACCCTCTTCCCTCAAGGCGGAATGTTAACAAGCTTATACATGCCCAATATAGCGAGTTGCATCAATATCAATGCGCCACTAATGATTCCTACTCACGCTGTGTTAGCATAACAACACTTGACATTTTTTTTCGAATTGTTTTCAGTCGTCAACGAGCGCGTCAAATCCTATCGGACCCCTCTTCCCTTAAGGTGGAAGGTTAACGAGCTTATACACGCTCTATATAGCATTAATAGCATTGGTAGCATTAATTTCAATGCGCCACTAATAATTTCTACTCGCACTGTGTAAGCGCAACAACACATGACGTTATTTACGACTTGTTTTGAGTCGTCAATGAGCGAGTCAAATCCTGTCGGACCCTCTTTCACTAATGTTAAAGGGTAACATTCAAGCTTATACACAGTCTATGTAGCAAGTAGCGCAGGTACTATAATGTGAGTGTAGAGAGTAGGGGTAACAGCAAACCTCCCAACAGACATAGGAGCGCCGCTGCTGAAAAATATTCTAGTAGAGACAGTGGATAGGATCATACCTATACCTACTTGATATGTTGTCTGTGCTAGTTTTTTTTTTTAATCAAAGTAAGGGTTTTAAACAACATGTAGACCATCACATTTTATTAACTTTTACAAGTCATCCTTACTTTTTGAAACTAAGCTATAAGTTAAAAAATTGATGAAATAAGATGTTAATGTTCCTTTAAAAGTCAATGGGTTTCATACTTTGCCTCTGAAGCCACCTTCAAGTTGACCTTTGAAGACTAAAACATCAACACCTGCGGCAGCAACTCACTTAGAAAGCTTAGGGGTCTTCTCTCACCATGTGTATTTGGCACGTCCACCTGCTCACCTCCCATTTACTTGAGCTGTTGAGTGCCGGGTAAGCTTAATACTTTACAGAGACATGTGGGATGTGCTTCCTCAACTTTTTGACACACAATATTTACTCACAGTGGCTACAGGTGAAACCTTCCCAGCATTTGTGCTCCGTAGCAGCAACTTCTTTATTATTTTCCTGCCTCTTTAATCATCTCAAGACTCTTAACTTTCACAAATTGCCACAAACTGTGTATTTACCATTGTTTTATTTCACCAGACTTGGCACACAAACTGCACCAACATAGTTGTCTCCTTGAGATGAACAAGCAGGCTGCTTATTTTCACTTTACTGCAGCTGTCTGTCTAAACACAGCCGCGTTTAGAACAAAGCTCCCAGCGTTTTCAAGTTGTTTTAATTCTTGGCAAGCCCTGGCGGGAAAAATAAAATCTTTTGTACATTCAAAAACACGCTCGCTTATGCACATGCGAGTTTCCTACGGTGGCAGAAATCTTTGCAACTGTACATTCATTTCCGTCTTGGCAGAAACACCTTCCCTTTTCTGCAGGCGATACTTAAGACCCCGCAGCTCACACGCGCTCGAAACGTACACAAGTGATAACAGCAGTGGCAAAGCTTAAAAGAACTGTACATGTTTACACTGCCCCGGGCTTGTTTAACTTTAGCATTAATTGGCTGGTCTTGTGTCAACAAGTGAAATACCATTGAGGGATTATAACACAATTAAGTTGTATGCAGCGTGACAAAGTTGACTAATATTTTCTAAGCAGTTAATTTCCTGTCTCTTCAGCCGCTGATAAGGCTCGAATGCAATGATTAAAAATCACCTCAGAAAAGGCCACCGAACAGACAATGAGCAGCTCTGCATTTCTGCTAAATGAAACGCAGAGTCTGAATTGATCCAGGCATCGATTCCAAGTCTGACCTCCACAATCTTCAGCCGCACACATGCAGTGAAGGATTGAATGATACCCAGGCATTATGTCCTCTGGAATACACTGCAGTGCATTTGTATATTGTTGTCTGCAAAGAACGCCCTCCCCGGAGCAAATTGAAATTGCCAGCTCCCTGGAGACCCTGTGCATCTTTTTTTCAACATCGCTGGATAGTAAAACCTGGAAAAAAAAATAAAAGAAAAAAGAAAAACCTGATCACCCCTTCTCTGAAAACAGAAAATGGATGAGCCGGTTGCTTTCTCAGGGCCTGCCCGACATCAATCACATTCACTGAAGGTACAAAAGGACCTTTTTAAATCTTCTGAACTTTTCCAGCAGCACACGCTGTTACCTTCTCCTCAGTGCCCTGTCACTATGAATTGGGTTGCGCTTTGGTAAACATATTTCCTGCTCTTACTTTGAACACCGGTTTCTTCCTCTTGTGTGGGGTTTTCATTTATTTTTTTCGGAGTCTGTGCGCACGGTGAAGTAGGAGAAGAAAGACTGGCGTTCTCAAGCCGTGAGATGAAAATAAAGGCATTATACACCCCTGTTAGAGCTTAAAAGACCCAGTCAAACAGGGTTATTTTCACTGTCTAGCAGGGGTGTGTCTCCAATGAATGGTCCAGGGTGGCAGGGGCCCCTTAAACCACCTGACCCCCTGTAATCTGTACAGTTTATTCATTAAAATTTTACCATTTTGAAGTGAAACACTGTCTGCTTTTCTCCTAAGACATATTTTGACATTCTTTTTGGAAATCATGGAAGTCATGTCCTCTTCTATTCAGTGGACATCACTCCTAATTCAGCAACACTCTCATCTTCTCCCAGTTCAGGACTATGAAAGATGAACTAAAGTGAGGTGAAAAGCTGTCCACTTACAAAATATGTTCTTCTTTTTGGAAATCATGGAAGCCATGCCTTGCAAGAGACTGTTGATTCAGGATTGCTTTCATCTTCTCTGGATCCACGCCTATTAACTGAGGCAAAATAAAAAAGAAACCACTTTTCCTGGAAGACAGAATTTGACATTCTTTTTGGAAATCATGGAAGTCATGTCTTCTACTCCTAAGTGGAAGAAATCTTGATTGAACAGCTCTTTCCCCCAAGCTTACTCAAGAGAAACTGAGCCTAAATCCAAAAGCAATCCACTTTTCTAAAATAACAAAAAATGACATTCTCTTTGGAAATCATGGAAACAAAACAGTGTCTTCTACTCTTAAGAATGGAAGAAATCCTGATTGAACAGCTCTTGCTCCCAAGCCCACTCAAGATGAACTGAGCCTAAATCCAAAAGCAATCCACTTTTCTAAAATAACAAAAAATGACATTCTCTTTGGAAATCATGGAAACTCAACCATGTCTTGTACTCTTAAGAGTGGAAGAAAATCTTGATCCAGCAGCACCCTGGCTGACTTTGAGACTAAGTGTAAAACCATCCAATTGGGTGATGAGTCAAAACTTTGCTTTCTTTTTGGAAATCTTGGATGCTGTCTTCCGCTCTAAAGCCATTAAGGATTGTGAATTATAGTTATGTGGATTGGCATTGTAAATAAACGTATGATACTTTTGTAAAAGTAGTTTTTTTATATATGATAAGTGATGTTCAGGAAGATTATTTATTGATACTAAGTGTGCCCCTTTTTAACCAACCTCTAGTTTGGCCACCCCAATCTAAAAGGAAGATATGTACATTACCTCCTGCTTGCTGTTTTGTTTGTTTATCCTTTGGTTTAACCGTAAATTCTCTTCATAAATAGAGTTAACTTGATTCATTTAGCATGCTAATAGTTTAATATTATGTAAAGTAGCCTGCGCTTATGTGTGTTTGCTTTTATGCTTAAAAAATGGTTGAGTCCTGCCCTTTATGCCATCGACTCCATTAAAGGAATGAGGCTATAAGCAGGTGAGGTAACTCTCGATAGGGAGGCTGGGAAAAGAACGAGCGAGTGATGGAGAGAGAGGGAGGTTCTTGTGACATGGCGTTGGGCCAGGGTCAGTGACGGCTGACTAATGACTTTCACTGAAGGTGTCAGCCTCAGATTTATATCCCACCCCTTCCCTTGCCCGAACCCACTCTCGGTATCTTTAAAGCAAGAGTTATTCATGAACTATAGGGGGCTTGGGCACAAGTAAAAATGCAGCTTGGAGATTTACAGCCGAGGCCGTTTGCCAAAGCGAATGCATACACACGACTGGTGATTTAGCAGTAAATAAAATGTCGGCCAGACGGGGATCATCATAAGACATCAAGACCACAAATATAAACAAATGTCACTTAGAAAGACTGAAATAGCTTATTTATGTCCTCTTTCACCCTTATATGATAATAGAAAGTGTTGTAGTGATTACCCTGGTGACACTGACCTTTAAATTATGAAAAAAATATACACAGCAGCCAGAGGCTATGTGATGAGGTCTGCTGTGCACAAAAACAACACTGCTAGCTAAAAGAAAGGACCTTAAAAGACAGAATTTTCCCTTTTGAGAAGTACTCGAAACTTGAGCCTGGTACCCAACACGTTTCTTTTTGGCAAACAATAAATCTTTATTGACTCCCTCCTGTCTGTTAAATTCCCACACCTGTCAAACTCCATTCCTCTAGTTTGCACCACCAGATTTTGGTTAAAATTTCATCCACAAGGCCAAGCCAAGCAAGGAAAATCTTACCCAGGGTTGATTTTGTCAGGGATGAAAGCTGCAGGACATTTCACAGCTGTTTTCACAGGTTGACTGGTACTACTCATGACAAACCAGCTGGCCTTTAAATCAAAGGCGCGCCCCCTTTAACAGCGTGTTTTGTGGGAGTCGAGGGATAAAACAATTGGCCACAAGCTGGGAAAATCCCAGTCCTGCCCTCTGCGGCAGTGTCTTAACTCGCTTGTCTGCTCCAGTGAACATTGTTGGCACTATTTGTGAGCGAGGTTCCCAGCATGGGACCATGTATCCATCCTGCAGAACTCATGACTTCTCTGCTCAATCTCCCTCCCAAGCTATCATTTACGCCAGCTTGGTTAGTGAGCCAATACTTCCAAATATGACTCCTTGGATGCCTCTTACATGTCAACGCCGGCCTCTATTCTCTGAATTAATATTTCAGTTTGACTTTGGAGTCAGGTGATGTGGTGTGATAAGCTGGGGATGACTTACGGTGGAGGTCATTTAGTTCGTGGTTCGACTCCCATTCAAAGCAAGCAGTCAGCAGTTTTATTTACATTAAAGGCGTGGTTGATGATCCTCTTCGACTCTGCCCTTTCTTCCGTTGGCTTGCGTTTTCTTTGCACTTTTGGTGGTGGGGCAAGCAGAAAAGGGTTTTTTTTTTTCCCCATCCGTCTCCATCACAGCTCCTGTAGCTAAGCTGCTACGCTAGTTTTAGCTGCTCAGAGTTCCAAGGAGAGCCGAGAGAGTGGGAGGGGATTAGTCGGAACTAGGGGGGAGAGGTGTGTCGAATACAGCAAGGTGATTGGATGGAGAAGCAGAGCATGAGATTGACCAATACTAGCTGTCCAGGAATTATTATTATTTTTTTTGGATGGTAGGGCAAGGTCCCGCCCTCCTTCACCTCTGATTGGCTAGAAATGCTGGGCTCCGATTGGTTATTCCTAATGGCTGTGAAACGTCATCGTCTTTTGGGTTAGGGTTAGGGTTAGGGTTAGAATGAGGGTAAGGGTTAGGGTTAGGGTTCGGAGATTCAGATGTGCGATAATGTTCTGTTTGATGTACAGAGCCAACAGCCCACGTTTGACTTGAGTGTGTGATGACGTTTCCAGCTTTTCTAGCCAATCAGAAGTGAAGGAGGCAGGATTTAAAAATATTGCGCCTGGGACGGATGGCTTGCATTGGTCTATGTTTTTGCAGCCCTGCACCTGCTAGGGTGAACAGATTTTTTCCATTCTTTTTTCTCTTCACTTTATGAAAATCGAACTTTAGGACCATGACCATAATAATTACCAATCTCTCCAATCATCAACCATGCCTTTTAGATATCTTGAAAGTGTAACTCCAACCATTAAATCCACAGGCCTTTTTTTGAGTATGTGTTCGGAACCAATTCCCAGTACTTGGAATGAGCTTATCATATGGCACCTATGAATTAAAGTCCAAAATAGTGCCCAGAGGGTGCACACAATAAAAACTGCAGGCCAGAATCAAACCTGAGCTGCATGCTTGATGTAGTCTCTATACATGGGGCGCACCTCTAAACCCCTTAGCCAATGGTTCCCTCTGCAGCTGGGACTCTATTTTCACAACAAAACCTAAAAACTGTGCAAGTTCAGAATCAGAAACTACTAATTCATCAGTTTCTGACATATCCGTTTACCTTCTCCCTGCTGCGTCCCTAAAAGTTGCAGGTATCTCCTGCATACTGCACATTATAAAACAAACACAGAGATAACAGGTTTTTCCAAAAGTGAGATAATCACCTCATTTACATACAGGCTGAGTCAAGCAGCTCCTGCTGATTGCTAGCAAGACGCAGGGGTGCCTTTGAGCATAAACGGAGAGGGATACAGAGGGAGAGAGAGTTTCACACGTCACACATGGTGGAGGCTTTTTTATCCAACTAGCTGTAACAGTGCAGTGAGTTTAGGACAGCAAAGAGGGTGTGAATGAGAAAAAAGACAGGAGTGTTGACAAAGACATGATGAGTCAATTATCTAAATGGTGAGTGTGTGTGCGGGCGTGCACAAGTGTGGAGTCCACAGAGATTTCTCGTGCCGATGGCCCCTGTTATTCATGCAGGTTAATCAAAGTGGAGCCTCCTCATCGCCAGTTTAATCCAGACTGGCACCAAGAAGTAGAGAATGTAAATGTTTTTACATGGTGCTCGTCAATCGCGCGGAGGATTTTCACAGTCATTTTAAAAAAGGAGACAAACTGCGACGTGCACACACAAATACACACACGAACAGATTTGTGCACATTTCCACAGGGTGATTATGAAGCGCATAAGGACATTTGAGAGTTGGGAGTTGGAGAGTCCAGCCGGTTAGAGAGTATTTGGCAAGCAAGGTAGGGGAACCATGATTACAGCCTGAGTGCTTTTTTTCCCATCGACCCCCAGATGGCTAATTGACAAAGGTTTAATGGCGCCATCATTTGCAAGAAAACTGAAAAAAATAACCCCCTAGGCATGAAACCACGGACCGTGTAAAAGGAAGTGGAAGTAGCCACTCTTGGATTCAAAAGCGAAGCCAGTGCTGGAGTGCAATTAACCTGCATTGTTTCTCATCGCTGGCAAAGGGGGGGCTGCACTCAGCTCAAAGAAACCAGATGGGAAAATTACCCCATTTCCCTGTCAATTTATTACCTTATTAACATTTTCCTAATGATTTAATCGCCTTAATTGCTAGTTTCAAGTCTTCATTCATACAGTGCGGTGTTATTTTTTTAAAACATTGGTCCCATTTGGAGTAAAACCAGCAATGAAGCAGACTTTGCTTTAAAAATTTGGCTACCTTTTGGTCAGCTGTTGCTACTTTGACTGACTTTCAACCAAAATAGAGACAATCTAAGAATGTGCATTAAACATATTGTCCGTCTAAAGCCACTCCAACCAAGATGGTGACCTCTTCAATTTCAAAAGACAACATCCTCCACCAAGTACTATCCCATTTGTTCATTTTTGAATGTTTGAGGATTGTTTTTAATTATCTGAGCCAGATAAAACACCTCACTCCACTCCAGCAAGTGCCAGCAGACACCCTAAAGGTGTAAACACCTCACGGTAGTAATCACCGCACTGCTGTTCTCTAGGATCAGTGGCCAGCAATTTCAATCTACCCAGCAGTTCAACTTTCTGCTCCCCGCTGCACCTCATGAACAACTTTCCAGGCACCTTAAGGGTTCTCTTAGATTCTCCATTCATTGGCGAGAACTCCAACACAGAAACTAAATGAAAGGGCATAGCAAGTCATTGAAGCCTCGGGCATCTTTTCTGTAATGGTAACATGTTTTTTCTTCTTTCTTCTCCCAGAAGGTGTAATAACAGCCTTCTTCAAACAACTTCAACCAACAAGGTCTCTGATCTTTACTTGCGTATGTCCGTGTGTAGGGAGGGGGATGGCGGATAAGGTGATAAAAAAATGATTGGATTCTGTCATGAATAAGTCTCAATGTATGAATAGTGCATGGACCACCATATTCTACAAGAAGAAAACAACATCATCGTATAGAAAATAGAGACCAAACGCCTGCGATTGAAAGTGATTCAAAAAAGTGCCCACAATTCCAACAAAGAGTAGAGGTCGGTTAATCTTCCTGCAAGAAGCTGGAGGTTAGGGCCAGACTGATTTATCAGCAAGTCGATTAAATCGGCCAATTTAGCCTGTTTGAGACTAATCGGTAACTGGCCAAAACTCGACGATTTTCGCTGATATTTTCAGAAATAAAATGCGGAGAACAAGATTTGGTTTCACTTTGAAAATGTTCCGCCATTTGAAAACATCTACTTATCCTGTAGATGGCGCAACGACCTCTGGACAATGGGCAGCTCAGGGACGCACGGAGGGGAGTGGTCCGCCTCAACAGTGGATAAACCAGTTGAGGCGTACACAATAAGTCAACAAGTTTCAGTTCAACCCACTTCACGATGTTCCCCGCTGTGCTGGTCTCGGTCACGCTGAGTTAACAGTGAAGCACCATGTAATATGCAAGCTAAAGTTAGAGTTAGCAATCTGCTATAAGCCTTGCTACACTGTTAGCCGTGTCAGTAACGGTAGAACAAACAACAGTAAACATTACGTGATCGAGCTACTTCTCTTACTGAGGCAGCTGCATGTCTCCAGATGAGACCGGACCGTAAATGAGTATCGTGAGTGAAGACGCGTAGGCACCAATCGTAGTTGAAAACGCTTTTCCGGTCCAAGTTTGATCAGTTCAGTCTTCCTGTCGTTGTCAAGAGCAGTAGCCTACAGTATATCCACAGTATCTACAGTATACATATATATTTTTTATAACTTAAGTAAAAAAAATAAAAAATCGGCCGATTAATCTGTAATCTGATCTCCCCCCCCCTTATGATCATTATCGGTATCGGCATTGGCCCCAAAAAATCCATATCGGTCAAGCCCTACTGAAGGTCAGCACTGTATCTATGCCACTGCACCTTGTGCCCAAATAGCATATAGATGTGTTTGCACAGAATCCAACCCTGTAAGAAATGGCACTAGAAAGAGCTACACATCTGCATAAAAACTGCACATTGCTGAATGTAATGGTTTAACTTGTATGGTATAATAATCAGTGGTAAATCAAATGATTTTTAGCGAGTAACCAGGGTTTAATTATTAGCAAGATAATATAAAGTGGACAACTGTGCACAAGAATCCCTTTATAAAGTCCATCTGAGACTCACTTTGTGTTCTTAATCACATTACCTACATTATCTCTTATTTGTGCATGAAACCCTTTAATCTTTATTTTGGAGCATACATATTGAATCTTAATCTAAAACCAATGGAACCCAGAGAACAGCAGTAAAAGCAAGTGAAGTGGTCTGTTTCTCTTGCCTCTTGAAAACTTTTCACTTTGTCGGAGAAATTTGGGCCATTAAGGGCCGATTTTCTCAAATGACTGATAGTAATGAAGACAGAAATTGGCATCTTGCTCAAGGGTGTTTGACAGATGCTTGTGCTAGCGAGCGAGGCTTTGAACACATTTGCTCTCATTTAAGGACAGTCTCGCTCCTCGCTGAACTTACTGCCCTTGTAAAGAAAAGGCCTGTCAATGAACAAGACAAATGTAAAGCTTTGTTTTTCTATTGACGGTTGGATTTTCTTTTTGTATTTCTCGGGTTGATGTTTTCAAAAAGAGCTAAATTGCAGCTAATTTCAGAGCCTAAGTGACAGCGTGAGCAAAGGCCATCTGAATTTCACAAAAACACCCCATATGGTGTGTGCGGAAGCAAACGGGGAGATGTAATTCACCAAATTGCCATGGCATTTTTTTCAGTAGCTTTTTCCCCCCCAATTGCTTTCAGACGTTTCAACTAAGCTCGCCTGCTATTTTTCTCAGCCAGGCCGAACTTGCAATGTGTCTTTGTGAAGGGTTCACCAAAAACGACTGCATAATGTTAGCTGTGAGCATTCAAGCTGCATTTGCCAGGAAGAAATGTTGGTCATGAAATCAAACTATTCAATGTATTGTGCTAAAATGGTGGTGGGTTTTAGAATACCTCTGTTGGGTTGGGATGCTGGAATCTTTTCATGCCTAAAAACATGCCAAAATGGTGAAAATTTATAACAAACTTCTTGAAGGTTTGTATTGATTTAACCAAGATCATAAATATTTCATTATTTCAAGAAATACATTGATTCCTTAATGAGGTGTGCCTCAGGGATCAACATCAGGTCCACCTCTTTTTTCCTATTTTTGTTTATAATTTACCTGTAGTGTTTAGTTTCAACTCTATGCTGATAACACTGTCCGATAAATATCCAAATCTGATTTGTCAGGAATTTAACAACTCCTCTAGACTGGAGGAAGATGTCCTATCTAGTAACAGTTGGTGCCCAAGAGAAAGCCTAATCCAATCTCAGACCCATTGCTATTACATGCTATTGTGGCACTCCTCTGCATAGATTTGAAATGTTTAATATCATGGTGTTTGGATTGATTTAGGATTATCCTTTAAACCTTTTTTGATAACATTTTTTGATTTACCTGAACAACTTGGTCCCATTAGAGCAATCCCAAAAGACAAGCCTACCTGGTAGCTTTGTCAGACAACAAGCCGACAAGCAAGCATTTTTTTTTTTAACTTCCAAAAAATCACCACATCTGAAAATCATAAGGAATTATCTTTTTGAGATAACAGCATAGTCCAATCTTAACTTTTCCCATCTTAAATTATGGGAATTTTGTAAACAAAGGCCAGTAGGAGCTGAATTTGCATCTTAACTGTCACCTCGTATTGAATCATGTTCTTGGACCTTGAATGAAGGCTACCTACCACTAGCAAAATGTAACAATATGATAGCCAATGCAACAATAGCTTACATAGGCTAGCGTGGTTAAATGGAGGGTGAGTAGTCAGACATCATCAGTAAAGGACTAATTAATTTTTTCGGTGTTTTGCAACTACAAAACTGTGTTAAGTCCCACTTTACAGAGAGATGCTGAATAATGCTTAAACGACAGTCTTCAGAGGCATCAGTATAGGTAAAATCTGTAAAATATGTCTTCTTTGAGGTTCAGTGAACTCACATAACTATCTCCATCGTAAGAAGTCACATGCACTGGGCTCAGATTCTTTCTGAATGTTTTATTTCAGTTTATTCAACACAGTATTTTGCACCCGTTTCCAGGAATTATCACACAAAGGTAGAGCTTAAAAGGGCAAAACCTGCTTTCATGTCAGGCTGCACTGTTCTGCAGGACATACTTTATAAAGTGCAAAGACATTTCATGATGAAAATGACAACCACTGTCTATCACCCAAAGACATGTTTATGCAACATAGTTGCTGCCGTTCAGTTTTGATGTGAAGCTTTTTGGTACGATTGGATGCTCAAATGCTAATGTGGCCAGAAGGTGCGTGGGCTGGGCCTACACAGCCATCATGTGCTTAATTTTAAAACTAGACATGGCAGATTGACTTGGGTCAAGGGCAGATCTAAAGTACCTTTGCTGAACCAGCTCTGTTTTCACTCCAGGCCCAAACACACACTCTCATATCCACACAGACACTCTCAGGCACATGTGTGAGAACCGGCGTGCATGCTGCTCAAACTCAGGTTGCACACACGGCATCCCAATAACCGCCCGCCCTGCTGTGAGCTGGGCTCTGTCGGGGAGTTCTGTCACTTCGGTGTTGAAGTGTTGCTGCAGGAAACATAAAAGTGGAATCAACACTCTTCTCACGGTAAATGTGACAGATCTGTGCACGAACACACTGGTGCAGGCGAACACGGGAAAGCTCACACTCAGCCGTACGAGAGATATGACACATTATTAAACCCTCGCAGTGGTGTACTGATCCCTGCCGTCATCTACAGCTTGTATTGTTCCAGTTTCTACTTCTGTGGCTCAGTGTACTGGTTGGCTTGGGGGGTTTGCATATGTTAAACGACTATCTCTTCTATATGTAAATTTAGCTGCGCTTACATACCGTGTAAATGTATTCAAATATCCAGTCAGAGGTTGAGAATAAAGTCCTTGATATCAAATGTTTAATATATCCTGGGGTAAGAGTTGCATGATCACATATTGTATCACGCAGAGTCATGTACACATCGACTACATTATGTGACACAGTGAACATAATTTACATGTTAAACAGAGTTCAGGACAGGACAAGATAAGAAATATACCCCTCACAGTTGAAACTCTGATGTTGATTCCAAAATTGCTAAACCTGCTTTATTTCTCCTCTAGATCTCAGTCTTGTTATTTAGGTCAGTCCGACCTGACCAGATGTGATCACCATTAGACCAATTCACCCTCGACAGGTGGAGAAGGTCTTCAATTCCTCTGCTGTGTCCCTGAATTTTCTGAGTTGGAGGAATTTTCTCAATCTATGCCGATCAGTATTTCAACAGCGCAGCGAAAACATCACTCCTGCGTGCCGTGGATAAATCTGAGGCCACATGAAAACAAATTTTGGACTTAATCCACAGGAGTGCATGCAGGCCTAAATCGGCATTTTGGTAAAACGATTTATTCATTCATTCATTTTTTGGCCTTGGTACTTGTGAAGTGAAAAGCTAATATCATGACAGGCTCTATCTCTTCTAACCAGCCACATCTGGTTCTGCAGGTAGCGACTGTGGCGCAATTATATCCTTGTCTCACACTTAAATATCACCCCATTTTTCCTCATATCTACACATCACAGCCATTGGACTTCATTATTCCATTACAAAGGAGCTTTGTTACTTGTTAGGTACTTACATATTGAGCCGAACACAAGGGGTAAACAGTGTGCAAGACGACACAATCAATATGTAATGACTGTAAAAATCTCTAATGGTAGATAACACAACATTTAGTGTGACTATTTTCAATTCATCTGTTTACCATCAATCAAATACAGTCGAGGTAATAAAGCCACTTCTTTAGGACCCTGTGAGTCATTTAGATGTATTAGTAATTCTGCAATTTATTCAATAAGCTCCGAGCACAATGAACTGCAACGCTATAAATCTCTGCATATTTACTGTCTGCAGTCGTACATATGGCAATGAAATGCTGATGAAACACAAACGACCTCATTAGTTTTAAAAATCAATTAAAATACAAACAGACGGAGAAAGTGGAAATTCAGACATGTGTCAAGTTAAAAGCTACACCTAGAGGAGAATAAATATGAACAGGAACGCAGATATGCAGAAGCAAATCTAGATTATAGTCCACTATGTTTAGAATTGGAAATGGACACTAAATAGAGGCATCTGTGGTTAGTCATAAAGCAAGAGGGAACGTGCAGATAGTAAAAAGTGTGGGGTCCAAGTACAGAACCTTGAGGTACACCTCGGCTATGTATTTTAATGAAAACAGCATGTCTTTAAAAGCAGGGGTGAAATGAAAGGCTAATGTCTTCTACTTACTGATAACCTTAACCCTCAGAACTCCCAGCTATATTTTGCTATTTTTTGTTCGCCTTTTTTGTAAAAATCTATGTTGCAACTCTGTCTTTTTAAGCATAGCAAATAGCAAAAACCTCAGCTGTCAGTTTATGGGTGCAAAGTTATGTAAAATGAATGTGACAGTAGATTCAGAATCATAAAAGTCAACCAAAAAACAAAAATGGAAATTGATACCAACAGTACTTTGCTCAAAAATCTACAGTGACCAAGCCTTTTCTCACCGTCACATCATTCTCTCAAGTCTTGGCTATCAGGAGAAGAAATATTGGGATTGGAACAAACACACAACAGGAACTATTTACATATTTACACTAATTCTTACAGGTGTTTTTTTTGCTATTTCCAGTTGTTTATGTCACTCCTTGAAGTAGTTCCTGTCTGGGATGAGACAGAGGGTCACATCATACTGCTCATAATCTCTTTTTTGCTCGTTTCCAAGCATTGAGGACCATTATTTCTCACTTTGTATACAAGCAGGGAACTTTCTTGTCTCTTGTTGATCTTTGGTTGCCTCTTATTGGACACTACCATCAAGGGAACAATAGAAGAAGAATATGAGACCATGGCATTGGTCGCAAAGTTGACAAAAAAAGATGTCATCAAAACAGCTTGTCAAACCTGGAAGACATCAGTGGCATTTAGCGATAGCGATCTTATTCTATCACAACAATATGATAAATAATCATGTTTTCACCGGTATATCACTGCAGATTTACCATCAAATGTCTTTGATCAAACACTTATTTTTGTGGCTAGGTTGTAAACCTTGTGGAAGGTGTAAAAATGCCTGGAAACCCTCGATAGATCGCCAAAAGGGTAAGCTTTTGAACTTTTTATCCCATAGAGATAAACGGTATAGTTCCTAAGAAACTGTAAACAATATTAATGGTGTCACATGGGATCACCGGCGATCCAGCAGAGTTCTTAAGTGTTAAGTTTGAGGTATAACTACTATGTGTCGTACCTTTCAGAGCTGACAGATATCCCAAACAGCAGCCTAGTCAGTGATAAATACACTTTTAAACACTCGAAGGCACACCGTCAGTCCTTTTCCAAGTCTTTACAAATCGTTGTGACACCATCTTCAGGGCACATGAGTTCACAGGGAGTGAAAATAGTCTTTATTCCCATACACTCGAACATTTGATCCACAACACAAGGTCATCACTGAATATTTAATTGGTTTGTTCAAAAATATGTCAAGTTATTTGCAATTTTCAAAATTCTTTCTACGTTATTTCTGCAAAGTCTAGAGGTAAAAACTGAAATCGGCGTCCTTGTCGATATTTCAAGTTTACTTTGAGGAATTTCTGCTCTTATAATAATCTCAGCATTCCTTGTGATTATTCACCCTTGATAAAAACCATCAAACATGTTCAGATCTCGGTCAACAGTGAATCCCATGAAGAAAGAAAAAGCTTTATATGCTTGCTAGGTGGTGGTCCTGTCAAGGTATCCTCAAAGCAACAAACTTGGACAGGATTTTCTCATGTTTGCACTCAAAGCCAATTAAACCCCTCTGGATGGACATGAAGTCACTCTTGTTCGTGGATCACAGGGATACATAAAATTGCATCACTTGGTTATTTGTTAAAAAGAAGAAAAAGAACAAGTCTGTAAAAAAAACAGTCCACTTGAGGAATCTCATGACATACTTGAAATGGAGTCTCTTGAAAGTTTGTTAGTTGTCTTGCTTTGCAAAGTCGCAGGAATCCTTTTGACCCTTTCACAGCAGTGTCTGGTAAACAACAAATCAGGCAGCACTGCACTTGAGTTTCCAAAAATGCCACTTATTTGACTTAAGAACTGAAAAAAGGCAGCCATGAAAGAAACACTGGCATAACCAAACCTTTGGTTGCCCTAGAAACAGAGAAAGTGAACCTGTCAGTCAAAACGAGTGGAAAAAAAAGAGCTACAATAGTTTATTTTTTAATCATACTCAATAACTACTTGGCCGGTATAGGTAAAAGGTTTTTTTTCAAACCTGTATCCTGTCAATACAAGCGTTAACATCAGTGACATTTCCCCGTCCTGCTATATTGCGGCATTTATTTTTTGGTATCACGGTCAAATTTTTTAAAGTTTTGCATACTGTGTGTCCACCTCTGACCAATCAGATTGCATGTTGTTGCGACGTCAGATTCACCAGCATATCCAACATGGCCGACCGTCTGATTGTTTACGTGTCGGAGAACAGAGTGCTTTTTGATAAAAAACACAAATATTACAAAGATAACGACCTGAAGGACAACTTGTGGAGAGTCATAGTGTCGGATTTCTCATATGACGATGGTTTGTGTGCTTGAACAGTTTGCTAAACGTCTTTGTTTTAACTTTCATCTGTGCTAAGTAACTTTAGCTCGTAAGCTAACCTGTTCAGATACAACATACCATATGTATTTTCATTGTCTCAAACTCAATCTCGTTGCTGTCACAGCACCATTAGGTCTTGGTTGTTACCTTACGTTTATGGATTATAGTTTAATGTGCTTATCTGGTACTGGCCCCGACTCAGTACATGCTATCATGACAGACAGACATCTCAACACTAGTGTCTAATCAGAACTGAAATACAGTCAGTCTGCTGTTGTGTCAGTCTTTTTGCTTCCACCCAGGACGCGTCTTTTTTCCCTCCGAAAAGTTGCAAAATTGCATCGTGCTTGATGTGTATAGTAAGGCGCGTCAAAATTCACCTCTGAATATTTTGTAATTTCAGGTCGTATATTTGCATCGTTCCCTGTGTGTAAGGACCTTTGGCAGAGGATAATCTTGAAGTGTTTTCGTGAAGTGTCTTTGTTGTATTTATCTGATAAATCCAGAAAAATGTCTTATTTTAATTTTCTCAAAAAATCGGACCTGAATTTCTTGTAATAAGAAACTTTTTTGCCCCCTATGTTTTTGCAATAAATTTAAATAAAGCAAAATAATTAAAAGTCTATTTTGTCAAACATCTGCCTCCGTTAGTTCTGAAATTATAATTTTCAATCAAATTTAGAGATCTTTAAATGTCACACAAATTTAGAAAAATCTTCATCTGACTAGTCACGTTGTGAGTTCTGATTACATGTCCCTTTCACGTCCTTCCACCCACACATAAAAAAAAAAATAGTCCCCAAGTTGTCCGCAGGCCCTGCCAGTCTTGACGAAGATTAATCTGCGTTTGCGCTCATGTGTGTGTGAGTGTCCAAGTTTGTCGAGCCGAGTCAACGCTGTCTGTCTCTGAAAGAACCTCTGGTCCCATGAGTAACCAAAGTGACACACACAAAAACATTCACTCATCACCCCCGCAAACTACACACACACACACAAACACACACAAACACACACACACACTGGCACTGATATACTCAAGGCATGAGTAAACAGGGTTGGAAGGATCAGGGGACGACCTTGTATCTAAAACTGAAAGCCTCTCTTCACAAACAATCTGCGTCCAAAAGTCTTCTTCGTCCTCCATTACACCATCAAGTCTTTTTCCGGGCCCCTTGCAGGAGAGTAAACTTTGACTCTCGACTCCCTCCACGCTCCTCTTCCAGCGGGTTCACCACTTAGACATGTTGCATAACTCCGCTTTAGTCACCCAAGTGTCTTAAGTCAGAAATATTTAACAGCGTAGGTTGTTTTGTTCTTGGGATGTGGGTGATAATGAATTGATGACTGCGACTCGGCTCCCTGAGACTGACGGCGCCTTAATTTACTGGTTCCTTCTCCATCAGTTGATGACAAAGACTGAGCTGAGTCACCGCTGCCTCCTTTGCCAGAATTTGTAATTTAGTCAATGTTTACTGAAGTCAACCTCATTGAGATGAAGTGTTTGTTATCGAACAGGAGAGAAAGCACATCCTGCTCTTTGATTCCCCCACAACTCCCACCAGGGGAACCTCAAAGCTGTGTGAAGACTTTTTTCCTGTTACTGTTCACTTTCATTATTGTTTCATATTTGTGTAAACATAATGCTCAGTCAAGCTGGAAGACATATGAAGCCTGCATTGCCCACATTAAAGGTACAATATGTAGATTTTAGCAGTATGTATCCAAAGAAATGTTATGATTATGCAGAAGCGTGTTGAAATTAGTTGTATTAACCCTCTGGGCTCCTTGAAAAAAAGTTACACTTAGGTCCTTAGATGGACAAAAATGTCCATCTCCTAAAAGTGCTATAAAATTATCATACATTAATATTTTTTCCACCATTTTTGCTTAAATATTTAATCAACTTCATTCCGGATCATATCTATCAAATATTAATTCATTTTCAGAATTTTAACCCTTTAAATGCCAGTTTGACTACATGATGTCACTGTTATTTTTAATGGGAAAAGCAGAAATTTGGAGTTATTTTCCATATATTAGATGCTGGGCAGGAATTTATTTTATTTTATTTTATTTTATTTATTTGGCAGCCTATGGTATGCCAATAATTAACAACAACATTAATTATGATGAATTGTTATGTTTGATGTATTTCTCTTGAACAGTTGAACTAAGAGATTTATTCAGATAGACCTAAGTGTAATTTTTTTAGAAATCGGACAAGACATCAAACATAATAATGTATCAAAATTTATGTTGTTGTTAATAACTGGCACATCATAGACATTGATAGAAAAATCATTTAAAAAAAATAAATTCCTGCCCAAAAATGGGTGGTCAGGTTTGAAAATTTGGAAAGAAAAAAATCGTCCTGTTTGTATCAACACAGCCAAAATGATCAACAAAAGAAAGGAAAAAAGTCACCAAAAATGGACAAAAATGTCCTAAGAGCCCCTGAGGGTTAAATATTGATTGAAGTCAATGGCAGGTAGTAGAAACCATTATTTCATTGGCAACCTATTGCATGCAAATGTTGAGTTAAGATGCTTGACTGCCACATCATCATACTATCTCAACATAGTTTAAATTTCACATATTAGGTGTTGGTTAAAACAATAACCCGATCACATTTCACACAAAGAAACTCTATAATCCATTAACAGTTACATGTAATCATTGCATTACCTATTACATTTTTAAACGCAATTATCAACCACTTTTTTTTGCACATTTAACTCAACTGTTGAGATTACAAGTGGCTTGTATTTGAGTAGTTGAATCTAGTTTGAGTTCACTCTCGCCTGAAGAATCTAAAATAAATCAAATTAATTCAAACTGTAAAATATACATACATCAAGACCTCTTCTTCTGTGACCCTAAACTTTCTCATTATGACCTCTGTTATTTCTCGGCTCTTGGTGGGAGTAACTCTGAGTATGGCGTGGATCCATTTGTCCAAAACACAAGTTCGCAATTTTTCTTTCCGCACACACATCTGCTCAATTTCAAGGCGAGCATGTTTATGTTGGCGTGGAAAGGCTTATGGCGAACCTCTGATCCAAACCGGCCAAATCTTGTAACCACCAACAGCAGCTGCGTCAAACCGAAATAGCCAAAATCTCTAGAGCATCTAGAATAGCTAAGCTTAGGCGGAAAAAGACACAAGTGGAGATACGATGGATAACAGTTGTGATATGTTCAAACCATCCTTTGGCTTTGCACGCAGGAAAGTCTTTTGTTTGGAAATATCACCAGTCTACTGAGTCTGTCCAACCTTATACCACTTTTTCAACACAACTTCCTCAGTTTGTGTTCGTCACTCATCTCGTTGTCTCTTCCTCTCATCTCGACTTTTGCCTTTATGCTTTTCGCTCGCCAGAAATCCTGCTGAGAACTGGTCCTCTGATCATTTCGCTTCTTGTGTTTTCACACAAAGTTGACAAAACTTTTGGATTAACTCAAGTTATCATGTGGCGCTGACTCAATATAGTCTTTTCTTTCCTGCAATAAAATGTCTCAAATACAGACATCCATGTTGGTTTTTGCCAAATTAAAGTTTGGCGGGACTTGAACGAGGTAGATACTTGTCCTTGTCCCTGTAATTGGCATTGGCTGCCTCTTCTTCTCTACTCGTTATACTCTGTACTTGATTGGTAAGTGGATACAGGTGAACTCAATCATTACCAGGTGCACAAAGCAGCACTTGAAGAAACAGAAGAGGGAGAGGAAAAAAGCAGAGAACCACAGCAAACACAAACAGTACCACAACATGAGACAGTTGACTATTTGAAGCTCTGCATAAAAGCAAGTTGTTTGATTTGAGACACTCGGGCACTTTTTGTTTTTTTAAAACTAAAACACCTTTATTATTCGTTTTTGCCATGTTGCTGGCATCGCTTTAAAATGAGCTCATTTGATATGCTTTTTTGCAGTATTTTCGGGCTTAAATAAGGTGACCATATTCTGAATCCTCAAAAAGATGACACAACAACTTGGGGGCTGAGTCACAGAGTTGTGCATAGTTAATTTTGAGAGTGTTTCGCTTCAGATTGAGTGTGTTGTACACGCTTCTTACTAGGGCCCAACTGATATGGACGTTTTGGGGCCGATGCTGACACCAATTATTAGGGGGGCAAAAGATCCGATTACCAATTAGTTGGCCGATTTTTAATTTTTTTATGAACTTATGAAAAATATATATGCACTGTAGATACTGTATAGTGCTCTTCCTGCCGACAGGAAGACCAACTCATGAAACTTGGACCAGAAAAGCATTTTCAATTATAATCCCACCCCAGCCGATCGGTACCCCCACGTTTTAACTCTCGTTACTTATTTCCGGTCCGGTCTCATCTGGAGACATGCAGCTGCCTCAGTAAGAGAAGTAGCTCGATCACGTAATGTGTACTTTTGTTTATTCTACAGTTACTGGCACGGCTAACGGTGTAGCAAGGCTAATAGCAGATGGCTAACTCTAACTTTAGCTTGCATATTACATGGTGATTCACCGTTAACTCGGCGTGACTGAGACCAGCACAGCGGGGAACATCGTGAAGTGGGTTGAACTGAAACTTGTTGACTTATTGTGTATTTCACAAACTGGTTTATTTACCGTTGAGGTGGACCACTCTCCTCCGTGCGTCCCTGAGCTGCCTGCTTCAGATCTGTCACTCTGCTGTGCTGTGAGGTAGTTAGTGGATGAAGATTGTCATGAGGTCACTGCGCCATCTACAGGATAAGTCAGGGAACTTTTCAAATGGCGGATCATTTTCGAAGTAAAACCGAATCTTATTCTCTGCATTTTATTTCGAAAATATCAGCGAAAATCTTTGGGTTTTGGCCGATTACCAATTAGTATCAAACAGGCTAAAATTGGCCAATTTAATCAGCTGACCGATAAATCGATCGGACCCTACTTCTAACTCAGTAAGTCCATGCGACACAAACTCGAAACTTCCATATAACACCTGGACATTTGAAGGATTTTATAAACTCCCCCGGACGAAGTTGGACAAGGCCTGACAGCCCCCAAAAAAGAGGATGTGTGGTCACCCTAGGCTAAAATCAATCGCAAACCATCAACATCTGTCTGATGATGATGATAAGGATATATATCGAAAATTAATCTCCCTCAATATCAGCATAAAACATGGCCAATATGCTTTTTGATAGTCAGCATTCTGCCAAGTTTTGGTAGACTATACAAATAGCCAATGAAAAGGGGAGTTG